CTATGGTCACATTACCCAGCGGAGCGGCGAGTTTTTAACCAATTCTGCCCGGCGGCTGCCCAGCCACCGAGCGGCGGCCGCCCAGGCAACGCTCGTTTTTAGGACATCGCTCGGTCGCCGCTGAAGTTTTAGCGCGGAGTTAAAATTTGGGCAGAGCCTGCTCACTTTTCACTCGCCGCCCGAAATACGCTCGGTGCCTGGGCGGTCGCCGCCCGGGCACCGACCTAATCGCTGGGCGATGCCTAATTCGAGCAGCGACCGAGCAGGCTACTGATCGGTCGGTCGCTGCTCTGATTTGTGACCATAGCTTTACACAACTCATTCTAAAGTAGATGAACAGATGAGAAAATAACCGTACAAGACCACTTTTTCTTTTTCCATGGAATTTCGAAATACGTAAGGGAGCTAATAAAGGGAAGAGACGGAGCCAGAGGATAGGGCGGGGAAGACATCAATCTAATATACCTAAATTCTTCCCTAACGCCCCCTTCACAAAGGAAGCTTTTGACCCCAAAATGCATCTTTAACCTGATTTTTCCCTTCAAAACAATCCTTATTCTATTTTTAGTAAAAAGGTTGACAAGAACGAAGTGATGATACGTCATATTAAACAGAAAACAAGTATAATGGGAGAGAAAGAGGGGAGAAATATATAAATGAAAACAGAAGGGGAGAAAATTGAAGAAAGAAAAGGACTGGAAGAGGGAGAGTAACTGAAAGAAAATAAAGACTAAAAAACGAAAGACTGAGAGGGAGAGAGAGAGAGAGAGAATAAAAGGAAGAGGGCGTGTGGACGAAACATAGTCTGAAAGAGATAAAGAGAGAGAGAGAGAGAGAGACTGAATGGGACTCACAGAGTATGAAAATGAAGACAGATGAGACCAGGACCTATCAATCCATCTTCATGAGCGCGAATGAAGATTTCGAGTACCCTCACGTCCACACACTCACAACTGTAAAAATAGGATATGTATTGTCGTACCTATTTATGACCAACAAAACATTAATAAAACGCATAAGCAGTATTCAAGCACTCAACCTTATTTATCGCAAACAAATTTGCTTGCGCATCTCGTAATGTGCTCCAGTTTTGATGGAAATATCGCCAACCGTGTCGAATAAATCTTCAGGGGCGAGGCTCGGAGAGGGGCGACCGTGACAAGGCTCTTATAAAACGGTTTTCGATAGGCTTCTTGACTTGTTAATGGAGGGCAAACCTGATTGAGAAAGATGTCCGTAATGGCCGGTTAGCAAGAGCATAGTGATGTCACGTCTTATTGAAGGGATAAAGAATAAAATGGGAGAGAAGAGACAAAGAATGAGAAATAGAAAGAGAGCGAGAAACCCCCCTCCCCCTCCGCCTGTCAGAAAAGAAGGGGAAGAACTAAAGGAGAGAAGAGAGACTGAAAGAGGGAGAGAGACTGAAAGAAAATATAAAGACTAAAACAGGAGAGACAGAGAGAGAGAGAGAGAGAGAGAAAGAGAGTGAGAGAGAGAGAGAGAAAGGAGACTAGAGAAAACAAAGAGAGAGAGAGAGAGAGAGAGAAAGAGAGGGGATATAGAATGAAAAAACATACTTGATATTCAATCACATAATAATATTAATAATGATAATAATAATAGGCATTTCTAGAGAACGCCGTCTATCTAGAAATTCTATTTCGAGGCGCATTTATTATTACCCCGGCTTTAGCCTATAGCTGCCATTACAGCGCTCCAGCATTTCAAGGAATTAATTCCTGCTAGATATCCATTCACTTCACCTGGGTTGAGTGTGGCTAATGTAGATCAATGTCTTGCCAATAGCTATAACCGATCATGCAGGATTGTCCGGGAGCAAATCTTTTTCATTTGCAAGCAGCAACATCAGCATCAAGGTAACAGCAAGAACGACATCAAAAACATTTTTTTCTCCCTTTTAATGCTATTTATATCCAGATTTTTCTGCCAAATAAAGAAAAAGGGAAAATGTGAACGTAGGAGTTACTTTCGGGGGTTTAAATTAGTATGGGTATGCACATTTCTTTTGCACTCAATATATTGTTCCCTTCTTCGACAGAGAGGGAAGGGGGCGTGTGCCAATCCGCCCCACCCTGAACTGCATGTGAAACGGGAAAAATATCCTTTATAAAATGGGTAGCATATGAAGTCCTGCAGACTACTAAAAACATAGAAAACCTAGTATAATTATCGAAATATCGGAGAAATTGACACAGTGAAGGGCTTTTGGTATACACGTACTAGTTTGAGTGAATATATGCGCATCGTGAACTGCACCGCGGAATAGATCTGAATTAACTAATTACATGTGTAATTTTTATCAGCAATTATGTCAACATCAGATTCGGTAGGAAAGGTAAAGGAAGATCCCTATCTGAGGTCCATCCGTATATATCGAGATTTATAACCTTATCTGGACTTTGTAGAAAAGATGAAAGATTATTACATTAAAATGGGAAAATGCAAATTCAACTTTTACAAATTATGTGTTAATGAACATGACAATTATGGCCTTTCTGATGTTTATCATGAAACTGAAACAATTGAACGTTATTTAATGGCCAGTAAGAAATATAAGAGAGAGAGGGGAAAAAAGTTCAGGAAAACCGTCTGTACTAGTTTGGCGGGATTATACCACCCAGGATTGTCACTGACAGATGGCTATCTCATCAACTCAGCTCTCAATTAATATAAGAAAAAGAGGATCATGGGAGACCAATGGTCACCTATTAGGCATTTTTTTCTATATAGGGGGAGCAAGTAGCTACACGTAGTACAGCGAGGGCTTAAAGGTTGAGAAAAAAAAAAGAGTTTACATAATGTATTGGGGGAAGAAGATCATCTGCACGCTCTGATGGCTTTTATAAAAGCCACAGATAGATATCGCTCATTGTAGCTGGTGAGTTATAATGAACTTTGCCAAGGTGATGTAAAGACCAAGTCGTATTTTTTGATGTACATAATCATTATATAGCCCTGTACGCCAATGTTTATTTTCTCTCCTAAAGGAAGGAAGGTACAGTATAGTTAAGCACTGCACAGTTAACCTTTGTTAATACTCGCACTGGCTCTATAGCTCTTAAGTCGATTCGACTAATAGTCGTTATTTTCCCACTGAAAGACATTTTCAAGCCCCCCTTTTAGGGAAGTTCTAGATTAGTATTATCTTTCGAATGCCGTTGGAATTTTACTTTTTCATTTTTTGGCCTGCAAATGGGACATAGTACCTTTAAAGGGACTTAGTTACATTGTTCAGATGAGAGAAAATGGTGCTGAGGTAGTGACTTCAACGCTAGATGTACAAATTATTAAAGATAATCTGAAAGTTTGTGTGAAAACGGACTATTATTAACGATAACAATTGGGAAAACTGATCTGACGATTCCTTAATTCTCCACACTATATTATTACAATTTAATTACATTTTAGGTGAATGTAAATCGTCACAAGGTAATGAATTGGCTCTATATACCATTCCAGACATTCAAGTGTTGACAGATTTTTTATAGCCTGTTTTATGATTTATTTTCAAGGAAAAACGGTTGTTGAAAAAATTGTGTAACTTTTGTATGAAATGTTACTTATTATATTCTTTTTACTGTACTAACCCTGTAACAGGCAAAAGATCCTGAGAAAATCCTCAAACCACAAATATATTTATGGTTTTCTATGAAGGTGTCACTGGTCAACACCTTCTAACAGTGATTAACAGAAAATTCTCCCAACCATTTTTGAATTTTCCCAACCGTTTTTCAGACCAACGGTTTTCCGTGTTTGTAAATAAACGAGCGTTGCATGTTCTTGTTAACGTTCTGAAGTGCGCATGCGTCAATCTCGAGATTATTTTTCGAGCTAGTTCGTGATGAGCGTATCGGTCTGGTGAAGCGCGATTTCAAGCATTGCCTTTATATCCCGATTTAGTCCAGAATCTGGCCTATTTAATTTTGATCTCCACCACACCAACGCTAACCTCTTCCTACTTACTTGCTACCAGCCGATGATGGCGTGATCATTAAATTAAGACGCCATGCTGGGCTGGTGAGCATAATTATGAGTTTGTTGATAACGCCATCTTCGATGGCTTGAATCAAGTGTAGGGAAATTATAAATGACCGTGCAGATTCTGGACTAATCCCGATTCTGAAAATATCGAGATATTTGGCAATCTTGAGCTGATGAGGACAGGCCTCATGAGGCTGCGCGTGTGTGTATTGTGTGTTGATGCGTATTAAACTTAGTCTTAGCTAGCTAGAGAGGTGTTCTGGCGTGAAAGTGCCTGGATGGACGAGCTTAAAACAAGCTTTTTTATTCTCACTGCCTCCTTCAGTATAATCTTATTCTATTCATGCAACATACTTAACATTGTGATGATTGTAAACTGTTATGTTAAAATGTTATTATTGTGTCTGTATTCAATTCATTTATATACATGTATGCACCTTCAAATTTCCGAAAACAAATTTTATGTATTGTTTACATAACAATACAAATTATCTTATCTTTCTTTCTTATCTTATTTTAAAGTGGGATCTACAAAAGTTGGTATACTTTTTGATACGCACTGTACATTATATGCGTAGTTAAGAACAGGCTTAATGGAGGTGACCCTAGGATGGTTGCATTGGCTTGATGGGGTCGATAGCTTGAACGAGAAAGATTGTATCTGACTGATCTATTTCTTCTGAAAGAATGTGACATAATATCAATAAAATCATATTTTTAACGTCATATATAGTTCCATGTAATATTTTGGTTATAGGCTGGTGCAATACTGGAGCTAAAATACTGAATGATAGTTCTACGAAATGGCGCATATATGATAACGAAAATTATACATAATTATGGGGCTGCTACTAAATTATAACTCCCGCATGCAGCGCAGGTTGAGCGACACGGCTGACGTTCGTGACGTCATAGATCATGTTTGTTCATGACCATCCAGCCTAGCGCCTAACAACATATAAAATGCGTGTACAAGTAATTAGTAATTGTCCAATTACATGATTTACTATATTGGTATAGCTGCCACGGATTTCTTGTGAAAATAATATTCAAAACATATATTTCAAACTCTCTCAAAAAGCCACGATGACATCCAAGATGGGAATGATTCGACTCTTCATATGTCTGGGCGTCATTTTGCACATTGGTGCTTTGTTTTCCAGTGCCACGAGCCCAGGAATCCAGGCGGTTTTCAACCACACCTATTCGGGAAGTGTTTCGGAAGGCAACGATATCATATACCCGTTCACACACAACACGTCCAATGTACCGTATCGTAAACTGAGACTGAGTGCGGGATTTGAGGCGGTTTTCAACCAAACCTATTCGGGAAGTGTTTCGGAAGGCAACGATATGATATACGCGTTCATACACAACACCTCAAAGGTACCATATCGTAAACTGAGATTGAGTGCGAGAGTGGGGACATGGTCCAGTATACTATGTGAATGATTGATAATGCATATTATGTACAACATAGAAATAACCGTCAGGTATCGGAGGGAGTTCTTTATCCAAACTGACATTTTTCAACCGTGCCTTATCGAGGGGGGAATTAACTTTCCGGAAAGTGCCCTTGTTCGTTGGTGCCCCCCCCCCGCCCCACTTTGGAAGTCGCTCGGCCGCCCCTGACCGAAACTTTATGTTAGTGATAATGAATAATAAGAGAGGTATATGTAGTAACTAATTTACTATATATTGGCTTTGCTTAATTGTGTCCCCCCCCCCATGTTTAAAAAAAAAATTGACGCCCCTAACTACTAGTAGTACAAAGCTTCATGAACTATATTACTGGTGCTCGTGCTTCTTCTACCGCTGTAGTGCTAATAACAATTCAAACAAAATCAATATCAAATGATGAGGATGATAATGATAATAATGGTAATGATGATTATGGTAATAATGACGACAATGATGATGATAGTAATAAAAGTAATGATAATAATGATTAAAATAATACAAATATAGGGATGATAACAATATTAGTAGTAATAATAAATTAAAGACAATAAACAGGCCGATACCCGTACTATAGCACCACCATGGTTGTCGATCCGGGGGGGGGGGTGGGGGTGGGGGGAAATATCCCACAAAAAATATTTCAGGTGGGGGGATGGCCGGTACAATCATCCCCTCAATAATTCACCATCAAAAAAAAATGAAGAGAACAATTAATGATGAGAGCCCGATGAGAGTAATTAATGGTTATTACTCTCAAGATGACCATCAATATACACATTTTGCTATCTCATTTTCATAATACATACACCCCTGTACATATATGAAGAGAAAACGAAGTAAATGAGACAACCGTATATGAGACAAGAATAAATTGAATTCTCGCTCATACGGCTTAATCAAGAATTGATGAATTTATTCAATTTATTCAATCAACAGCATCATAGGGATGCAGTACGCCAAATGCAAAGCCGCAGCGTTAAAAAGTAACGAGCTAAATGTTAAGCGCGAAGCGCAAAAGAGCAAAACAAAAGTAGAGAGTGGGAGAGATAATGAGAGGCAGAGAGGATAATAACCCAGGTAGCAAGCCCATGCGGGACCACATGGGTCCCATATGAAAATTATCAACCAATTCCTCAATATAAAGAACTCTTAAAGGTAAAGGAAAGCATCTGAGCAAGAATATCACATGACTTTTGGCCAGTTCAATCTGAAGTGATTTTTAAAGCTGTGTGGGGTTAATGATGCGTTTTTTTCCTCTTCATAATGCAAGTAAAGTAATAAAATATTGTATCATTGAAGACAAAGACGGTTTTGTCCAAATGGCAGCATGTAGGAGACGGAACTTTCAGTTTGTTCCGTGATTCATACTCAGTATCTATTTTGTTTGTTTGATTTCATCCATTTCTCTGTTTTATATCTCTACATGTAAAACATTTGAAGAGCTATTTACCGAAAGGAGCAAAATCTTTTGATAGCAAATGGAGATAATGATAAACATTTTTCTCTATTTAACTTGAACAAAATTATCAATCTAAATTGCGAGAGAAATTATGAACACATGCATCTTTTAATAACAATTTTCCATAGACACCTGAACAAAATCGGGTAAACAAAGAGTCCTTTCTTAAATTACACACATTGATCTAGTGCTTCTTGAAAATAAGCTCTTTGTATGTACATAAACAAGCAATACAACAGAATACTCCAGTTCGATATTTTGGAGAAAGATTATAATGTCACAACTTATTTTTGTTTTATTGAAAAGCTGATGTAGGCATATGTTTAGTATTCAATCGTAACAGGCATAAGATAGTTAAGGTGTTTTTGAAGGTTAGAATGTTATTAAGTTTGAAGTTTTGTTTCTAACACCGCTTCCAATAATAATCCACTTTCTAAGACTGGTTATAGTTTTTGAAGAAAAAAATAGTGCTCTGTTCAGGGCCTTAGGGGAATATTATACTTATATTTTAGAGCGTATCTGGTATGATAAGTATATCTGGGTGACGAAGGAGATAATGGAAGTTTGTTGTTTGGTAGTTGGAACGTAAGTTTTATATTATGTTTTTTAAGAAACAGACAGTTTGTATGAGATCAGGAGTTTAAATTTTCTGTCATTTTGAGAACCAAATTTGCATCAGTAGTATTCTGTATCATTGAGTTGAGTTTCCCGCAGAGAGGATTCAGTTGGTTTAATTAAAGAAGGAAGAGAGTCAAATGAAAAACCAAAAGCAATATGTTTTTCATTTACTAATGAGAGCTATGTTTTTTTGAGATCTCCTTGCACAGAATATTGGAATGGGTTTTTCCCGATGAAAGTTGTTTGGAGACATCAATATTCATAAAATGTATGTTTCTATCACCAGGAAATAAGAATTTTCTGCCTACATGATCCTTTCCTGGTTGCGTATTAATGCATTTGCCCACTGGTAACATAATACTTTCACAAGTTGATGTCCCTAACCATTGGTTTTTTTGTTGGTAATGTCTAAATTTCGTTTAAAAATAGATTAAATTAGTCTAGTAGGTTTACACTGCAGGCAAGAGTCAGGACTAATATTTAGCATGTTATTAATGTTATTGCCACTCTTATATTCTCTGAAATGTTATCTTAATTGAGGGTGACTTGAAAAGGTTAATAACTTGCAAGGGAGGGAGTGCAACCTGCCACACACTTCTACCTCTTGGTTGCTTTGAACCATTGCCGAAAATATTTTGGCACCTATCATCCCCCCCCCCCAACCACGGATACACATCGACACCCATGAGTACCACTATTACTTTTACTACAAATGTGCATTATGATACTGCATCTATTACCACTACTACTACTAAATAATACAAGATGAAGAAGAGGAAGGAGAAGAATAATTTCGGCGATATTAGTGATTATTTTCTCTATGATCGAGGCACACAAGCACAATACATGCTTAGTGGTAATAAGGAAGTACGCAAAGGAAAGGGAAGCCAATAACAAAGAGAGAGAGGGAGAGAGAGAGAGAGAGAGAGAAAGAGAGAAGGATATTTATTACACTTAAACAATACCATGAGACATCAAGCTAGGTAGAACTATGACCGACAAATATCATTCTGTCTTGGAAACAGTCAGAAACCACACATTTCTTAACAACAATTAAAACTTCTCCCGGGGGCCTGAAATGTAATCTCTGTTTTCCATACAAATAGCATTGTAAAAAACGATAACAAAAATACGAATGCTAAAAATACATCGTCGTTAACGTTGGGAACCTCCACTTTTATCTCTTTTTGCCAAATATTCCGAACAATAAGACCAACCAAATGGAATCGACTGTGAAATGAATTTATCATGAGTCCGGAAATATTGATTTGCTGCTAATCTTATGACAGTTTTAAAGAGCAGCAACGGCGAATAATTACCGCTAAAATTCGGCAATCGTTGCTTTGAATGCTTTTCCCTGAATAATGCTATGGGCATAAAGCTAGATAGAAGTATGATCGACAAAAAAAATTATCTTGAAAACAGTCAGAAACCATTAGAACTAGAATAAAAATGATACAAATAATAATAACAATAATTATCATAATCAAAATCATCTTATTGATACTCATACTAATAACAACAATCAAAATGATAATAAAAATAAGTATAACTGTATACTACTCCTACTACTACTACTACTACTACTACTACTACTACTACTACTACAAATATAACTACTAGTACTACTACTACTACTACTACTACTACTACTACTACTACAAATATAACTACTAGTACTACTACTACTACTACTACTACTACTACTACTACTACTACAAATACTCTCCTCTCTTCCTTTCACTATTTTTTCTTTCCTATCAACGTTCTGTTATATACAATGTAATTTTCATAATAATGTCTATAATGTTCTTTCGGTAACTGTGTTAATTTATTATGGGCGTTCCCAACTCAAGCTACGCTTTCCGGGTTTTCGCCTCCTTCCGTATCTGAATTAATTACTGTATACTCTATGTTGAAATAATTGTTACATATATCATGTATATATACATTGTGTTTTATATTGTGCTGTTGAGAAGGAAATAAATGTTAATAAATACAAAATACAAAATATAACTACTAGTACTACTACTACTACTACTACTACTACTCACTAGTACTACTAGTGAAAATTATGTGACGCTATACATACATGTTGTTTATTGTTCTAAAGATATTTTTTGCTTACACCCAGTAGATTAATAACTTATGCTCGATCTTGTAACTTAAAACAAGTTAGAAAAGAAATCTTGAAACCAGCGGGATATTCTGGGTGCAAGCCAGTCAATTCTTGACAACAATTGAAATCTTTCCCAGGGGGTCTACAATGCAATTCTTTTCTTCTTTTTTTCTTACTCAAATAGCATTGTAAAGACGCTGAAAAAACAAGAATACCAATACATCGTCGCGAACGGTGGGAACATTCACTTTTATCTATTTTTGCCAAATATTCCGAACAATAAAACCAACCGAAAGGAATCAACCGTTAAATGAATTTATCATGAGTCCGGAAATATTAATTTGCTGCAATTTGGCAGGAAAATTTTAAAGAGCAGCAGAGGCAAACAATTGTCGTCAAAATTCAGCAATCGTTGTTGTGCTTGCTGTCCCCTGAATAATACCATGGGTATAAAGCTAGATAGAAGTATGATCGACAAAAATAATATTGTCTTGACAAATTTGTCAGAAATTATTACAACTAAAAATGGATAAGATATAGCGCGATCATTTATTTAAAGACCGTCAATACTACTGGGCCAGAAGAGATTAGACAACACAGCGAGGTCACTGACATGTGGCTATCTCATTAATTCAGCTCTCAACTAACATAGGAAAAAGAGAATCATGGGGGACCAAAAGGCACCGATTGGGGAAGTTTTCTATATAGAGGGAACAAGTAGCTACAAGTAGGACAGTGGAGCTTTAAAGCAAGTTCATTTTGACTTTGAGAATTCTCCAGTACCAAATATCAAAGCACATCTCGAGCCAGCTTCAAATAAATCTAAATTTGAAAACAATATATAATGACATATTGTCTAATGTCATGATTGTGTTCTTTATTTTTATCTTCTTTATATTTTACTTTATTAAACAAAACTTTTATTCTAATGTATCTTCTATTATCTTGATAATATTCCAGCAACGAAAAGATAATCCTGGTAGACACCTTGGATTTGGTATAGCAATACATTCTGGGCACATGACGTATTGCAAAAGATCATTACTAGCCCTTCTAATTAATGTACTTATACACTACTGCCGTCGATGTTTATGCTGATGGTGCCAATGATATGGCGTGGAAGTGCCTCGATGGACGAGCTCAATAACAAAACAAAACAAGCTTTTTAAACTGCACTGCCTTTTCCTCAGTATTATCTTATTCTTTTAATGCAACCTTCTTAAAATTGTGATGATTGTTAAATGTTACGTTGAAATGTAATTATTTTGTCTGTATTTATGTCTGTATGTAAATGTATATCACCTTTAGATGTCCGAAATCAAATGTTATGTATTTTTTACATGACAATAAATATCTTGAATCTTGAATCTTGAATCTTGATATTATAATAATGATTCAGAAAAAGATAATAATAATGATAACGTAAAAGATAATAATAACAATAATTATCATAGTCATAATCATCTTTTGATAATCATACTGATAACTATAATAATAATAATAATAATAATAAGTATAATAATAAGTATAATGTCTACTACTACTACTACTACTACTACTACTATTGATACTAGTACTACTATTACCACTACTACTACTTCTACTACTATTGAACTACTACTACTTCTACTGCTCACTACTACTACTAATACTACTACTACTACTACTACTACTACTACTACTACTACTACTACTATTGAACTACTACTACTTCTACTACTCACTACTACTACTAGTGAATAACATGTGACTCTACATACAATAGTAACACAGTGTTGTTTATCGTTCAAAAAACATTTTTGGCTTGCATCCAGTAGAATGATAATGTGTGCTTGATCTTGTAATTGAAAACAAATTAGAAAACAAATATTTGAACAAGCGGGATATTCTGGATGCAAGCCAGAAAATTCTTAACAAAAATTAGAACTTCTCCCAGGTGCCTAAAATGTAATCCTTTATTCCATACAAATATCATAATAAAAGGACGGAAAAAATACGAATGATAATAAATACATCGTCGATAACGGTGGGAACCTTCACTTCTATCTCTTTCGTCTGCTAAATATTCCGAACAATAGAACCAATCAAAAGCAATCAGTTGTGAAATGAATTTATCATTAGTCCAGAATTATTAATTTGCTACTAGTTGTCATGAAAGTTTTAAAGAGCAGCAAAGGCGAATAATTATCGTATAAAAATCGGGAACGGATTGTTATGCCACATGTTCGTGTAGTCCCATATACATATTGTTGTGTACAGTGCTTGCAACTTTACCAGGACTAGGCCAAATCCCACAATTTGCAGTACACACCAATACTTAAATGCTAGATGATCAACCTTTTCTGATCGATTTTACACCGTTTCTTGCAAAATGTAATCGCATGACCATAAATCAACGTTATCTTTGACAGTAGCTTTCGTATTTTCCCCACCTTTCAACCTTTACCAGGAAACGGCGATCCGATTCCACTTCCTCAGCGATGATGCAGTGCCAGACTTCCCAATCCTCGTCGTGGTAAAACAACCCCGGAGTGTCTTCTCCTGGACTGTACCTTATGTCTCACCCGACGGGTAAGATACATGAAGGAGCATTTGTATGGGTTCTCGTAGTGGCTATGAATGTGTGGGAACCTGCACAGTTTAATACCTTTGTGTATTAATTACACAAAGGAAGAATAAGGAGAAGAAGAAGACGAAGAAAGAGAGATAGATATATATATATATATATAGAGAGAGAGAGAGAGAGAGAGAGAGAATAACATAGAGAAAGAAAAAGACAAAGGAAGAAACTAACAACTAAACCACTCCTCCAAAAAAAGAAAAGAGAGGACGAGGACAAGGACGAGGAGAAACAGACACAATAAGATTTTATAGTTCAAGAGCATATTATCGATATATCAGCTATCAGCAAACTTCTAAATTAAATGTGTAAAGGTACCATGTCTTATTTGCAGGCCAAAAAATGAACAGGTTAAATTCCAACGGCATTTGAAAGATAATACTAAAGGTTGTGGTGTGCAGGTAGGGTATATCAATGGGAAAAGTGACACTTTTTGCCGTCACTAAGCTGCTTAAACCAGTAAGCATTGATACAAATGGAGTGATTGCAATACAAAGACATTGACAGAATGTTCCGACAATCTACTCCAAATTTTATAGCAAGCCCATAGGCGGAGATCCGGGTGGGGGGGGGGGGGACTATGTAATCATCCCCAATGTTATGCATATCTTTATGATCTAATGTTCACCGTAAAGCCTTTCATTTAAATTTTGAATTTACATCTTTTAAAGAGGAAAAACCCCAATCCGGATGTGTTTATAAGTACATATCCATAACGGAAGACTGAAAAGACATATAATTATATTATCTATAAATGTGAGCGAGCGAGTTTTGGGGGAAATTACTCTAGTCGATTTAAATTAGGGGCACATTTAATGACGAGAGGAAAGTGGGACACTTATCGGAAGGGATGAGACACTTGGATATAAGAAAAGAAAAGGAGCACGTGTGAAAGTGAAAAGGGTAATCTTCAGAGTTGAAAATGGGGCACTTCTTACACCTAAAAAGAGGCCCTAACCAGAGATGAAAAATAGCATTTATGAGAATTGGAAATGGGCATTTGCAGACGGAAAGGGGGCACCCATCATATTTTGATAGAGACGTTTATTAGAGGTGAATTTGGTGAATATGGAGAATTTATAAAAAGAGGATAGGTCCCTTATTAAAAAGGAAAAGGGGCACTTGTGAAAATAAAAAAAGGGAACCTACAATAAAGGAAAATGCGCATTTGTTGAAAGAAAAGGGGCGCCGATCAAATTTTAATAGGGGCATTTATCAGAGGTGAAGAGGGTGCTTTTATAGGAAGGGGGGAGTGGCTCTTACCAAAAAGAAAAAGAGACACGTCTTAAAACAAACGGGGCACTTATAAGAGATGAAAAGGGGTAATAATGAAGTAAGGAAAGGAAAGGAAAGGAGCACGTGTCTTCAAATTAGGAAGAGGTTACTCTAAAATGGGGAAAGGGCACTTCTTACAAAGTAAAAGGGGGTCCTCTCAGATTTGAATAGGGCAATTATCAGAGGCAAAATGAAAAATGAAAAGGGGCACATCTCGTAGCTGAATAAAAGCACTAACTAGATATTAAAAAGGGCACTTATGAGAATGGAAAATGGACACTTTTGGCAAACGAAAATAGGAACTCGTCGAAGGAAAAGGGGCAGGTGTCTATATTAAAGGGGCACTTATAAGAGGTAAAAAGGGGAAGGGGGACTTTAACAAAGTAATAGGGGCACTTTTCCTATGTAAAAAGGGGCTCTTCTTACAAAGTAAAAGAGGCACGTTTGAAGTACTTGACAAAATGCCACTCTGCGCCCCCCACCAAAAAAAAGACAATAGACGGGGGCTGAATCCACTCCAGCCCTTTTAGTATTCTATAAGAGTTTGAGCCCTGCTTTGATATGTCACATTCCAAAAAACATAATCTGAACAAATCAATTTTCAACGCACTTTTAATAAAATATTACAAAATTGGTATGAGTATGAATAATTTTGTTGTTTATTGTATATTTAGCTATCTTAGATTGAGACAGTAGAAATGCTGTTGTCTATTGGATATATCAACGGACTGTGGCTCGTGGATCAAGTCCCGCCTCAGCCACAATGCATCTACATTTGCCTCTGTCCACCTGGTGCTAAATGGGTATCTGGTAGGATGAGAACGTTAAAGTGGATGGTTAGATACATGATGCAGGGCTGGAATACTCTCCAGTGAGCGAAGGATGTACACTATCATGTGCAGATTAGCAATTGAATCCAAAGACTGGAGTAATAATACCAATATAAAGTGCTTACATATGTAGTAAATGTATTAAGCACTATGAAAAAGTCATTATTCTTTGTTGTTGTTTCATGCTCAGCAAGAAATATGGCTCAGTAAGCAAGACCCTGTGCCCTGATTCCTCCAACCTAAACGCCAGTGTGGAGGAAACCATCATTGTGGTCGTCAGCACATCATCCGCCATTGAAGTCAATTTCACCCTGACTGGGATGTTTGTAGACGATTTCAACCTTCAGTAAGTATGATTTCATTTTGGAAACAGTTTTATTTTCCTTCTCTTTCTATATGTATCTTAACAATTGAATGAACTGTACTGTACATTAATTAACCTGCATCGATTTTTATATCTGAATGTCTCTTACGCTTATTGAGATGTTCGTGGGCGGGAGGTTTTGAGTTTTTTTTTTTGTGTGTTTGATAAAATAAAGTCATTGAAGAAAAAAAAGGCATAAAAAAGGGAGAGGGAGAAAAAAAAAAGGATATTTCATGAAGTAAAGTACACTTCATATTATGTACAGGTGGCTAAGTACAGATTTTATTTTTACAAAAAAATAAAATTTACTACATGTATTGATATGGTTAGGGCTATCTGTACAAAACACCTGCTTCTTGTTACATCTCCTGCTCCGTATCAATATCAAATTATTATTGGCATTAATACTTCCCTTTTGTCTCTTCAGATCCGATACAGATATCACATTCTCAAGTGATCCATCTTCACCTCAGGTTAGAGATTTTTAAATGGTAGGGTACAGTAATGATCCCCCCCCCCCCCCACACCCATCTATTGGATCTACTTGTAAATGCAGTATCGGGAATGAGAAAATTCAGTTATAATGTATTTTTTTGCTGAAATCTTGTCAGGAGTATAATTTTATGTACGTGCAGTGGGAAAAATTATAAACTATCTTTATGATTTCCTTTCATGTTTTTCCTGAATTTATAATTAGTCATATAGTTTTTATCTCGTTTTGAAATTTTTTCTGCTACAGACCACCCAGATTTATTGAGAGTAGAAATGTATACGAACTTGCTAAGCTAAAAGAACATTACATTTGTAATATTTCAACGGACACGGCAATGCAATTTATTGAATTTTGTATTTGAATGATGTCACTTTTTCTCTTTTATTTCATGTACATATATAGGAATGATCTGATTATGTCTTTTTTTTATTTTGTATTACAGTTTTATCAATATGAATTTCCAGAGGGAGTCAATATGGTGCTGGTGAGAGCCAAGTCACCAAATGATACATGTGCCTACTTTTCAGTGCAGAAGGCAGAGGTGAGTAGACCTGTTTAACCTACCCCATTCAACTGGTAGAAAATTATACATCAATGACATATATCCCACATGTACACGTACCTTCTTGACCTTTTTATTTCCACCTCCTTTCATTTCACTTTCTTATTTGTCCAGTTTCCGCCTTTTGATCAATATTGAAATCCCTCTCTTCACGTTTCTTTATCTCACCATTATCCTTTGTTCTTGCCCCACCCCTCCTCTTTCTCTCTTTCTTTCTTTTAATAATATTCATGATTATCCTTGTTATGGCATTTTTGCTTCAAATACCTTCCACGTTATCAAACTTCACTGAGTCTTTGTTTCTCCTGTAGGGAAGAGAACACTTTTCCAATTAGCCAATTCTTGCATGGGAGCAGTTGCCTCTTTCCTACTGGCAAGTGGGAAATATCAAAGAAATATCAAGAAATATCAAATATTATATGAGAGATTAATTGATATTTGTCTTTATCTTTCTCTCCCAGTGTCCGATCTTTGAAGATGTTTCCACCGTGCGTTACAACGCGGGGATATTTCAGACGATGACCTTGCAGGCAGCAATTACAGTTACGGTAAGTCTAGGACAATTGTAATACCGAATATTCATTAGTTATTGTTTAATTGACCCTATACCGCAAATATGAATCGGGAATTATCCCGTTTATGTTATTCAATTTTGTTGACAGAGAGACAAGTATAAATCGGGCCGTTTCTATGTTGTGATGGTCGTGCATTCAAACGATGACAGGTGCGAAAATGACTACAAGACATTCACACCTCTCGAAGGTAAGGGATCCTTACTTTCTATGTTGGGTTCAAATTGGCAACATTATTCTCATCATATCCTTTCGAATGATGGTGCATCTAATTAATTATGTTATGATTCTTTGAAAATAGTAGATACATGTACAATGTTTGTCATAAATGTGGAATAATGTTTTTTACCCCAATTTGTGGAATGCTTTTGACAATGATTTATTCCTAAAAGATCTAGTTTATAGTATACATTCTCAGATTTTATTGAATGATAATTGGCGAATGTATGTTTTGCGTGACTGCTAAAGCATGGGTAGGTTACTATGTTTATCAACCAGGGGACCTACGTCCTTAAGTCATAAATGACAGTAATGAGGATTAATGCCTCACAAAAGTGCACTAATATAGCACATCGACACGGTTTTGATCCTTGAGCCTAACAGTTACTAGGTCATTGCTTTGCCACTGAATCATGACTGTACGCAGCGGGGTTAGGGTAGGGGGCAGCCCCCCCCCCCCCCCCCCGCCAACAAAAATGCAATCAGTTAGCAATAATTGATTGCATTTTCCCCAGGTTCCCAACAGAAAAAAAATCCCCTGTGTGGCCATGCCTTGAACCATAATGCATGGCCGTTTCCCGTTTCAGATATTGTATACGCATTTCGAACATATAACTTAATAGTAGAAATGAAAAGCTTTCTTAAGTATGTTGAAACTGAAGCTGATATCTAAAAATATTCAACAAAGGCCCCTTTTCAACCAGTCTAGCTTTATAGGTAATACAAAGTTTTGGTATTGGGTCGTACAATATTGGAGGGTATTGGACCCTACAATATTTAGTGATCATCGTCGCGGTTAAAATCGAGTCTAAAGTTATGAAATTGTAAATAATAAACTCTTTATGTTGTATAGCTCCCTCTCAAGGTCAAGACATTAATTAACCTATAAAACAATGTTTCTTGACTAAAACCGACCGATTAGCTATTCCCGTTTGGAAATTATATATCACAACTACATATTCTGAGATTTTCATGGTCGCAGCTACCATCGTACGGTCGTAGACGCTAATTGAAATGTATATCAAAATTTACCGGTAGTACCGGTCAATTTTTATATTCAATTTTTCTCGAAAGCAGAAGTGTTTTAGGGGCTAAATTTTCTACTGCTTATATTACATCCACAGGGGTATCCAAATACATCAAAATTGCAAAGAATCACTATCCACCCATTTTCAAAATTTTCCAAAACTTTGTATTACCTTAAATCTTTGAGTTACGAAAAACACAAAAAACAAACAAATGGGGTATGAATATTTGAGTTGTTGACTGTATGTATGTACTATGTGTGGCAACATTGGATTACCTACTGTGCATTAGCTATATTCTGCATTTTCTATTATTTCATAATCGTTGTTCTACTACCCGATGTACTAACTATTTTGTTTGATTGTATTCTTCCAGCTCAATATACAGGCTTATCAGAACGCACAAAGATTGTAACACTGAGAGTGGAACACACACTAGAAAGTAAGTACTATATGACATTGTACTGCTTGTTGTGATACAAAAAAAGGCTTCAGCGATATAAAAATATTATCAAAACCACATAGATTTAGTGTAGATGTGAATTGCAACATAATTCGCTGGCATCATGTTCGGTGGAATAACCAATCACTATGTGTGCACAGGTTTTCCATTCAGCGAAACTCGTTGTTCCACCATGAAGAAAGTACTCCTGCTTACTTTCATATCTCGAGTTTGAGGGAGATTTTAGTACGATGAGAATTCCTTATGGCATTAGGCTCCAGGCACGGTTTTGTATACATAAATGTAATAATGATTGCAATTTGGAAACTTTATGATTTGATAATTGATACAGTGGACTGCACTGTCGTTTTCCGTGGACAGTGAAACTTGCATATAAATACTGCTCAAGGGAGACAAGAAAATCAGTCTTTATTTATTATTATTATTTATTATTTATTCGGCAATTCACACAAAATATAACAATGTAAATATAGGTAAACAAACATTAATAATAATAATAATATTAATTGGAAATGCACAATTTTCCTGGAGGTCCTCTGAGTGCATCAGTTGGCTGCCAGGGAAGAGGAAAGCAAACTAAATCACTGTAACCGTAATGGTCCCTCTTCCCGACCAACTGGTGAATCCAGAAGACCTGCAAACTATAGCATGAAGGTAATTAAAATGTATAACATTTCATAAACAAACCAGCTAACAAAAACAAGGCAAAAGGAGGAGTTCAAATTAATATGTATGATGACACTAGGTCATGACACGATACTGATCATTAACATGAGGAATTAAGTCTGGCTTAAAAACTATTGCATAAAATGTCTAGTAGGTAAAATGAAACCATGAAGTATAAAACTGAGCAAAGAACCAAATGTGAGAGCATGAAGTAGCGCACTGACAAGAATGTCTAAAATCATACAGATTAACCGGTATATAAAGTTACGAGGTATATAAAGTTACGAAAACATGGTAAAGGAAGTGAATAGAGGCTTAGTGAGCTTCAGTTATGAGCTGGTAGTATTTATGTCAGGCTCCTTTAATACAAGTTTCAATAGGAAACTATGCTCAATGGACACCAAATAATGGGGTCTCTGTAGTCTGGGTCGTCACTAAAGTAGGTTTGACTGTACTTGAAAATTGTATTCAGTCACGTATGTCTGTATAAATCTGTCAATCCGTTGCTTGGCTAGTATTTTTTACCAGGTGTTATACTAAAAGTACCTATTTCACACGAATACTCAGTATTATCTCATTCTTATCTTGTGCTGCAGAATATTGGAAGCCGGTCGTGGTCACTTTAGTGGTGCTCATAGCCATCGCTATCCTGTCTTTTGTTATTATCTTTGCTGTACCCGTTTTGATGTAAGTGCGTCGTACTTTTATCTAAACCCAAATATTTCAGGGGGGTGTTTCACAAAGATCCTAAGTTGAACTTATCTCTAAGTTGGACTTAAAAGTTATGGAAAGCCATTAGCTTCATTGAAAATATTTTGTAAAAGTTATTTTAAAAGGCATAACATGTTGATTCAAATCATTTATATTTTCTATTATCATGAAAGATTTCATGTTCTTGATGTGGAATTTATGAAAAGTCTAAAATACTTCAATTGTTGCTTTTGAATATATTTCATTTTAAGGCTATAAATGGCTCTCCATAATATTTAAGTCCAACTCAGAGTTAAGTTTGACTTAGAATTTTTGTGAAACACCCCCCTGGTATCTTAGTCAAACTGAAATTTAAACGTTCAATTTGCCTCCTATTATGGTAAACTATAGTGTACATTTAAGACATGGTGACAAGCTTGTTGATTTTCAATTAAATATGTATTAGAACTTTAAGAAAAGTATTGTGATGCTAATAGGGGACATACACAAATAATTATAGTAACAATCAGAAAAAGTTTTTTCTGACCATTTGAACTGTACCCCGAAATCGTTTACCTTGTAATTTCTGTCATATTTAATGCTATCATTTTGCCATTATCAATGCAATACACAAGCAGCTAAATTAATAAATGAGAAAATTGTATATGCCTTACCGTTTTTCTAAACAATTAATCGTATTTGAAGTAATATATAAATACATGCGTGTACAATTATATTCATGATTTCCTTGTATCTTTCCAATTCTTGTGTCTATATTTGTAATAATTACAATGCGTATGTATTGTAAGAACAAATTATTCATATACTATGTGAATTAACTTTTCTAATAAATACAAAAACGACGTTTCGATATCCATTTTCAGACGAAAGATGGCAAAATCTTGTGCTAGGGCAGTTGATTCACAAGAAGGTAAAAACGATTCAACAAAATCCCTTTTGTAAAATGACTTTGTCATATTTTATTCATTATATCGCTACCCTTTTATTCTTCCTTTCTATCATTTTAATAAGTTGGCAAGGTATTCATGCATTCATCCATCATGATTGCCATTTCTTTTAGACAAAAAAAGGGCTGAGAAATTTCATATTCTTGCCCCGAAGTTTTCATGATCACGCTGTTCATGCGTACATGTGAAGACACTTGGCATTCTGCTTTAGTTCCAAAGTAATATTTATGCTAAAGTTACTGCGTATAAATAGCAAATTTGAGTTGATTTATCGATTTTTTTTCTTCAGTTTTCATAGTCATGGAATGCATTAAACTGACTTTGTATTTATATACATCCATCTATATTTTGTATGTTACATGCATACATTTGTCACTTTAGTTGACAAATGAACTAATATTATCTTCAGTCAGTGTCATAGAAATTGTTGTATTGGTTGCATTTGCATCATGTACACTTAGAAGAATTGCTTTCTTATTGTAATATATATTAGCTAGTATGGATTATTGCTTTAGAGAGACGTACAAGCTCTAAATAGTTTTATTATTATTTACTATTACTTCAGAGAGCATCCAAGCCGACGCCAATGAGAACAACATCGAAGCAACCGGTAATACAGAGGTACGTTTACTAACATTCATGATATTCGTTCCAAACTAATGCCTATAACATGCGGTGTTCCTCAGGGAAGCATTTTAGGCCCAATTCTATTTTATTGTGTAAATTGCATGTTGTGTTGAAATGTCCTAGGTGAGTGGTTTAAAGGCGTATAGGAGTCGGCTCTCATGGGGAAAACGACACCATTCGGGTGTTTACCCAATAACAGGTGCTGTCAGTCACCGTGATTAGCCTTCGGTTTTATGACCAACAGGCCTTATGGAATGCTTTGCATGTTCCACCCATCCCCCCATTTGGTAAAGTCCTAATCTTATAATTCCCTCACTCGGAGACTCTCCGAGAGACTGGGGGGTATTTCTTGATATGATTACGGGTTTGCAGTGAACAGACTTGTACACCCAGCATTAATGGTGTCAGCTAATTATGGCCTTCTGCACAAGGAAACTGACGACCCTCTCCATTTTAATGCCAAGTAAACAGTTTTGTTTTCCTTCATGGAACCAGTATTTTTCTCAGCACGGTATTTTCAAATGCTCCTGTATACTATAACTAGATACACGTGTAGTAATTTCGTTATACAGCACTTAAAGCCCCACTGTCCTACTTAGAGCTACTTGCTCCCTCTATATATAGAAAACTTCCCAAATCGGTGCCTGTTGGTCCCCCATGATCCTCTTTTTCGTATGTTAGTTGAGAGCTGAGTTAATGAGATAGCCACCTGTCAGTGACCTCGCTGTGTGGTCTAATCTCCTCTGGTCCAGTAGTAATGACCATCTTTAAATGGCATGTTACTCAAGCATTGTCACTTCATTGATCATGTTTGTTTTTGTTTTTTGTTTTTATACAAATAATCACACGTGACGAGTGTTGATATGTGCAGATACAACAAACTAAGAAATAAGGGTGCAATTCTGCTAAAAAACAACACCCTCTGTCAAATACTCGTAGGTGGATGCCAGTCTGCACCCAAATTGCAACCTAATTCTCAGTGTGAAGAATGTCTTATATGTTTCTGATATGGATATTAATGTCATTACATCTAAGCTCCAAGCAGATTTGTATGCTATAAATGAATGGTATTGTAAAAATAGATTACGTATTAATACTAATAAGAGTAATATTATGCTGTTGAGTAGTAACATACGAGGTAACGATGAATTAAGTCTGAAGGTACATATTGATACTGAAACAATAGAACAAGTAAGAAGTATCAGATATTTAGGGATTGAAATTGATGATAGATTATCTTGGGATATCCACATTAAATCTCTTACCAAATCATTAAGTTATAAGATTTTTACTTTGAGAAAGCTCAGTAATTTTTTAAGCTCTTCCATTTTAAATAAAATATACAAATGTACCATACAGCCAATCTTAGATTATTCTTGTTCCGTATGGGGCAACTGTTCTTTACAAAACAGAAATATTCTTTTAAGACTGCAAAAAGAGCTGCACGTATTGTCGTAGGGAATTTTGATTATAATGTAAATAGCTTGAGTATAATAAATTCATTAAAATGGCAATCCATTGACACTAGACGGGACTATTTTTTATCATGTATAATGTACAACTGTATTCATGGAAAAGCCCCAGTACGATTATGCAATGAAGTGGAAATGGTTTTTGACAGACATGGTTTTAACACTAGACTTGCCAATACGCTGAATGTTGTTTTACCTAAGCCTAATCTTGAATGTTTTAAGAATTGTTTTAGATACGCTGGAGGTAAAATCTGGAATAGTTTACCTTCTGCTTTTCAAAATGCTAAATCTATCGATGTTTTTAAACGTATGTACAAGGACAAATTTTTTAAACCTGTGTAATACAATGCCGATTCATTTACTGCTTTGACATGGCTTATCTCTCTCTCTCTCTCTCTCTCTCTCTCTCTTTCTCTCTCTCCATTTCCCTCTCCCCTCTTTCTTTCTTTCTTTCCCTCTCCCCTCTTTCTTTCTTTCCCTCTTTCCTCCTTTACTTTTTACCAGTTTCCTTATATCTTCTCTCCTCTTCTATTTTTTAGGGTGATATTTTAATGCCTTTTATTAAAGTGATTTGATATTTTTTCCGCTGTTAATTTCATTTATTTCATTGTCATGTTTGTTTGTTTTTTTGTTTTGTTGTGCTTTTTACTATTTTTTAATGCGTATTATGCTTATGTTAGTTTTATACTGTTCTTACCTTTGCCTGTGAGCTTTGGTGATATTCGTTATTTATATTTCCGTGTTTTTATCCTGTTCAGGACCATGATGTAAAACAGATTTTGTATCTACAATGTATATCTGATTCTTGATATCCTGATTATATATATTTCAATAAAAATAAATTCTCACCCCACTTATTGGCAGCCATAAGAATGAATTAAAATTTAAATTTAAATTAATACGTCATATTTTTCTTTTTTGGGGTGCGCTTTGCATTTATCAACTTTGTTACAGGTTGTGTTTGTTAGTAACCTATCAACGAAGAAGTTTGAAAAAATGGAAAAGAAGTACAACACGTACGTCTGGGATATTGTAACGGTGTCCGTATTCTACGCTCTTCCAGTCGTTCAACTTGTCGTAACCTACCAAGTGGTAAGATTTTTAGTATGTTCAGGCCCCCAATAGATTGTAAGTGGACCGGACGTAGGGGTGGCTTTTTAATTTGGGCTGTAGGTGAAGGCAGGTGTACTTTCCAAGGTCATAAACGTATTTTTTTTTTTATTAAACTGTATATGCTTAATGTTTTATATCTCGAAACTGATAAGATTTAACAAAATACACGTTCACCTTTTTTTACATATTGGATGGTCCTTCCATTTAGCATCCCGTCAAAGTATTTGATTAAAGAAATTGTGATTTTGTTTCTTATGGTAATAACTGGTACATTCCGGCGAATAAGGGAGTGCCAGGTTAATTCCACATATAATACTCCCTAGTCAAAGTTGTCAAGACTATTTATTTTGATCTGAATAACCCTGAATAGTGTAATCATCAAACACAATTGTGTCATTTCATCTGTTGTGTTATCGTTTTCATTCACATGTTGCTTTCTTTTTACAGAAAACTCTACATGTTCCATAAATAAGTGGGCTATGTTAAAGGGCAAGTCCACTCCAAAAATAATTTACTTTCAATAGAAGCAGAAAAATCAGACAGAACAATAAAAAAAAAAGTTTGAGCAACACCGGACAACTAATAAGAAAGTTTTGAATTTTTAATGACATGAAAAACTTTGAAAATCACTAGGCGAATTGGCAACTCATTCATGAGTCTATGACGTCATTGCCTCACTATCCACTTATTGTGTTCTTTATATTGATAATATAAATATACAATAATCCCTCCTAGAAACCTTATTTCCTTAGCATCCAAGTTATATTGATAGCAGTAGTCCTTATGTTTTCGTGTGGATGCACTAACACAGAGTTGTCTTTTAATTCTGTTAAGTCATGAAAAATTCGAATTTTAATAAACTATTTATATGAAAATCAATAGTATAAAATCTTCTAACTTCATAACAGATTTTGTGAAATGTCATGCACGCAATATGATACGAATCATATACCCTGGGCAAACACATGGGGAAACCAAGTTTTGGCGGATAAAAAGGGAAATTAAAGGGATAAAAATACTATATAAAGCAATTGATAAATAGTGAGGCAATGACGTCACAAACTTATAACCAAATTTGCAATTGTGAAGTGATTATCTAAGTTCCACAGTTGTTCATACCTTAAAAAAAATCATAACTTCCTTATTATTTTTCCCATTTTATTCAAATTTCTTTTGCTCTGTTTCTCTTGTTTTTCTACATCTATTAAAAGTTGTTTTTTTTTGGAGTGGTCTCAGCCTTTAAGTCAGATATAATTAAGTCCACATTCGTGCTTGTAGTGAATTATTATTTGGATTAATCTTCCCCATCCTACCTTCTTAATTTTTGTTCATCTGCAGGTTACCAATGTCACTGGAAACCAAGACTCGTGCTATTATAACTTCCTGTGTGCAAAGCCATATTCATGGTTTAGGTAAATGTTCCCTGCCTAAATGATCTTTCCTTCATAATGAAAATAAGTTTGTATTTGTTTCCAGATGCAGTTTCCTTAGAAAGCACTTTTTTAACGATCACGCGTTGGGAATGAAAATGTTTGAACTATTACAAATGTAAAATAATGCATAAACAAATTGCAGTATTGTCAATTAAGGTTAGAATTGTGTAAATATGTAATAACATATAGTATGTTTAAATTATGGAGATTTCAATGCTAGCAGTAGTATCCTATACCTCAATTTGAAGATGAAACTATCCTGTTCATTAATGAAAAATTGTTGGACTTAACGATTATGAAAAGCCGTTAGCCTCATTGAAAATATTTTGTAAAAGTTATTATAAAAGGCATCACATGTTGACTGAAATCATTCATACTTTCTATTATCAAGGATAAGGATTGATGTGGAATTTTTGAAAAGTCTAAAATACTTGAATTTTTGATTTTGAACATATTTTATTTTATGGCTCCAAATGGCTCTCCATAATGTTTAAGTCCAACCTAGAGTTAAGTTCGACATAGGATCTTTGTGAAACACCCCCTGATCACAAAATTACAATGCATGGCTGAGAAGTCAGCCAAAAGGAAACAGCCTTATTGACGCTGGTACAAAAGGAAAATGGTATTTACAACGTTACTTCAATCGAGAGAGAAAGACCTACAAATCTTTATTTTTCGTAAGCGACTGTAACAAACTTGTAGGACACTACATGCTAATGAAAATATGAAGCAATAGTGAAAACGTTTTTTGATATGGGCATCTAACAATTCCTTTTGCAAACCTGACTGTTGTGTTTACCTATTCCCTTTGAATGCAGTGCCTACAACAATGTGTACAGTAATGTTGGCTACGTCGTGCTGGGATTTGTCTTCCTTGTGCTTGTCGGGATAAAACACTATAACCGAGTACACAACAATGAACTGGTATGTATTGTTTTCTTTATAATCATTTTCATTATCATCATCATCAGCAGCCCCATCATCATCATCGGCTTTACAGTCACTAATATCATTTGTACAGTATCGTTAACATCAATCTTCCTCCCCATCATATTCATCACCATCATCATCATCATCATCATCAACAACATCGTCATTAGCATCATTATCATCATCATCATTATCACCATCACCATCATTACCACCATCACCATCACCATCACCATCACCATCATCATCACCAGCACCATCATCATCACCGTCACCGTCACCATCATCACCATCATCATCATCATCATCATCATCATCATCATATTCATATTCACTATCATCAGCAGCAGCAGAAAAATTATTTATAAAAAATTGAATGAAATAAATGAACAATTGACCTGCATAAACATAATGTGCAATGAATTAGGGTATATGTAATGATATTTCTCTTTTCATGAATCCTTCATCATTCTTATTGTTTTTATTTAAATCTGAATGTTCTTTTCTGCGCCTTGAGCATTTTTTGTTATTGAATTGGTGCTTTATCAATACTCAGTTTCTATATATTTCAATTTTTTTAATATCATTTCTTTATTAAAGAAAAATAGAATACACTGGGTAGTAAACATAGTACAAATATACCCAACATAGCTTTTTCAAAATAAGAAAGTATTTGACAAAGTAGTGACATAAACATGATAACACGACAGTTGCAATATACGAGATCCGTTGTTTATAAAGGCAGATGGCAGGTTTGCATGATATTACCACATAGTTATATATTCATTAAATGTACGAAACATGTTTGTAATCTGGTATAAATAATCTTACATAATGGGCTGGCTGTACAAGGATGATGAGTAAAAGCAAAGAAATGAAGTCGAATGTCCTTTACTTTTAAGCAGAAGCCTACATAGGTCTTGTTTGATATTATAAACATGATTTAATATCAATGATATATCAAAATGTAAGCGATTTTTTTTTTTTTTTTTTTTTTTTTTTTTTTAAATTATTTTTTAATAACTATATTTGCATTTCTTCCATTTTCCGGCCCAGGGAATCCATAAACACTATAGTCTCCTGTATGCCTTGGGCTTTGCTCTCATTATGGAAGGCGTTATGAGCGCTTCCTACCATGTCTGTCCAAACAGGGCCAACTTCCAGTTTGGTAAGTATATGAAAATTGTGGTTATTTGTTAGGGAAATGAAAGGATAGCCCGTCTTTCGGATGGTGACGTTAAAGCTAGGTCGGTCCCGAGACGTAAAAATGCATATCTGATTGATACACGTCTGTAAAAACCCAATTACACACACAGGGTAGCCCGTGCCATGATTCATCTACAAAGATATATGTATGTGTACCGTGATTACAACGAATTTATGTAACCATTGCATCTGATTTAATGCTGCAATGCTGTAAGATGCATTTTTATTTAGACTGTAGCCTCAGTTGCCTAAGGCTTACAATAAATGGTGATATGTTCATGGATACTTTACTTGCTCTAAGCTCATGACTTTGTAGCTTTCTCGTAACGTCTTACTAAATTAAGATATGTTCATATTGCAAACTAAAAGTCGTGAACAAATGTGATGGCGTAGTGAACCATTGGGGAGCAGTGGTCTTGAAACTGGAAGGTCCTGGATTCGAAACGAAATCAATGTACTTGTTTATCATTAAGTCCCTCTGAAAGTTGTGAAAGCCTTAGGTCTCCCGGTTTGCTCTTTACGAAAAAGGATATAATTGCTTTATTTAGCTTTCAGCCAATTTAAGCGTCAACGTATCAATCGTGTTCCCCCTGATCTGGCTCCTATTTTAATTGGTTGCAATAGATACCTCCTACATGTACATGATAGCCTGTCTGGGGATATTGACGATGTACCAAAAGAGACATACAGATATCACCGCCTCCGCCAACAAATCATTCGCTTTGATTATCCTCATTATCTTTACTGGATTCCTGGGGATGGTAAGTTTGCCTAGAGTTGGAGGGATGATTGATGATGGTGATGATGACGATTGTGATGATGATGATGATGATGACGATGATGATGATGTAGAATGAAGGGGTGGTGATGATGAGGATGATGGTAAAGAAGAGGACGAGTAACGGTGGGAGTGGGATTATGATGAGGAGATGATGAAGATGATGATGAAGTTTAAGGTGGCGTTAATAATGATGATAACGACGAAGATGTTAATGATGATGATGATTAGGATGAGCCTCCCGGGTACCCCAATGCTGGAAAGAAACGCACTTTTTAGAAAACTTCACTTTTTCATGCAAAAATGCTAATTTGTTCTATGCACGCAAGTCAGATTGCACGGATGATACAACGTTTCCATATAGTATGCAAAATGACACCAAATCAAACGAGAATTACCTGTTTTCCCCATCCCTTCAAGCAGGCGCGTACGCAGAGGGGGGGGGGGGGGGGGTGTCCTGGGGTTTAACCCCCCCCTCAAATTGTTTCCATCAAATCTTTTTTGTTGTAGTGCTCACTACCCCCCCCCCCCCCCCCCCCCCCCCCCCCCCCCCCCCCACTGAGCGAAATATCGGCCGGCGCGATTTTAAAAGTTCGAAGGGCAAAACAGAAGAAAAAAAAAATAATGCACACTACCCCCCCCCCCTCCCCCTGAGCGAAATATTGGCCGGCGCGATTTTCAAATTGGCAAAGATCCCTCTTGAAAAAATTCTGCGTACGCCACTGAACTGCCTTCAAGGCCCCTCACATAGTATAGTATTAATGACTGCTTTGAGAGAAATAGTTGTTTTTATACGCTCAAGGAAAGGTTAGAATTGTGCTATTACCCGAGGCGTGCCGAGGGTGATAGCCCAATTGTAACCTTCCCGAGAGCGTATAAAAACAACTATTTCTCAAATATAAAAGCGGTCATTTATACTTTTATATGCCCAAAAAAAAAATTAAAAAAAGAAAAAAGAAAAAAGAAAAAAACTTTTTTCGAAGATGGGATTCGATCTCTTGCGTACTAAAGGTGATGTGACTAAAATCAGCGCCGTAAAACCGCTCGGCTATCGCGCTCTGTTACCATTCATAGCCGTTTTTTCTTATATATACATTAAAATGGATTGAAACGGCTTCGCGTGGTGGATGCTTCGCGGTTGCTCCATTAAACAGGCCCTTCTTTTACTTTTGCAATGCATATTGGCACGAATTTAGATCAAGATCTATCGGCAGAAGTTGTTTTTTTTTGTTTTTGGAAGTTTATTTTCGTCTTCATGTCAACAATGCAAGATAAAATTGTCGGTAAGATCGATCGAGATTCAATAGGCCAGTTTCGTAATGTATTCAGAGACCTTTAAATCGCATTACGTAATCGGAAGGTCGGACAAGCAAAGAACTCGCGGTGCGTAGCAGACTACACTTTGCGTGCATACCATACATGACTGTGTTCGCTAGGTGTGATTGTATCGTTTGTTTTCGCTATTTTGAGAGAGAGAGAAGAAAAAGGAGGCAGTTTCAAACTTGAATAATAAATATCTTTGAGATGTGATTTTGTTCTTCATACATTTGATCTTTAAAATCGCTGAGTCTTAGGCAAGAATAATAGAAAAGCATTGCTGGTACAGAACTAGCGATTCACATCTTGCAGCTAAACCTGTTCGGCCAAGTCCCCGGTACAGGCAGCGCACGATACCCCCTCAAAAAGAAGAAAAAGGAGGTCGATGATACAAGCGATATTGGCTTGAAAGCCAGTGATAAGACAGAAAGCGAAGCACCAAAATATAAGTTAGCTAGCCGATATCGGTAATTTCCATTCAATTTTGCATTTACCTTAGCTTGAATCTGAGTACAAATTAGGACGTAGAAATGAAAGAAGTGATGAACTATTTTCCACTCGTTCGCACACACAGTCACCTCTGCTTGCAGAAGCGTGCGCGCGTACCACGTGTTCGTGTTCGTGTAGGCGCGATTCACATTTTCAAAATGAAAACAATTTTACGGATTAAAAAATGTTTGTGAAACGCCTCGATACGGACTATTTCAAGGGGGACGAGAAACGGCTAACGAGATCGAACCAAGCACTGACCGCAGAATCAATATTATTAACAAAAGCAACGAGAAATAATGACAATAAAGGTAATAATATAATATATAAGGTCTTTGTTAATAAAATAATATTTATAAAATAATATCGTCCGATGACAGAGAGCTAGAATAAGAATGATGAATAATGATAAACAAATAATTTTGAACGGAAAAAATGAAGAAAAACAATGAACAAGGAAAAAGAATGATAGAGCAATGGAAAAAGGGAATAATAAAAGTAATAAAAAAAAACTTATGATGGCAAGGAAGAAGAATCAGGATGATGAATAATTTTATTGTTTAGAATAAGATTAGGAATTAAGTTTGATTTTCATAAAATAAAAGTTAATAGTCTAGCATTAGACTACAATTATGCCGGACCTTCGTTATTCAACTTCAAGAAGCAATTATTATTATTTTAAAAAAAACATTTAAAAATAAAACTGTTATTACATTTTCTATTAGATCTAGACTAGTCTAGACTTCTACTTTTTATTTGTTTATTATTTATATATTTTTTCTTTTTGTTCAAGTTGGTATGTTCTGTCTTTTTGCGTCGGTTTGACCTGTATAATCTAGTCACAAGTCGCTATCATAAGCTGCCGAGAGCTAACTAGAGGGAGGATTGTACTCGAGCTTCTCCAGACCACATAATATGGCCATCGGGAAATATCAATCGAAAGTCTTAAAAGCCTTCAGTTTTCGACGATCATAAATGCATGGTCCGCCATATTCTCTATTAGATAATTGAATACGTCATAGGTCCCAAAGTCAGGAATATCGTCAAACTTAAGGGAGGTATGTAACTAGTTCACTTAACGAAAATCCTGCACGTTGTAATTTCCCGATACAGTCACGTCTACCGAGTGACACGGAGCCCGTAGGTCATGGGCTACGGGCGGGCTAGTCCGCTACTGCGGACGCTAATTTAACGAGTCTTTTCTCGGGTGTATACCGTAGTCGAAACTCCTCTTTTTCTTAGAAAATATTGCAGCTGCCTGAAACTCAGCTTGATGAATGGCAAGTTGGAAGACATTTTCGGCCAAAACAGAAATTCATATATATATATACACGCAGTTTTTATAGAAAGATATGAATGCAATTTAACGGCAAGAACCGACAGTCTAATACACAATGCACAGATTCAAAATGGTGATTTGACAAAGCTTGTCGGGCTTGGTTACAGTAACCGCGCATTACGTAACCGCCGAAACTGGCCTATTGTATTGAAATTACCGACCAATTCTTCGCACACGTACGGTATCCTCGATCGCTCAGACCATTTTTTAACATGTAAACCTATGGGGTAACCATGGAGACTGACCTATTTTCCCAATAACCATGGTTATTGGGATTTTGAACTGTTTTTTTAACCATGGTTACCGGGAATTTTCGGGAACAGTTAAAGTTTATCAATGCAATTTCGACCAATCAGATTGCTGGATTACTTAAGTGAGGTATATAATATAGCATAGTATCCCACGTATTACTGTACAGTACGTTTTCTTCCGTTTGTTTGCATCTCTTTTTTTATTGAAATTACTACAAATTAGTTTTCTTGTAGTTTACATCCATTGATAGTGTAATTTGTTCCACACCTCTTTCTCTATTGTATATTTCGATCATATTTGAAATCTATCACATGTTTACCGAATTTAGGTTGTTAGTAATTAAATGAATCTTTATTTCAATATTTTCATAATTGTTTCTTCCATTGATTAATGTAATTAAATGCTATTCTACGGAATATTTATTTTGGATTCATTGATGTTTAATACTGTTATATAATACTTTCATCATCCCTTCCTACAGGTCTTCATTGGATCACTCGTCTTCTATATCATCTTCTTCTTCGTGCATATGCTGACTTATATCGGGTTAAGTGCGTTCATGTACTGTAGTGGAACCACACCAGGTATGAACATCGTACAGGATGGACAGATATAAGCTGCATATCGCATTCTGATATAACATCCCACAGTAGACATACTTGTACTTTATTATACAAAGAGCTTAACTGGTAGTTATCATGATAACCCTCCGCCAGGCTTTAGCTGCAGCAGCCATGATCATTGCACAATGCATATCAAGGGTAATCCTACTAGATAGCCGCATACTACTCCTTGGTGGAGAAAGGCAAATGAAGATTAATTTTCTGCCAGAACATTAGTGTCATGGGGGATGTTTAAGCGGGCATCATACCCGTACCGTAACGCACCAGAGGAGCGCTTAAATGCTCAGAAAGCATACCGTGCCGCTCCATGGGGCCCAATCACATCTTTTCAAACAGATATCAGGGGTGCCGAAGTCTGCTGATGATGAGACAGTCTAACTGCTCACCAACCTCCTGCCAGTTTCTGTGCAGATAGACCTCGACAGGCTGTTGCTTCTAGGACAACCTATCAAGCTTGTACAGCCGTTTTGAGTTCAGAACATTTTAGAAGCCCTCCCAACGGGTACACCCACAATACTGGTTCTACAAGAGACAGTGAGGAAGTATGATCTTCCATACCTCCATAGCTTTTTCTCGAACTCACCCCTGTACTGAACCTGGAAAAGGATGATCAAATACAAAGTCAACCTGACGGTAAAACACCATACACTACAAGGAATCCGCTCTAAGTCCTCTCTCAAGTTCTGGATAGATAACACTCCACCCTCTGCAAATCTCCTTTATCCAAAGAATGCACCATCTCCTCCCATCCGAAGAGCTCTTATAGTGAGAGCTCAACTACTCACATCCACCTACTTGACATAATGTCGTCCCTTTATGCTAAAAATCCCTTATCCCTATTGAGGACATTCTCTTTCACATTACTATACAAGTTTTGCCATCAAATTGTGGGGCTCCAACTCTTTTTGATGGGCTTTCAGATTCTTGTCTCAAAGAAATATTGCATGCTTTCATGAAGAAAAGTATTTGTAAAACAAACAAACAAACATACGGACAAACAAACAAACAACAACAAGAAAAACATTTATTCCTCGATTCATGCCCAGCCAGGTTGAGCCTTTTTTTTTGTCTTCATTGTTCCCCTCACCAGGTTTCAGTCAGGTGAAGATAATTAACGGAGTAGCGCTTAATATACCCAAGTCACGAGCTTGGGAGAGGAAGCAGCGGAAGAAGAAATAGAAAAGGGTGAAAAGAGGGAGAAGAAGAAAAAGAAGAAGAAGGTGAAGAAGAAATGAAAAAGCAAGGGAAGAATACAACAAACTATTCGTACAAAATGCTTCTTCTTTTTTCTGTCTGCTTCTTCATTTTCCTCCCTAGCCCCAGGTACATTTTATATCATAGATCAATGTGGAAAGAGAGGATATGGGCGATATTATTGAAGTCGTGTTCACGTTGTCTCCGGTGTTTGAGGATGTGCTGTTGCCCGTTGCGCCCAGCTGTTGTATTGTCTCAAAAAGTCTTATAGTACTCATCTGGGGGGGGGGGGGGGGGGGTGTTTCACAAAGATCCTATTAAAGTTGAACTTAACTCTAAGTTGGACTTAAATATTATGGAAAGTCATTTTTAGCCATAAAATAAAATATATTCCAAAGCGAAAATTCAAGTATTTCAGACTTTATAAATTCCACATCAAGAGCATGAAATCTCCTTGATAATAGAAAATAATAGAAAATATGAATGATTTGAATCAACATTTTATGCCTTTTAATATAAATTTTCAAAATCATTTTCAAAGATGCTAATGGCTTTCCATGATTTTTAAGTCCAACTTAGAGATAAGTTCAACTTAGGATCTTTGTGAAACACCCCCTGGTCATGTCATTGTACTTTAATATGCAGCATTTTTTTCTCTCTTGTCAGGTGTTTAATTATGATATTTTAAAAATGTAATAACCATGAACTGTTATAGTCATATTCATTCTCCTTTTTTTTTTAACTCATGCGTACAAAAAACATTAGAAGCTTTGTCAAATTTCAAAATGCAATTATGTTTTTCCCTTCTCCTTCCCCTCTCTTAATTTCATTTGTTCTACAGATACAGATGTGTTTTTCTTCAAGAGGATAATCGGTCTTTACAAGAAGGCATTCGCTGTTTGCAAGTCGGAATTCTATGTTTGCAAGTGTGTTTCCAAGTCTGAAGTTTCAAATCATCTGGTAGGTATAATGTATTTGTGTTCTATTATGAGATACACATTACATGGGAAGAAAGGGACAGCTAGCGTGCCACAGATAAAGAGTTGGTGAGACAGCAGTCACACACACACATACACGCACACACACACACACACACACGCGCGCGCGCGCGCACCCCCACACACACACACACACACAAACACACACGCACACACACACACACACAGAAATAAACAATCATAGACTGACATCGACAGAAAGGGGAAAAGAAGGACAAATATACAAAGTCATGAAGTTGCAGATGTAGAATGAAAGGGAAAGGCTTGTAACAATAAGAAATATATACCTATATATATATAGAGAGAGAGAGAGAGAGAAACAGAGAGAGATAGAGAGAGAGACAGAGAGAGATAGAGAGAGAGACAGAGAAAAAGAAAGAGACACCAGACAATTAGCGAGAGGCAGAAAATTATTGAGTCAAAAGTTTCAAAATCCAGTGAAAGCTTAACCAAAAGAAAGATTTGAGGATATATGTGGAGGAGATCTTGCCACGATTGCCGCCGCCCCCTCTCTCTCTCTCGCTCTCTCTCTCTCTCTACATCCTACTCCAGATGTATTTATTTGTTATGTCAATGTTGAATTCATGTATCACGCAAAAAATCTACTCTTCTCAAACTTGAGAAGAGTATATGAAAGTATAAAAGAATAGAAGGGTATATTTAACCAGCATGAGTCCCTTATATACATTCACATTATCAGCCCCATCCTCCCCCTCCCTTCACTTTCTCCTCTGTTTATACCCCGTCTCATTTAAAGATATCTCATTCGCCTTCACACTCTCTCTCTCCCTCTCACTCTGTCTCTCTCGCTCTCGCTCTCTCTCTCTCTCCCTAACTTTCCGTTCCCCCACCTCCCCTCTTCTCTCTCTCTATCTCTCTTTATCAATTCTTTGTTCTCATGTCTCGATTCTCACCTAATCCTCTTCCTCCCTCTCATCCTCCTCTTTCCCTCCTATTCCTCCCTTCCTCTTCCTCTTCCCCTACTCCTCTCCCACTCCTCTTTTCCCACTCCATCTTTATCGTCACATTCCTTTTCAAATCTCTACTTATTTTCTCTCTTTCCCTTTGCATGCTTTGAAAAGTTTTGTTTTGTTTTATTTCCGTATAAAAAAGACATCATGCATTCAGTAATACAATAACGAATAGAATTATGAATTACAAAATAAAGTAAACGGCTGGATAACCCATATTCAGCGGTATCGTTATGATGCCGCTGGTCTTCTATCTTCTAACTCTATCTGTCGTCCATGGTCATGGCCGGAACATGTTTGCTAAATTTAGTCAAGTAATTCACTTGAAGACTGATATTACTTGACTTTGCTCAAAAGAAGACGTAGACGGCGATAACCAGTATTTGCCATGACACACTCCCTTTAACCTCTTCATTCGATGCCGTTGGTGAAGTTTGTATTTGAGTGGTGAATGTATGTGTGAATAATTGACCGCAGCTTTTTAAATTTAAAGCTATGGTCACGTGCCCCCAAAAGTACCCTGCTCAGCGGGAGCGTCTTAATTTGTTCGCCTATGTCGCCCGGACACCGATCGGGGGCCGCCCGGCTACCTCTTGTTTTGCGGCTCGGTCGCCGCTGAAGTTTTAGCGCGGAGTTAAAATTTGGCGGCGCCTGCTCACTTTTCAATCGCCGCCAAATATACGCTCGGTGCCCGGGCGGCGACCTTATCGAGCGTTCGCCATCGAGCGATTTGGGTTAAAAAAATCGAAGTCTCTAGGTCAAATGCTGCCGAGCGGTCGCCGCCCAGTAGCTGTCCGGTCGTCGCGGGAAGATCAGTCGGTCACTGGGCTGTGAGTTCAAACTCGGTCGGCAGCATTTTACCTAGCGGCTTTGATTTTTTATCTAAATCGCTCGACGGCGAACGCTCGATTAACGCTCGGGAATAGGTGGGTCATCAGTCGGTCACTGCTGGGACGCCGCCCGGAGAAGCTCCCCGATTTTGCCGAGTTTTTACCTATAAAAATCGGCCGGCGACCGACGGGAAATCGACAGAGCACTGCCCAGGTATCGCTGGGGCTCTACAGCCTGCTCGACTTCTCCAAAAACGGGTCCAAAAATCGATGGGCGATGCCTAAATTCAAGCAGCGACCGAGCAGGCTACAAATCGGTCGGTCGCCGCTCTGAGGCGTGACCATAGCTTAAGCGCCATTTTCAAATTAAATTAGAAACATTTTCCATGTCATATTTGTACACCATTAATTTCTTTCTAATTGCGACCGTTTGTGAGTTTGCAGAGTGACCTTGGATGACCCAAAATTATTTTCACTTAGACTTAGAAGCGTTATCATTTAGTAACTATGCTTTGCTCAAGCTTGACATGGACATTCATAGGTGTAGAAAGGCTTCTTGTTCATTAAGTTAACTTGATGTAACGGTCAGATATATTAAATCTCAAATATGAAAGGAACAAAATAGATTGGACTTGGATGAATATGGTTTTATGTATAAAAGTAGTGGAGATGGTGAAAATTTCACAAGCCAGCTTGATATCAATTTGATGACCGTATCTACTATCAACGTCTCACCTGTTAGATATTCTGGTATGATAATTTAGGAATTGGTGTATGGTAAAATCCACGTGTATATAACATTTTAAAAATCCATTAATGAGAACGGTGATAGCATTGACGACGTGTGATGTTGTCAAAACAATAACGCGAGAAGAAGTGAGGAAATCTTCCTGCTCGAGTTTCTCCGCGGTGACAAAAAGAAAATAACTACATCTGATTGGTTAAGAAATGTTTATCACGCGGTGAAAATAAGGTGATTGGTTAATTAAAATAGTATATGGAAACTCCCGATGACAAAGAAAGTTCAACAGCTGAGAAACATGAAACTTGGAACTAAAGACATGTTATTTACAATAGCATCAAGTGACTACACAGCTATCATAATGATGAAATAAACTTAGGCTGGTGAGCATAATCACAAAAACTGGTTATGCATCTGTATAGCTCATGCCACTACAGTAAAAATGAGTTTAGATTTTGTTTCCTTCCTGATATTAATCAAACTGCATGTATCTGTTTTCTATTTTTATTTCAGGCCAGAGGCAGAGTAGTTCCTCTGATTGTTGGATTCCTGGTTAATTTTGCATTGTAAGTTTAAATATTTTCATACACTTTTTTGTATGTATGTATCAGTCCAGATTTAGTTCAGTTGATCATTGCCTACCTACGCCTAGTAGGTCACATTTGCTGTACGGTTAGGATACGGCGGCCGTAGGTCCCCGAAATCGAGAGATACATGCAGCGGCCGCAGAGAATCTGCGATGGCCTTAGGGTCACTCTAGGGCGTATCTCTATGTTTACAGGCCATACGGGTCGCCGTGGGATTAAAAAGCGGAGTTATAACTTGTTTTCATTTGTAGGTTCGCCGTAGGAATTCGACAATTAGACACACCGTAGCCATGCCGTAGAGCGGTATCACGGGGACCATACGTTGGGCTTACGGTGGCATTGCGGCTACCTTGCGTCTGCTTAGGTATTTGTCAAAAAACCTACAGCCACCGCAGTGACGTCCTAAGACGACCGTGTGTCATCACTTCAAAGGCCGTACGGCAACCGCAGCTAGGTTTTCTGTCTCCAAAAATTCAAAATACGCCGTGCGGCTACCCTATTTGACTGTTACCTTATGTGGCCCTATAATTGCTATTGGCCGTAGATATTTTAGACCCCACGACCGCCGCGGCAAATGTAATACACATCACATCTCTGTTTCTCGAAAAATCACACATGTTCTTGTCATTGAATACACTTATTCATTTGTTTACAGGGGCGCTTTGGGCATCGCCACAAAACCTTTAGACTTTGCTACCCACCTCCTTTTTATTATGATAGTAAACATGGTGTTGTACATGTTGTTCTACCTCTTTATGAAGGTGAGTAATCGTGTATAAAGTTGTATGAAGCTGTTATCCTTTGTTCTCCCGTGTTTCTTCCCTTTATTTCTCTCTTTCTCTTTTAAACTTCTTCTACGCTATTTTCCTTTTCTCCGTCTGTATTTGTATTCTTCTTTGCATTTATTTGTCTATTTTCCTGTTTCTCTCTCCCATCCTTTTTTCTCACTGTCACTCTTTTATACCTCTCTCTCTCTCTCTCTATCTATCTCTCTCTTTCTCTCTGTAGCTCTCTCTCTCTTTCTCTCTTTCTCTCTTTCTCTCTCTCTCGCTCTCTCTCTCGCTCTCTCTCTCTCTCTCGCTCTCTCTCTCTCTCTCGCTCTCTGTCTCTCTCTCACATATCCTCTTTTCTCACTGTCGCTCTCATTTCGTGTTATCTGTCTCCCTCTCACTCTCTCACGATTCCTAATTTTCATTTTTTTTTTGTTCTCTCTCTCTCTCTCTCCCTCTTGCTCTCTGACCACCTTGATCTCCTTCACATGCATTTGATACCATGAAGTCCAATTAAATTGATAAAAAAATTGTTTTTTTTTGTTTTTTGTATGGGGCATACCAAATTATGATATCATACCCCATTTTGGAAATTGAGCAAGATATCTGTGCATTCACAATATGTACATGTATTAAACGTCGAGACCATTTTCTTTTAACAACCATGGCTTTCGGGATAAACTGTATGGATAAATTGACTTAATAACTCTTTTTTCTTACAGGGTATGTGTGGAGAGAATGTTCTACCGTCTTTTTTGCTATTGGTACTGACGATCGCTCTTTGGGGCACAGCTGGGAGCTTCTTCATGAAAACGAACAGTGGTTGGCAGGTACGATCGGAGATCCAACTTTTTCTCCTGTAACAACAAATGCTACGGCGATGATTGCGCTCTCATCGAGATGTAGGGTTAGGGTTGAGATTGGTGTGCGTGTACGGTTGTAGGGGTATATAAAGAAGGTTTGGTATAGTTTATGGTCTAGAGTTCAAGGTAGGAATGCATTTTGATATTGGTGATGGTGGTTACTTTATCTGACTGCTAAGAAAGCATAAATACTTGTAAGTAAGCAATCCGACGGCCGACGGCTTTAGGTCCTCTCCGAGGGACCTGGTAATGAGGATTTATGCTTTACCAAAGGGCACTAGCGCATCGCCTTAGTTTCGAACCCGGGTCACCGGATTATGAGACTGAGATATCGCGGTGGTTGTCTTTTGAAATGGTCTTGAGGTCAGTATGGAGTTGCCAGAATCTGAATCTGAGTCATAATAAAAAAATAATAATAATACCAAAGGCTGGTACGGCGCACTTCATATTCAGGGAAAATATCAATACGCTTTACAATAATAAAACAACAAAATTACAGTTAGCTCCCAATTCATGGACTAAAGTAATACCAAATTAAGAACAAGATTAATCATTACACTTATCAACATCAATGATTGTGAAATGAAAGCAAATTATGACAAAGTACAGTAATCTAGTTTAAATTATTATGAAATACAATAATTGATCAAGTTTATAGAGAAGGTTGAGTTCTGGGGAGAAGTGACAAATTATTTGTGAGCGTGTTCATTGTTAGTATAAGTGTGGAAGAACATCAGTCGAAAAAATGTTCCCTGAAAAGCTTGGCTCTTTAAATGCCTTCATATTCTAAATATGACATGTAACAGCTTTAAAAACGAGGACCTCATTTTTATGCCAAATAAATTGCTGATGATTCCAAAACCTTGCAGTAAAACAGTGTATTTTCTCTAATCAATTCCACACCGTTTCTTTCACAATGCAATTGCATGACAAGAACTCAACTTATCTTTAAATGACGTTAGAAAGCATTTTTGAAATAGTAAGATTTCGATATTGTGATTTAAAGGTAGTTAAGTTTCAAAGATGCTAAGCTGCAGATGAGAATTATGCTCCAGCATAATAATCCATAATAATAATAATAATAGTTATTTCTTATATAGCGCTTTTCAGGACCGAAGGCCCTCTCAAAGCGCTTTACAGATATTATATATATATATATATCATTACCCCGGTCATCGGATTCAGGCTTACCCGCCCAAAATGTATACACATTCTCCACTCCCTGGGGAGCATTTCAGCCAGGCGTCATTTTTACAAGCGCACACTTACTTATCATAGCACATTAGCTTTCGCATCCTACCGGGTATTTTAACACCTGGGTGGAGAGTGGCAAATGTAGACCAATGTCTTGCCAAAGGACATTAGTGCATACTCTTCTATATAGACACCGTGCTATTAGTCAAGTATGACTACTAGTAATAAATTTGTCCCCCCCCCCCCCCGCCTGATCTTGCAGGACTCGGCAGCTGAATCCAGAGAAAAGAACGCTGACTGTTCAATCATGGGCTTCTACGATGCGCACGACATCTGGCATTTAATCTCAGCGTTCGCCCTCTTCGTCTCCTTCGTTGTGAGTATGCTCCCTAATTGTAACTACGTTTGAGATTTGAATATCTTTCACTTTAGGTCTTACTCTAAAAGAGGAGATTCCCAGCTCTGAAATGATATTGACTCATTACAATTGGAGGTTCCTTACAGTATGGGTAAACAAGAGAAAGTCTAGTCTTGAAGAATGTTGGTTTATAGAAAATGGTGGCTGAAGCCTGTAGTCAATTCATGTACTCTGAAGCTCAAGATACAATGTCTTGTTCAAAGGTGACAAGAGGGGCATTAATAACTCTGTCGAAATTTCAGTGAAGAGATTTATTGTCTAAACACTTGGCACACCAATTACTCACATTCTGTTCTTCATTTCGACCAAGTAACATATTGTTTTTCTTAACCTTCTCTTTCATTCTCTCTCTCTCACAGTATTTACTTCTCCTCGATGATGACCTGGACCAGACCCCTCAAAAAGATATCCCGGTCTTCTAATTCCAGCTACCAGACCCACGCCTAAAGACGCAGTCCTCATATGATAGAGTCTTTTGAGACGGTTAATAAATAGGACCTGAGCCATCTATCTCCAGCTTTATAGCTTCCAGAGCCTCATTTACAAAATAGATAAAGTGATGCAGTTCTGATTGGGTTCAGATGGGTATACGATTACTTTGAACATTAATTTTGGGACCATTCACAAAAGGATCCAAGTCACCTTGCTCCAGGTACCAGAGCCGTGCCCGCAGATGGATGGCAGTGACGCAGTTATAGATTGGTATGAAAACACTTACAGCCATACAAGATCCAATGCAAGAAAGTCTAAGTCCTCGAACTCCAGATAATATTATGTGCTCATCGTGCTGGTGGATAACATTGATGGAGTTCGCATTGGTCTAAAAACCCTTTTAACCATCCGGGATGCTTTGTAAGAGGGTCGAAGCCATCATGTTTCACCTATCAGAGCTACGCCCAATGTTAGGTACCTGTGATGCAGTCCTAATTAGTAGAAGAACACTATAAAATGACAAGCATTTCAGAATATTTAGAGTCTGAAATGCTTGTCATTAGGATGAGGAACTTTTGGCCCCAGCTAAACTAAGAACACTTTAGATCCTCTGAAATGCTGTTTTCACAATGGGAGTGAATGAAAATAAAAGGATGAAAACGTTTATTAGGAAAACCAATACACTGTACATTCTCCTGATTCAAAAGTTTTAGAAGTTTAGATTTTAGATCTCTCGGGAATCAACAATACTCGACAAGCGAGAAACTAGTCGGTGAAAATGTTCTGCCTATTCCTTTCAAATATAATTTAGGATGTTTCTCATGCACTGGAAATACACTGTATATTGACTATATCATTATAAAAGTTATTGATGTGAAATATACATTTATAGGAACTTGAGCTCAATGGTTCTCAAAATAGTACTAATGTGCCTATGACAGTAACATCAATCATTTATTGGTTTGAGGAAATAGCAGATCTATTTACAATTACTTTTCTTACCTTTATGATTAGATTACCTGTATAAAATCTTTCTCAATGATTTTTTTTTAAATATTATTTCATAGGGATATGTGAATATTAGTGCAGTTAGTACTTGTGATTCTTCCATAACTTCTGAAGTCCTTTATAGGAGCTTAGAGCTCAATGGTTCTCAAAATAATACTAATGTGCCGCTATTAATAGTGAAATCAATCCTGTATCGCTTTAAGGAATTAGCAGATCTATATACAATTATGTTTTTAAACCTTTAGGATAAGTTTTACCTGTATAAAATCTTTCTCAATGATTTTTTTTAAAATATCATATTATAGGGATATGTGTATATATTTAGTGCAGTTCGTACTTGTGATTCTTCTATAACTTCAGTACTCTATATCTTTACATATGTATTGGATCAATAAGTATCAATTGTATCAATTGTAATGTAACGGTTACATTTTATGATTAGATTTCTTACCTTTATGATTAGATTTTTTACCTTTATGATTAGATTTTTTACCTTTATGATTAAATTTCTTACCTTTATGATTAGATTTGTTTACCTTTATGATTAGATTTCTTACTTTTATGATTAGATTTTTTACCTTTATGATTAGATTTTTTACCTTTATGATTAGATTTTTTACCTTTATGATTAGATTTCTTACTTTTATGATTATATTTTTTACATTTATGATTAGATTACCTGTATAAAATCTTTCTCAATGATATTTTTTAAATATCATATGATAGGGATATGTGTATATATTTAGTGCAGTTCGTACTTGTGATTCTTCTATAACTTCAGTACTCTATATCTTTACATATATATCGGATCAATAAGTATCAATTGTATCAATTGTAATGTAACGGTTACATTTTATGATTAGATTTCTTACCTTTATGATTAGATTTTTTACCTTTATGATTAGATTTTTTACCTTTATGATTAGATTTCTTACCTTTATGATTAGATTTTTTACCTTTATGATTAGATTTTTTACCTTTATGATTAGATTTCTTACCTTTATGATTAGATTTCTTACCTTTATGATTAGATTTTTTACCTTAAATATGATTAGATTTCTTACCTTTATGATTAGATTTTTTACCTTTATGATTAGATTTTTTACCTTTATGATTAGATTTCTTACCTTTATGATTAGATTTCTTACCTTTATGATTAGATTTTTTACCTTTATGATTAGATTTCTTACCTTTATGATTAGATTTTTTACCTTTATGATTAGATTTTTTACCTTTATGATTAGATTAACTGTATAAAATTTTGTTAAATGATATTTTTTTTAATATCATATTATAGGAATATGTGTATATATTTAGTGCAGTTCGTACCTGTGATTCTTCTATAACTTCAGTACTCTATATCTTTACATATGTATTGGATCATTAAGTATCAATTGTATCAATTATTGTAATGTAACGGTTACATTTTGTTTTTTCAATAATTGTATAAAAACAAATTATATGGGACTAACAGGTCAATTCCAAGCGTTACGGAACATTTGTAGAGAATTTTCTATTTTTGATAAATAATATCACATACATTTTGATGAGAATCTACACATCAACAATACAATATTAAAAACTAATATGACGTACTTTCACAGCTTTTGAGTTTCCTATTAACCCTTCATCAATTTTAAGAAATATTGAATTTGATATACTTTGACGGTTTCATGATTTCGTAAAAGGAAAGTTTAATCATTCCATCAGAAAGCTATTTAAAATACAATGTTTTCAATATACATTTCATTAATGCTTGATAGGAAACGTAACTTTTGTAAAAAAATACTTCATATCAGTTTACATATGATAACATGTATTTTCCTTTAAAAAAATGTTCATGATATTCTTCTCTCTAAATTAAAAAATTCTCTTAAAATGTCGTCCTGTAATGCTAGGAATTGACCATTACATATAGTTTACAGTAATGTAAATGTATGTAACAATGGGGTACAAGTGTAGTGATTTATCATGGTGTAGGAAATACTTTTAGATTTACGTGGTGATAAGCTGGGAACATGAATATGTTTACTGTAATTCTCTGTAGAAGGTTGTATGATGTGTAAGCATTACAAATGTTTAAAGCCCCACTGTCCTACTTGTAGCTTCTTGCTTCCTCTATATAGAAAACTTCCCCAATCGGTCCATGTTGGTCCCCCGTGATCCTCTTTTTAGTTAGTTGAGAGCTGAGTTGATGAGATAGCCACCTGTCAGTGACCTCGCTGTGTGGTCTAATCCCTTCTGGCCCAGTAGTGTTGACAGTCTTTAAGGCCTAAACTCTCTTCCCACACTCACGGATCTACTGGACATGTATTTTTTTCTGCTGCATTTGTGCCATGTTCCATGTCCCAAATCAGAGCCATCTATACACAGAGTTTGGCCAACGTGGTTACACTTGGTCACAATCACGGCATATATTCTTTTGTTTTGTGCTTGCCCAAACAAAGCAGTACCCCACTCGAACGGGGTTGGCGAGACTCTCCTAATCATTGGTTTTGTCCTAAGTTCAGCTGTGCCATTACGTGTATTTTGTTCCTAGTTTTGAATAAAATGTACAGAGGGAAAAAAATGTTACAAATGAAGATGTGCTTTTATTTTATCAATGTGACCGTTTATGTAATCACGTAATGTAGTTTACTGACCCTACATAAACTAAACAACTCATTCTAGAGTAGATGAACAAACAGATGAGAAAATAACCGTACAAGACCACTTTTTCTTCTTCCATGGAATTTCGTAATACATAAGGGAGCTAATATAGGGAAGAGACGGAGCCAGAGGATAGGGGCGGGGAAGACATCAATCTAATACCTTAATTCTTCCCTAACGCCCCCTTCTCAAAGAAGCTTTTGACCCCAAAATGCATCTTTAACCTGATTTTTCCCTTCAAAACAATCCTTATTCTATTTTTAGTAAAAAGGTTAACAAGAACGAAGTGATGATACGTCATATTAGAGAGATAACGACTATAATGGGAAAGAAGAGACTACGAATGAGAAAGAAACCACCCCAAAAAAGGGAGAGACTGAAAGAGGGAGAGTTACTGAAAGAAAATATGAAGACTAAACAAGTTGAGACTGAGAGAGAGAGAGAGAGGGCGAGAGAGAGAGAGAGAGAGAGAGAATGGAAGACAGAGAGAGAGAGAGACCGAATGGGAGAGAAAGAGATAGACAGAATTAATGGGAGAGAGAGAGGGACAGAGAGTGATAGACTTTAATGGGGGAGAGAGACACAGAGAGAGAGAGAGAGAGATAAATAGAGAGACAGAGAGAAAAAGCGACTGAATGGAACTAACAGTATGAAAAATTTAAGACAGATGAGACGAGGACCCATCAATCCATACCATCTTCAGGAGCACGAATGAAGGTTTCGGGTACACACTCATACATGTAAAATAGTATATGTATAGCCATACCTATTTATATGACCAACAAAACATTCATAAAACGGACAGGTACTTAACCTTATTCATCGCAAACAAAATTGCTTGCGCATCTCGGGATGTGTTCCAGTTATGATGGAAATATCACCAACCGTGTCAAATAAATCTTCAGGGACAAGTCTCGGAGAGGGGCGACACTGGCAAGGCTCTTATAAAACGGTTTTTAATTGGCTTCTTGACTTGTTAATGGAGGGCAAACCCGATTGAGAAAGATGTCCCCGTGGTGTTGGCGGTTGCCATTCTGGGGTTGCTGACATAGGGATGACAATCAGAATGGGGTCGAGAGGAGTCAGAAAAAGAGCCCAAAGGGAGAGGCTTCGAGGAGGATATAGCGTATAAAGGAGGAGGGAACATCATGAACGACAGATGGCAGTATACCGTACGTAATGTAGCAGAGCCATCTATACACATAGTTTGGCCATGGCCAACCCTGTTCGGGTTGGACACGATATGGCGACTACTGCTTTGTTGGGCAAGCACAAACAAAAGAATATACGCCATGTTGTGACCTAGTGAAACCAAGTTGGCCAAACTCTGTGTATAAGATGGCTCTGATATGTAGTAGTGTCAGTACAACACACAACTTTTAAGTATTATTAACACTTGTACAAAAAGAACCCCCTTATTCAAAGCCTAGTATAAGCTGAGAATACCCCAAAAGTTATAATTTTGACATTTTAATTATTATCAAACAATTACATTTTGTAAAGGTAGTTTATAGTCCGGTTTGCAGACTTGTGCAAACTCCATGGAATTTGGTAAGTGTTTAAAATATTCCTTTACAGATATCATGTCTAAAATATTACAGTCATAGTTTCTTAAACTTCTTTATAAGAAATAATTATTTATAGCACTGTTTTCATATTGTTTTCATATTAAAAGACATAACGGTCGTATTAATTTTCAATTACGCAAGAATATTTTTCCATTCTTGAAATAAATATCTAGGATTGAACAATCAAAATGTATTCGTTAAAACCCATTCCCCTTTTTCTTTCTTTTTTCTCCATTTGGTGGGAGGTTCCTAACAATTGACCTCTTCTCTATATTACTAGATTCATGGAACTTCAGGATTTTAGATCTGCAAAAGGGAAAAAACATCTTTAAAGAACCATGGAAATACTATTTTTTTAACATTTCCCTTGCTGTTCGGTTAGAATACTTTTCTAGAAATCTATATACCAATGAAGTCCATAAATTGTTCAGTCATTTCAATATTCTATTATTATTCACTCATTTATTTCAATACCACATCGCTCATAAAAATGTAACTAGTCACAAAGTAAATAGAAAATGACTTACATCTCCAAAATGCGTAGATATTACAGCGAAAGATTTTAATATTGAAATTTTCAAAATAAACAGAAGCTGCTATTTAATACAAGTAGCATAAGTGATTGCAGAAGTATGAGTACTGAACGAAATGCAAAGATGTGACAGCGGAAAATTGATTGAAATTATCAAAAGAAAAAGATGTTCTCATGTAAAATAAATACAAATAGGATCAGTGATTGGAGAAGTATGAGACAATTAAGACAATTATATTATTTCAGTATACGAGGAAAGATCAGAAGCCTTAATTGGGCCAGTCATTAGTATGTCCATGGTTTCACTGAGGTAGGGCTTTTCAAGTAATGAATAACGTAGCTACCAAACCAAAAAACAAACAAAAGTAAAATAAAAATAAGAGAGAAAAAAAACACAAGACAAAAACCATTTCACGAGGTAATTATTATGAGGTATTAGCGAATGATTGTACACACTGTAGCCCCTACAATTTAGTTTGAATAATGTTTTCTTACTTCTTTTCATGCTTTAATTCGAACGTTTATAACTTATAACTTAATTGATCAATCTCTATTACTTGTTTAATAGCTTGATCAATAACATTCTGACTATCTATAACCTCTTTATATCAAGAGTAAACCATATTGTCACAACCACTTCATGAAAAGGTGTAAACAATAACTTATATAACCACATATTTTAATTTTAGTAGGGTAACATTGAGCCAATCAGCCACTATTGTACAGAGTACACTATCTTTTAGCTGTTGGTACAATATTGGGATATGCAGTATAATAGTGCGAATACTGTAACCTAGTAGGCATTAGTAGACATATATATACATATATATAAAAGAAAACCTTGTGAATAATTTAGCAAATTTTGTTTCTAATGAATTCATTTTGCTTTAGCAATAAAAGTGTAATTTATTGATGAATCTTGTCCAATAGTTATGGACGACGATTAAAATCCGAAACGTTTCAATAAATTTTATTTTTTGTGAAAGAAGTATAAACAGATTATAATTATGAATATCATGACCTGTACTTTCACACTTTCAAAATTCATATTCACACTTTCAAAGTGTCTATACAGTATTACATGAAACATGTTTTTAGTTGCTAAATATGATAAAAATTAATACACTTTTTGTTGTAAATATAAGACTTACTCTATAAGAGGTGACATGTGACTGTATATTTTACAATAACACATAACATATTGACACGACACATGATTAAATATTTGTGCGGTACAGAGATAAATGCACTTTCTTATGGTACTGATATTTTAGACGTGTTGTTGTACGAATGGTCCTTGGTGATTTTACAAGCATGACCAGGGAAGTGTTTCACAAAGATTTTAAGTCAAACTTAACTCTAAGTTGGACTTATAAATTACTTATGGAGAGTCATTTGTAGCCTTAAAATGAGATATATTCAAAAGCAAAAATTCAAGTATTTTAAACTTTTCATAAACTCCACATCCACAACATTTTATACCTTTTAAAATAACTTGTATAAAATATTTTCAAAGATGCTAACGGCTTTCAATAATTGTTAAGTCCAACTTAGAGATAAGCTCAAATTAGGATCTTTGTGAAACACCCCCATGAATAACAATTGTGTTTAATTATATTAATTTCATTCCAAAGGGGACGGGGGGGGGCATAGAAACCTTTGTGACCGAGACAGGGGAGGTATATAATGCCCCCCCCCCCTTTGATGAAGTAGAAGATTTTGCAATTTTTCATTATAAAAACATATTACTAGCGATGACATCGACAAATATATGTGGGGTGTTTCAGAAAGAGTTCGTAAAGTTACGCATGACTGTACGAACGGCTTGTATATGAAGTGCCAGATAGGATGCCCAAAGCTTTTTCTGATATTTCCAATAACCTCAATTAAATTATGGCAAAAAATATACTTTGCATTAAAAATGATTGTTATAATACAAATATTAATCTACATCTGCACAGTTCAACTTAATAAATAATAATCAATAATTATTGATCATCCCATTTGGCTTTTCATATACAAGTCGTTCGTAAAGTCATGCGTAACTTTACGAACAGCTTTATGAAACACCCCCCTGGTTGCATAGGACGAAGCGAGAAAATTGGCACTTTGTAAAATATGTATTATTACCCCATTCACAGTGGCCTCAAACACCGCGACAGCAGCGGGACTGTCCCGCTGCTGTCGCGGTGTTGTCTTCAGTGTGAAGGCTCGGACCCGTTATAAACTATCGCGGGATAACATCGCCTCGCGATAACGCCGCGACAAACTATCGCTAGGTTCGCCTAGCTACAGCAGCGGGACAGTCCCGCTGCTGTCGCGGTGTTTACTCAGTGTGAAGGCTCTCCGCTATAACACCGCGACAAACACGTGTGATTTGTTTACTTACCTATCACTGACCTCTTTTCTCCAGCAATGGGGAACATAAAGTGAAATAGAAATAAAGTAACCAGTGGATTCAAATTGATTTTATTATTATGTAGATATTATAATTATCCAAATAAAAATATTTCACACTTCAAAAAATTAAAATATTCTGACTGGAAGCAATAAAAATGCTAGTTTTTTAAAAAGTAATATGATCGAGGATACAAAAAGCAAACCCGCGCTGAAGTATTTCCGGTCATATCGGGGTCGCTCGCGGGTCATGAGCCATGCATACACGTGTTTGTTACGGAGGTAATAAAAATCACCCGCTGCAGCGTGAATGGGTACATGATATTTATCCCGCTGCTGCAGCGGGATAACTTTTCTACTGTGAATGCATTTGTAGCGGTGTCATGGCGGTGTCGCCGCTCCGCTACAACGCCGCTACAAATTTCAAAACCACTGTGAATGGGGTATAGTACAATTTTGATCACACACGAATATTCAAGTCTGATCTTAACGTCCACAGACTTTCACTTGCCACTTTAAAGGAGGTAGCATTACATCACTTTTTATACATACACTTTAATTCTTTCCTACAACTTCTACTTTCCTACATCATCTGCTTTACGTTTCTATTTTTATTTTTTTGCAATTTTGTTTTTTTTTTTAAAGCGAATGCATAATCTTACCCTGTATTGCATTTCATACATGTTTAATATTTATATTAAACAAATATATTTTTTTTTAAATGGTCCCGCACGGCCGCACCAATAATATTTGCTTTCCATTTGCAATATTACCACGTTTAAATTCATGTTATTTCATTTTAGAACTAGAATAATGCGTTGTGCAAGTTAAAGACAGAATTGCCTGGACATCCTGCCTAGACAGGCTGAACTCATGATTTCATTGTCCGAAAGATCATGGCTTGAATAAATATTATAACATGCAGTTCACGATATTTGCAACGATGTTGGGAATAGATGACCCTATTTGGTATCATTCGCCATGTTTGCAGTAAGTGTGGTGATATATTTAACCACTGCTAAAAAATGTGTATCAGTTATTACTTTTAACTCGATACGGTGTCATTATTGTCCTCTGTAGACACGTAATCGAACGAGTGAAAACATGAAGATTAGAGAAGGAGCAAAAGTCCAAAAATATCTTTAACCTACGGGGAAATGTGTGCGACATTAAACATGATTTCAGCCACCTAGCTCTTCGACAAACAGACGTCTGCCACAACCCGGAATGCTTCCTTAAAGTTCTAGGAACTGCCTCCTATATACTGGGTACCCGTTTTCTACACCGGGGTTGAGAGTTGCAGTTCAGGCAGCAAGCTCTATGAAATACAAACGCCTTTTGCTTTTAAAGGCCAGCATGTTGGGGGTGAGACTCACCATGTAAGACCAAAATGACTGACATGGGCTATGGAGTTTGAGGGGCACGAAGGCCACATCCTCAAGGAGGCGTGTTCCGTCAAGGGTGTACCTGGTCAACCCTATGGTGTCGGACCCCACCCTCACCCTGGCTACCAACACACTGTCATCACCATCTACTGCAGCTAGAAGATATTCTGAATCATCACTGGCTGTGATGGAGCTACCGACGTGACCGTCTCTGTCAAAGACAGTGACTGTGCTTGGGGTCATGATACAGGTACAGGTCACCATGATGCCTGTCTTGGTGACACATATCTGCGAGGGTTTGATGTTACCGGTGTGGACTACTCTCTTGGGATTGGACTTGCTGCCGTGGAAGATGTTGATCTCGGACGATCGACCCACTGCGTAGATGTTGTCCTCTAGGTCGCTACATATCATCGGGCACATGCCTGCCTTGTTGCAGATGTACTTCATGCCTCCGATCCGCTTGCCTTTCCGATCAAACACAAGGCATACATCTACATCATGGGAAGCGACCGTTCTTCCGTCCGCAAGCATTGCGATGTCATATACGTTACCCACCTCGCTCTTCAGATGAGTAATCTGGTTTCCTGATAGGGAGAAGCAATCGGAACCCTTGCCGTTCCAGCCATACCCAACAACCACTGCATCCTTGGACAGTGCTGACATGCCTGCCAAACCTTTGGGTAACGGAATTTCTCCTACAATCGTCATTGAATTGACCGTTGGAGTACTTGTTTGCAGCCCCTCTGCATTCTTACCTCTTACAGATGAAGCAGTCTGGTCATGTTGCCTTTCATTCGCCGATGCATTCATTTCAAGTTCGATGTGACCTAGGGCAAGAAGCTTCTCATCCGCTTGACAAAACAATGCACTCTTTTCAACTATCTCGTCCGAATTCTTTCGTATTTCGTTCACCATTTTCAGTAACATTCCTTCATCTTCCTGGAGAATCATTAACTTTTTAACAAAGGCATCCCTAATTTCCTTCTCCAAATTCCCAAGGTGTTGGTTCGTATCCTGTCTGAGATCATCAGCATTACTCAAAGACCTTTCAAGTAGGAATCGTCTTGCCTTCCTTCGAATAAGAGTGTTTCGCCTTTCCTTCAGGTCCCTTTCCAACTCTTCTTTCTTTTTGATAACATGATCTTTGTGGCCGTTGAGGTAACAAGTAAGGCAGATGAATTCCGCGCAATCTTCACAAAAGATGTCCTTGTAGACTACACTGTGCAATGAACAATACACTGGTCTTCGACCAGCAACCTCTAAGTTGATTTTCTCCACGAGTCCCTTGACTGAAAAGTTTGGAATTAGTCCTGCCACCCGATCCTGACCGAGACCGGTCACACCCCTGCAGACGGGACAGACTAGGTGATCAAGATCATGATGTTGCTCGTCGTATGCTTCCAGGCACTCCCTGCAGAAGGTGTGGCCACAGCCAAGGATGGTAGCGTTCTCGAAGACGTCAAGACACAAGGGACACACCAGACCTTGAAGCTTCTCCCCTTCCACCTTGCTAGCCATTGCGGTTGGTGGTCAGGATATATCTATAGGATGAAGATACAGAATTCTTTGTAAAATACGTTCATGGTCTGTATCAACGAAAACAATAATAACGAAATATTATACTGCATTACACATTGTTGTTTGGAAGAGGTCTTTTAATCGATCGAATTAAACCAGGGGGGCTCGCAAGACCACGACACCTCCAAACATTTAATATTGTGAATAAAATTACTTGTACCTTCCTCAGAGGCTTACTGATTAAATGTAGCTAGATAATTTGCAGGTCTTCCATTAAGACATACTTAAATTGCATTCAAAGTCACTCTTTAATAAACACATTTACCGAACAGACACGAAATACAATGGCATTCTGTTGCAATTCATTAATGATTTAATTAATTCGTGTAGGCAAACTAAACGAAATCTTATAAGTTAAGTTTAATACAATCATTGTTATCTTACCGGAAAGACAGGCCTGCAATTCTAAAAGGCATTCCTTGCAGAGTAGTAGAGTTGGCCCTCAGGTAGGGGCGGTGGTAACCTAAAAGATGGATAATACAGATATCTAGGAGAGATGACATAGCCTTGACAAACTTTCCCTTTCTTCTTCTTCTTCTTCTTTTTCTCTTTCTCATCCCTTTACTTCCTCTTTTTTTCCTGTCAAAGTATTTGTATTGACCCTTGTATTTTATTTTGGGTATGTCGGAGATTGGTTGAATATTTAACGTAAAAAGAAAATAATAATACTAAATAAAATAAAATATGTAAGGGCAATTCAACCTCTTTAATAGGTTCATTTGTACGAAGGCAGAAAAATAAGAAAAAAAAACAGAATGGTGAAAGTTTGAAATAAATCGGACCAATTACAGTTATGAATGTTTGAAATATGACTTTGTATGTGCATCTCAAATTCGCAAGTTGTACAGTTGTTTGTGGCGTAGTCACCAACAACTTCCCCGTTTGTCGTATACAAAAATGTAATATAAAGTAATGTAATTAATTTCTAATATGTGCCTTCTCCCTTGGGTCACTACTCAAAATATAAAATTGATAAGATATTATATAGGTCCTCTAAAAAGAATAGGCTCTCCTGAGTTACACATGTTTCAGATTTGTGGAGGCATTTTGTTCATTTATTTGTGATTTGAAACAAACGGGAAGGTTGTACGGCCCTACGTCACAGTGCCATTACCTTTACAGCCAATGGGAGGTGCCCATAGTGATTTCGACTTTTAAAAGCTCAAGACATTTTGAATTTTTTGTTCGAATTAGTTTAAACTTTAACATATATATATATATATATATATATATATATGCTTCTGTGATCTTTTAAATTTCTTTTACAGTAGTTTCAATGAAGACTGGGTTTTCTTTAACGAAGTGAAAGAAAAAAGTACTCTAATACCTATGTAAAACGTTTCCCTTTTAGCGTATTCAACTGCTGTTCAAATATAAAGTATGCATTATACATGCAAACGCCGCGGTTCCTCGAAATGCGGTAGAATAAATTTCGGTTCCTCAGATGCGTGAGAATAGCAAGTGTACACAACTGAACCCTAAAATGCTACTTAACCATGCTTACTTGGCAGGTTGCTAGCTCTACGTGAGAATTGTGGCGTTGATGCTTATATAGATAGGCAGCGCATAAACAATAATACTACTAGCATTGCGTTCTTTGAAACGTAATTACAAATTTAGAACAAAGTTCGACTCATACTTCATTGCGCAATAAAGGTTGGGTGACATCCAAATAGAAGTTGATTCCTGTTGATGTGCAGAGCTGCATACAACTAATATTTTTTTATTCAAACATCTAAAATATATTTCATAGATTTTTAAATATTTTTTTGAAATAATTTTCTCAGACCTGCTATAAGCTCCACCCTAAAAAATGCACCATATCTCATTCATCTTGTGACATCATCTTTCAATCATTCGTGAACTATACAAGAGAGAGTATAGATGCAGCTTAAATGCGACGAATATATTACTGGGAACTTTGCCTCACAAAGCCATCATAGGCTTCTTCTTGTTTACTTCTCCTTTTTCATTTTATATAAACTATTAAATGAAACATTTTGTATACATTGCCGATGATATTGATTACTCTGTATTTCCTTTGTTTTGTTGTATAAATGTTTATTTGCTTCGATTGTATTTTTTTTTATAACAATGAAATAAATAAACGATTTAGCAATTGATTTCCCTTTTCCATTTTTCATCGAAAGAGACGTTTCGGGCAAATAATGTTGACTTATTTGTGCCCCCCCCCTTTTTTTTTTCTCTTCATGTCACGATTTCCCTTCGTTTTAAGGTAAATTGCTTGAATCTCGTGCATGGAGAAGACAATAAGGGGTAAATGATTTTTCTAAATCAACCTACGTAATACAACATAAACAATAATAAGTCACTCTCTTAAATAAATCACCCTAGTCTTGCGTTATTAGCTGGGCGTAACACTATCCCTATTTTCCCCAGCTCGCATGTATCTCGTATATCAGATGTACGCGGGCATTCTAATCTATCGATGCATGCTTGCAATGTAGAAATAGAGATTGTACTGATGTCCTCAGCGTAGAGATATCAACGTAAACAAGGTCATGGAATATTGAAAGATTTATTACCTATCTTCACATCATCATGAAAGGCATAATATTGAAAGAATGTTACAACTTACGTGTTCATAGATGCTTTTAATAGTAGACACATGCAGCCTCGCCTCGCCCCGTTGTTGCTATCTTCAGTTCCGGGTTGGGTCATTTTATTACCATGATTACCCTTTTCCAATTTCCCCGTAGTCTGTCATCGTTCGATTGTAAATCAGATACAGCACATCAGATTTGGTCATACCCCCCCCCCTCTCTCTCTCTTTCTTTCTCTTTCTCTCTCTCTCTCTCTCTCTCCTTCTCTCTCTCTCTCTCAGTCTCTCTTCCTACTTATACCTCCCTTCCTCTTTCTATTTCTGTACCTTTTTTTTCTTCTCTCTTTCCATATACCATTAAGAGGCTTATCCATATACCATTAAGAGGCTTATGCTCTCTCTCGCCCTTATAAAGTACACACGCTCGCGCACTAGATATTTAATCGCTCGCTCTCGTTTTCTCTCCCTTCTCTCTCCCTTCCCTCTCACTTACCACCCCCCCCTCTCTCTCTCTCTCTCTCTCTCTCTCTCTCTTTCTATTTCTCTACTTGCTCTGTTTTTTCGTGCTCTCTCTCTCTCTCTCTATTATTATATACACACACAAACACACACATAATATTTATATCGCTTTATCATCCCCCCAGTAGCCGACGAAAGTGTTAGACCATGGACGTGATCAAGTCCCTTCTTAGATGAAGATAATTCAGCATTAGCCGAATAATTGTGTATCGTCGAAAGGGTTTCCAGTGTATACCGTGCTTTGTCAAGGTCTGGTGCGTGTTGAAAGTGAATGACTCACCAACTCATCACTCATCCTTAACTGGCTTCATCATCTTGTAAAATTGACTTAATTTGCCACTTGAGCAGCAGCTCATGGAGAACACGTCCGCCATTAAAGGGATCGGGTATCTTTGTCTCAGATTCTGAAACAAAATCCCGGATTTAGCTCATACTGTAATCCTATAACTATAAACCTTTAGGTCAGTCAGGAATCCCATAACTTTTACAAGGCGATCGCCTGTCTGATTATCAATATATTTTTGATTGGAAATCGAAAAAAAAAAAAAGTTTTTATAAAACTACAGTATATCGGGGAAAATTATCATGGTAAAACCGGTCACTCAAAGATTTGTTTACTTTTTTGAGGCACGTCATTACAATTTTGAAGCGCAATTTGTTTAGGGCTTCAATATTACACCATATCACAGACAATGATACCACGTAGGGCCCGGCATCTCAGATTTAACATTGTTAAACGACGCCTTTAAGGTATGGCGTGTTTGTGAGTTTCCTCTCGCTCTCCTTTCCTCCCCTTATCTCTCTCTCTCTCTCTCTCTCTCTCTCTCTCTCTCTCTCTATGGGCGCGTTTATCGGGGCTTGCCACTAGATATGTACATATCGTACCCCACTATTAAACCCCACTATCATACCCCACTATACGATCGTGATTTGCGGGATGTCGCGTTTATCGTCCCTTCACGATTCAAAATAAAGGCCTTGTGTCTGCCCAGCTGTTTTGACCCGGGAAGCAGACAGTTTCTCGGAGGTCAACTTCACACACATGCTTGTACACAACACCTGGGTGGTCCTATTTGTATATGAGGTTCAAAACAGCGTTTATCGATCTCTCAGAAACGTGATTCTGGCTGCATGTCACATACAAAACACACCTTTTTGCGTCTTTAGATATGCCCATATCTAAAGCCCTTTAAAAAAGGCTTTGCGTTGAGAAACCTGATTCTAGCCAAAAATTTGGTCGATAAACGCAACCTATATCTCTCTTTCTCTCCCCCCCCCCCCGCTCTCTCTCTCTCTCTCTCTCTCTCTCCCTTTCTCTCTCTACCTGTCACTATATTTCTCTTTTCCATCCCCATCTTTTTTTTTGCTGTCTATACTCAGTTTCTCTTGCTGTTACGATGTTTTTTGAAATTGGGGCGTTTCCAATACTGGTCTTTACCTTTAATGACTCGTACGTGGTCTGATTTTCCCCGATAAATAGGTAGATAGTTAAAATAGTATATAAATAAATATTCTACTCGCCAGACTGACAAGGGCATGCCTCATGAATAGCAAACCACTTTTGCTTTTCAGAAGAACAAAAATGGCGCCATGCATGCACGAGGTTTCCGAGTCAACTTTAAGGAGGGTCGTATTGCATGGATAATGGGGCACTTTATTTTCCAAAACGATTATCTCTAATGATGTTAATGACTGGCCAGCTTATGTGACATTGCAAGGCCTCAACGTCCTGTCGCCACCACCAACGTTATGCATCAACGTACTAGATAAAAATGTTCCTACCTTGCTAAATTACCTTTTACCATGTTTACGATAATTTCTAAAGAGGGTACCGTTTGGATTATTGTCTGGCCATAATTTGAAAGCGTATGAAGACAACGAAATAGAAATATCAAAAATAATATTATTCATAATAATAATGATAATATAAATAATGATAACGTAAGTAATAATGATAATGATAATGATAATGATCATATGAATATACACATTATCTAGTAGTCTTTCATTTATATAATAATATAATTTTTTTTTATTTTTATTGAGCTAGACAACTATTATTTTCTCTTTTCCTTTTCGTTATATTATATACATAGTCTTGTAGTCTTTCATTTGATATAAATATATATTGTATGTGTGTTTGTGCGTGTGTGTGCGTTTTTGTTTTGTTTTGGAATTAATGTATACCATTGTCAACTCTTGTCATGCTTGTGCGAATACTAGAACATTGTGAAAAGAAATAGGAGAATAATTGGTTGCATACCTTAACGCAGCCATTATCCACTCGATTGTAAAAAATCACTTGTGCATACAAATACAAAATGAAGAACTAAAAATCACTGAACTTCACCGCTGTTCATTATTACGATTATTGTTATCATTAATAATAATTTAATATGTAAAGGGTCGAGTTTCAATTACACTTATTTTTCAATCATACCTGTGTATTAAGAAGGCTGATGGCTGGGGGCTGGTGACGGACTGTCAACGGGTTTTGATGAACAGCCTTACTCTTGATTAAAAGTCACTTCACGAACATTTGATTTTATATTTATATATATCCTATCCGTACCTCCAGTTAAAAATCAGACGAGTATTTTGGAGGACCAACCAACCAAGAAGAAGAAGATATTTTGTATTCATTTTAGGAACTTGTAAGATATCAAACGACAAGAAAGAAATATAATCATATACAAGATAATTATTTAAAAGAGCAATAAAAAAGCGCACCCCCCAAAAAAAATGAAGCAAGCGAAATTGAAAGATAATGTACAACAAACAACTGAACATACCTTCTGAGAAGAAAGAACATTAAGAATGTGATGCACTTTTATATCTTAGATTTAGAATGGGGAAGATTACACCATAAAAACGACTATCTTACCTATTGACACAAGAGGGCAGCAAATTGTTACTTTTTTGGGCCAGCTGGCTTGCTGCGCCTGCGCAATGGCAACCTTAGCAACGGGTAACTCCAAAATGGACGACGAGCAACAGGCGAACGCAGGTAAATAGTGATTGTTTACACCGTAAAATGTCATGATTGTATATATTTTTTTGTTTTATTCTAGTGAGATGTTCGTATCAACTATAAAGCTATAATTATCACTGACATTCTTATTTATTGGGGTTTCTTAATTGTATAAATATAGCAAAGAACTCGCCCATGTTTTTCAGCAGGAATTTGAAGCTCGCCGTAATGCGGTCAGTGTATGGGCCGAGAGTGACGGCGGAAGGGAAGCTGCCGGGCCGTGGGCCTGGTGCACGGTCGGCCACACACGGCGGGGTGGAAATTTAGGTGGAATGCGAAAAACGACTGTCTGTAGGCTTCATGTTATATTTTGGTCTATTTGGGTGGGGCAGATTGCTTCCACCTGAATATTGACCTAGATATTATGTATGATTGTAGACTGTAATTTCTAAATCAGCAATCAATGACAATGTGATCAATCATCAACTCTGGTCTCAGATTCTAAAACGAAAACAAGAAAGAAAGAAAGAGACAGATCAAACTTGAGTGAGTGACGTGCGTCAAACTAAATAAGGCAAAGCGGCTCAGCTTGAACTTTTGAAGGGATTTGTAATTGTCAACATTGTTGGACATGCTAAGTAAGGTAGATCTAGATGTTCAAGATTAAACAGTGTGATAACGAGCTGTTGAAATTATGCTAGTCTACTGACAAATGTACTGTCCTGACCTGTCTACAAATTATGGTTTTTAATTTATGTTTGTCACCTCAAAATAATGGAGATTCAAAATCAAATTTATCTTTCATTGCAGAACCTGCTGCTACTGATGGGCAGCAGGAAGAGACCAATGCTGAGCAGGAAACTAACCAGACATCACAAGAAGACACAACAGAACAAGGTACACATCAAGAATGACAAATAATTTACCAAACCAGGCATTGCCTCGCTGTGGCATTAAACGCTAGCTGTCTTTCAAGAGTCATTCTTGGCGATCCAACTTCAATCAATTTTTTTCTTCTTTTAAATGAAGTCTTTCATCAGTAATTGACAACTTCCCCACTTTATGAGATGGTGATCTGAAGGAAGGGGGGGGGGGGGGGGGTAACTTATAATTTATTTTTCTAGTTTTTAAAATGATAATGATAACAATTCAGTGTGGATGTCATAAAGAGATAATTTATTTCCTGTTTTTAAAATGATAATGATAATAATTCAATGTGGATGTCATAAAGAGATAATTTATTTCCCGTTTTTAAAATGATAATGATAATAATTCAGTGTGGATGTCATAAAGAGATAATTTATTTCCCGTTTTTAAAATGATAATGATAATAATTCAGTGTGGATGTCATAAAGAGATAATTTGTTTCCCATTTTTAAAATGATAATGATAATAATTCAGTGTGGATGTCATAAAGAGATAATTTATTTCCAGTTTTTAAAATGATAATGATTATAATTTAGGCATACGTGTATTCTTTTTTTTTCTTCCAGTTTTTAAAATGATAATGATAATAATTCAGTGTGGATGTCATAAAGAGATAATTTATTTCCTGTTTTTAAAATGATAATGATAATAATTCAATGTGGATGTCATAAAGAGATAATTTATTTCCCGTTTTTAAAATGATAATGATAATAATTCAGTGTGGATGTCATAAAGAGATAATTTATTTCCCGTTTTTAAAATGATAATGATAATAATTCAGTGTGGATGTCATAAAGAGATAATTTATTTCCCGTTTTTAAAATGATAATGATAATAATTCAGTGTGGATGTCATAAAGAGATAATTTATTTCCCGTTTTTAAAATGATAATGATAATAATTCAGTGTGGATGTCATAAAGAGATAATTTATTTCCCGTTTTTAAAATGATAATGATAATAATTCAGTGTGGATGTCATAAAGAGATAATTTATTTCCCGTTTTTAAAATGATAATGATAATAATTCAGTGTGGATGTCATAAAGAGATAATTTATTTCCCGTTTTTAAAATGATAATGATAATAATTCAGTGTGGATGTCATAAAGAGATAAATTATTTCCAGTTTTTAAAATGATAATGATTATAATTTAGGCATACATGTATTCTTTTTTTTTCTTCCAGTTTTTAAAATGATAATGATAATAATTCAGTGTGGATGTCATAAAGAGATAATTTATTTCCTGTTTTTAAAATGATAATGATAATAATTCAATGTGGATGTCATAAAGAGATAATTTATTTCCCGTTTTTAAAATGATAATGATAATAATTCAGTGTGGATGTCATAAAGAGATAATTTATTTCCCGTTTTTAAAATGATAATGATAATAATTCAGTGTGGATGTCATAAAGAGATAATTTATTTCCCGTTTTTAAAATGATAATGATAATAATTCAGTGTGGATGTCATAAAGAGATAATTTATTTCCCGTTTTTAAAATGATAATGATAATAATTCAGTGTGGATGTCATAAAGAGATAATTTATTTCCCGTTTTTAAAATGATAATGATAATAATTCAGTGTGGATGTCATAAAGAGATAATTTATTTCCCGTTTTTAAAATGATAATGATAATAATTCAGTGTGGATGTCATAAAGAGATAATTTATTTCCCGTTTTTAAAATGATAATGATAATAATTCAGTGTGGATGTCATAAAGAGATAATTTATTTCCAGTTTTTAAAATGATAATGATTATAATTTAGGCATACGTGTATTCTTTTTTTTTCTTCCAGTTTTTAAAATGATAATGATAATAATTCAGTGTGGATGTCATAAAGAGATAATTTATTTACAGCTTTTAAAATGATAATGTTTATAATTCAGGCATACATGTATTCTTTCTAGAGCCATTCGTACATGATTTTCTGGTCTTGATGTGTATACTCACTAAAGTTAAACAAATCTGGCACATTTATTCTATTTTAAAAGGGCTTCCATAATTTCATTTCATTTCATTATTTCATTACAGAGCCTGCTAATGACAATGCAGAAACAGCTGAAGTGAGTCAGGAGGGTGGGGCAGATGCCCCAGCAACTGAGGGTGCGGATGACCCACAAAACACGGAGGGAGATGGTGAGCAGAAAGCGGAGCAGGAAGGTGGCGGAGAGAATACAGATGCGGTAGAGCCTCCGATAGAAAATGCTCCTGAAGATGGACAAGCGCCAGAAGGTGTGTTTTATTATAATTCATCCAATTTTAACTTTGTTGAGGCATTAGGAAAGGTGGCATGAAATTATCAGTGATGTATATAGTCATTGTTCTCCATACTTCAATAGATCCCCCCCCCCCCAGCAGTACAAAGGATGAAATGTTGATATTACCTTAAGTGAAAATGAAATAACATATCAATATGAAGACAAAAAAATTGTCAAAACAAAGGCAACAAAGACAAGTATAAAAGAGACACACCAAAGTTACTGTTGAAAATGTTGAAATGTTTGAAAATAATATTGAAAACAAAAACTCTTTAAACAAGTTTTGTGAGATATAATCACTATTCATTCTTGTGGATAATACAAAATTCCATATATCAATGAAACTTCTGTTTGCAATGTGATTCAAAATTTCAAATTACCCTTGGACGACCAGTGTCATTTTGACCGGGAGAATAATTATGAAAAAACAACAACCCTAAAACAAATTTCCCAACACATATACATGTTTGCAATGTAATTCCCATCCCCAGTTGGTCTGAATTTTTAACATGCATTTAAAAAAAGCGAATAGTGCATTAGATGCTAATGATAAATGAGTTTCATGTGTGTTGCAGATCTGTTCCTCATTTAATGTTAAAACAAATATTATATGTCGATTTCAACATGAATGATCTTCTGATATCACTTTTAGATTTAGCTGATGCACCCCAGGCTGCCGAAGAAACGGCACCGGAAGCCCAGGCTGAAGGGGAACAGGGTGTCACAGATGGTGACGCCGCCCCAGCTGCAGAGGGAGCGACAGAGGCTGACACACCCCAGGAGACACAGGGTGACGCACCCCAGGAGACACAAGATGACACACCCCAAGACGCACCGGCAGAAGGACAGGGGGAGACACAGGGAGAAGCACCACAGGAGACACCAGCAGCAGAACCCACAACAGAACCCCCGACAGAATCCCAACAACCACAAGCAGACACTGGTGGGGACGGGGAACCAAAGCCTCAGGACGCCCCGCCCCAGCAGCAACCCGAGGGTGGGGAGACACAGGCCGATGGGGGTGGGGCAGAGGAGACGGAGGGAGAGAAAGGAGAGGAGTCTAAGGAGGAAGTGGATGAGAATCTGATACCTAAAGATTTCTTTTACGACTATGAAGAACACAGCTCCAAGCCAGTTATTGCCGAGGACTCTGGCCTACCCAACGACATGCTCAAACTATTGTATCCTTTGAAGATTTAATTTATTCAATACTCGCAACCTTGCGGCTGAATTGTTACTGAATTTTCACATTTACAAACATATACAAATTACAATCAGAGGGAACATAAACAGATTCAAGTAAAATACAATGACAGAACAAATTAAGCTATTAACACTTTAGGAACTGGGTGGTTTCTGAATCTAGGTTTGGAAATGATAACAAATTTGTTGTCAAATTGTTATGTGAACCTGATCGGTTTGTCTATATAGCTGAGGCGATGATGATGTTTACTCCACATACATGTAAGATGATGTCATCAAGTCAATAGCTTGTTTTTAGGTCAACATCTTCTGATATTAATAGCTTTAGATTTTGTCTTTTCAGAGAGCTGTTACTATTATTATTATTATATGTTAATCTATGGCTTAAATAAGCTTTCTGTTGATATATAAATCATCTGACAGGGTCTTTAACCCATTAATCAACTCCTAAATCTAGTATTATCCTTGACTTGTAGTCTTACTTCACCAGTCACTCTTTTGGATATGACTGCAAGAAGCTGTCCAATCTGTACATGCTGGATGCCAACACAGTCCTCTTTGCGGCTGGTAACATAGTCCAAATCTTGAACCTCGTGACCAAGGAGCAGCGATACGTCAGGACGACAAGCGGCGGTGGAGTTGGTGCCATCACTGTAAGTTAAAACAGAATATTTCCTATTCACCCTTTCAGGACAACATTGATTTTAGGGCTAAATTGATCACATGTTTTTCCTCCAATTGGCAACAATATATTTCTTTTATTCCTACATTCTTAAAATAAAATGTTGTGTTTGTGAAGACGATATACATGGGCAAGAATGTCGTCGAAAAAATGAAAAAATAGCAAGATTTGGTAGAAAAACAATAATTTCTAATCGCTCAAACTGTTGCTAATTTAAGGATTTAGTTATAACTTCATAATCCCTCTCTATTAAGCTGAGTAATGTTGACTTTGAAATGTTAAACTCAGTTGGGTGAAACTTTTTTTTCTTCCAGACAAATACTCCCTGAATGTATTAGTGTGAACATAAAATAAATTCGTAAAAAAATAATAAGTGAATAAAAACTCAGAAAAGAATTTCTTTGTCCTGCAAACTATGTTACATCTTGATGGTTCAAAACTATTGAACATATTTTCTAGAGGTGTTTCCAGCCTTTCCAGCTCTTTCTCAGACGATGAATCACATCTTGCAGTGCGGCGGAACGGGTTGCACAGATGAAGACCTGGCCCTTGTAAATGAGATGGCCATCGCCGCCTTGGGGCGATGGAAGAACTTAACTTAATTTAATTTAACTAAGGAACTGTACATTATTCTTGATCTAAGGAGACACGAACGAACAAGCTCTTTCTCATTTTTAAAATTCTTTTTAATGATAGGTGCACCCAAGTCTGAAATACTTTGTGGTCGCTGAAAAAGGGGACATGCCCAACATCATCTTCTACGAGTACCCCTCCCTCAAGCTCTACCGCATCCTGAGGGGCGGTACAGAGAAGGGCTACGCCTTTGTGGACTTCAACCCTGCCGGGACCCTCCTGGCCTCCGTGGGTTGTAACCCTGACTTCATGCTGACCCTATGGGACTGGCAGCAGGAGAAGATCCAATTGAGATCTAAGGCTTTCTCCCAGGATGTCTTCAGGGTCACGTTCTCCCCTGAGAACGAGGGGCAGCTGACAACCAGCGGCACCGGCCACATCAGGTTAGTGTTTATATAGTGAAACCTGTCTATAAAGACCACCCAAAGGAGACAAGAAAAGTGGTCTTTATAGGCAGGTGGTCTTTGTAGACAGGTTCCTTTAGTGTATGTTTCAAGAGAACAATTTTCAAGGGAAACAAAAAATGTGGTCTTCGTAGACAGGTGGTCACTTGACAGGTTTGACTGCAGGTTTGACTGTACATAATAGGCCCGGGAAGTGTTTCACAAAGACTAAGATCGACTTTAAGTTGGACTTAACTATGGCAGGCCGTTCATGCTACTATTTGCTCTCACCAATAACTGGCACTGGTCTCTCCAAGGGTGGTGCAAATCATGGTCACTAAATTTAAGGAATTAACAATTGTTGATAATTCGTTATTGAAGGAAAATATATTATCTAAAGATAATGTCGATCTTATAGTCTTTGTGAAACACTCCCCAGGACCTCTTAAAAGCAGCTTGTGCATGTAAATGAGGTTAACACAATATTATGAACCCCTCAATAAATTTCGCAATTTTACAGTGATGAATATTGGGTTAGATTATTTATGCTAACTGATGAACACAAAGATTAATAGTGCTGTAGCCTGTTGAGTTGTGATTGAAATTTTTGCAAAAATATGTGTGAAAAATATCTTTCTGCCACGCTTAAAGGGAGTGTAAACTGACCAGACTACGTGTCTTTACCTTGGCCTGACTCCAGGTCAATCGGGGTCAATCGGGTATAATAGGACTACAGACGATGCATACAATACGCAAAACTGAAGCGTGAGGGAACCTCGGTCTGTTTCGCGAACGCTGACCATGTAGAGATTAAGTCGCTGATTACCGTTTATTAAGTCCATTCGTTTACGTGCAGATGTCCAAAAGAAGACGTGGATGGCGTTAACCAGTATTTGCCATGCTACTATTGCCTTTAACTCTACCCGACCTTTGCATGTAGGAACTTTATTTCATGGATTTTCTCAAATTCTAATAGGTTCTGGAAGATGGCCGACACCTTCACCGGCCTCAAGCTCCAGGGGGCACTGGGCAAGTTTGGCCGCACCGAGATCTCGGACATCCGGGGCTATGTGGAGCTGCCGGACGGCAAGGTGCTGTCCGGGACGGACTCGGGCAACATGCTGCTCTGGGAAGGGGGCCTGATCAAGGTCCAGATCGGCCGTAAGGGCAAGAAGCCCTGCCATCAAGGGGCTATTGAACAGTTTGTGATGGATGAAGGCGAGCTGATCACGATCGGCGCTGATGGATTTATTAGGGTAAGTCGCAGTTTTCATTCAGTATTTTGCAGGGCCCACCAGTAAGAGAGGTTGGGGGTGCAAATGCCCTCTCCCCAATATTTACTCTAAATACCCCCTCCTCTTTTCCTTCCTGCCCCTCCCCCTATATTAAAATTTAAACAGGGGTTCATGTGCATAGATATACAAGCCCACCTCCTTGGGAGAGTAGGAAATTATTTATTCTGATTATTATATTACTATAAAATTGGATGTATTTGTATATATTTTTCTTCATGATATTTGTCTATAAAACGTTTACTTCCATTTATGTGCTCCTAATTTTGGAAGTTTTTTTCCCTCCACTGTTGTTCATCGTCTCATGCTTTCCTTCATATTGTGACTAATATGTTTCTATACCTGATTTTCAAAACCATGTTTTTCCTTTCTGTAGTTTCTGTGTCTCTTTGAGTCTGTCATACATGTAGTCTGCTCAACCAAGTTTTTGCAGATCAAATGTATACATGTATTCTTGTAGTATCCTTATAGATGTAATTTCTTTTGTAGCACTAGCTAGATCTATAATATTTGATAATCCTTTCAAATACACTGATATAGTCAAAGTAGTGTCAAACCTGTCTATAACAACTGCCCAAGGGAAACTCAAAAAGTGGTCTTTGTAGACAGGTTCCTTTAGGACTTGTTTCAATGAGAAACCATTTTCAAGGGAAACAAAAAAATGTGGCCTTTGTAGACATGTGGTCACTAAAGCAGGTTCAACTGTATAAACATTCTCAACCATAGCCACTGGAAATAATTTATTCTTTATTTTTCTTCAGGTGTGGGACTTTGAGTCGATTGACACGGCCGATTCCATGGACGAGTCCGGCGTCTTTGAGATGGAGCCTATGAACGACCTCAAGGTTGGAAACGACGTCCATCTCATGTCCATGGTCAAGTCAGTTGACCCTGAGGTGCAGAGCCTGTGGTACGGCCAGGTAAGTAATAATAACTTGTTAAAAAATTACATTTAGAAATGATTCCAGGGGAAAGCGTACTCAATTGCTATAACCATCTTCTGGTCAACTTGTTTTCCTTTTAATACAAGTCTCTTGAAATAATTGTCAAAAGATGTCTTGTTTGGGTTCCAGGAGTGTACTGTTCCAAATGTACTGTTTAAATACAAGATTACAAAAATAAAGTTCATATTTTTGTTGATTTTTTTTTTTTTTTTTTTTTTTTTTGGGGGGGGGGGGGGGGGGGGGGGGGAGTGCTTCAATATTTTCTGATGACCAAAAACATATAATAAAGGGTGATCAGATATTTTTGGTTGCTTTTTCACTTGAAATTCTCTGACAAGATGAAAGAAAATGATAACAAAAAATGTCTGCAAGGTCTCAACTGAGAATCAACCTTTAAGAGAGTCATTTTTAGCAAATTGACAGAGATAATCAATTTTGATGATCGTCCTACAACTCCTCTCGCGCAAGTCGTTCGATATAAAAATGGAAAGCTCCTGAGCTCCTGCTCCTGTAATTCATGTTCTTCATTCGATTTTTCGTCTCTGTCAGGATGCCAACGGTGGGATCTGGAAGCTGGACCTGTCGTTCTCTCACACCACCAAGGACCCGGAGAAGCTCTTCTCGTACCATGCAGGAGAGATCACTGCCGTAGCGACGTCACCCATCTCGCAGCTCATTGCTTCCACTGCCCATGATGGTAAGTGACACTGCCTTTTGATTCTCTGTGCCCCACCCGTTTAATTGGTGATGCAACTTTTCTTCCTGCAAAATTTGAGCTTCGATGTCAAAATTTACGTTTCATGTGCTGGACAGAGGGGTGCTAACGCAACTTTTTGGTCATACTTCTAACCTGTTTAGCTATCATTGCTCACAAAATAATATCACTGATAACAATTTTAATAATGTACAGATGTGAATGTGCTTTGCTGAAATGCTTTGTTTTTTCTTGAAATAATATTTTGTCTTCACATTCAAACTCATGCTTGAGATGGGCAAACAGTGTCGTAGCTTGGGTTTCGGGTGGCAATTAAATTTTATGTTAGTACTGGCCAGAGTGGTTTATAGTGTTGCTAGGGTTGATATAAGGAATGGGATTAGAGTTTGAAATCAACTGCAGAGCTTTTGGCACCAGGATCGATATACATCCACATTATAAATTGTTTTTACCAATACACATTCACGGGATTGAATCAATTTCTCAAGAAAATCCCCCCTCTCTCTCTCTGATCAGACTCCACCACTTTATGAGATATAATCTGTACAGAAATGCCACTTGTTACACATTGTGCTTATCTTTGCTTTGTTTAGCTACTGTTCGTGTGTATGACAATGCATCCAAGACGCCACTGTGCCATACCAAGTTCAACGCTGGATCCACCTCCCTCTTGTGGTTGCCTCAGATTGTAAGTTAGACAAAGGATTGCAGTTGGATATATGAATGTGTTTATTAAGTTGGTCATATTTTGTTATTTATATGTGTTTGATAAAATTGTAATCATACAATTTGTTATGATCTACATGTACATCCATGAATTAGCTCTTATACAACCTTTGATTACTAATGTAACAGAAAAAATAAGGTAGATAAAAATATACTTTTTTTTGAACTACCCCCAACAATTCAAATGTCAAGTAAGTGGTGATAAATTGTGGCTTTGCTGACAATGCCAAATAAATGATTAAATGCTTTATTTGTTTACAGATAGCCCAATGCTTTTAGGTATCTTCCTAAATCTATTACACTGCCAAGTTTATGACTAATAGCATTCCTGTTCACAGATTGATCCCAGTATAACTTCTTATTTCAATGATATTTTTCAATGATAATATATTTACTTGGGATTGCAGTCCTCCAATTTGATTTATTTCATTATATTGAAGAAAAAAAAAATCATGGTAATGACTTGGTTAAGCCTTGCTTTCTCTTCAGGCTCCATTATATTTCTCCCTTTATTTAACTCGGTTTTATGTATTATTCTGTTCGCTTGTATTAATACCACAAACAAAAAGATGTAACATGCCAAATGTAATAATGTATTATACAACATGTGAAATATGAAAATACACTGAAACTGAACTGAACCTGGATTAAATATAGTGATACCTGTTTTCAGATTGATTCCAAACATATGCCTGTTCCCCTATGATGAGCATGCCAGCTGAATAGTCAGCCCATTTCGTAATTTATAGATTGACCCCAAGGGGGCCACCGTCCTGGCCGGATTCAACGACGGCGTGGTCAGAGTACTGGTCATCGCCAGACAGGACCATCAAGACCACCATAAGAAGGGCCAGAACCAACCCCAAGCCCAGCTCATCCTCAAGCAGGCCTTCAAACCTCACACCAAGGCCGTCACAGCGATGGCTCTAGACAACAAGGGGGAACTGCTCGCTTCTGGGGTAAAAACATCTTCTTATTTTGTATTCAGAGTACTTATAATTAAAGGGAGTGTAGACTGATGAGACTACAGTATGTGTCTTTCCTGTGGCCTGACTTTGAGCCAATCGGGTATCATACAACAACGGACGATGCGACCGCAGCAATCATGTGTGTGCAACATACGCTAAACCGAAGCGTGAGGAGAACTTTGGTCTGTTTTGCGAATGCTGACCATGTTGAGATTAAGTCGCTGACTACCGTTAATATCAAGTCCATTTGTTTACGTGCAGTTGTCCAGAAGAAGACGTGGATGGCGTTAACCAGTATTTGCCAAGCTACACTCCCTTTAAGCTTGGTTCTCGATTATCCAAGCATACATTTTCTGCTCAGTTGAAAGCTGAATTCATGCATTGATTAATATACATGACATGACAATATAAGTCAAGAAATAGGGTTGACAATTTTTGAAATTATATTTGCATCACGCTTCAGATTACATTAACCATCATATTGTTTGATTCACTGACTCTTCCTAAAGAAATCACTGAAAGCATAATTGATTTGAAACTGTTATGATTTTTTTTTTGGGTACTATTCTTGATTACTTGTTCTACGCATCATGTATGTTTTGAAAAATGGTTCAAGCGCCAGGGAAATCATCTCGGTGTTTATGTGACAGTTCAATCTCATTCTCTAGTCCTCTGCACTATGCATTCTACTTTGCCACTTTGAAAATAAAAAACAACTCACAGTTAGATAAAGCAATTACTAATTGAATATTTGTTCCATATACATGCCCCGTTACAATGTGCTGATATCTTTTGCATGCCAGTTTTGTTACCAGTCCTTAATAGCTAGTTTTTTCAATGTCTTGTTTTCGCTACAGGGAGCCGACGGAACAGTGTTCTTCATGTCTGTCAGTGATACGTTCAGTCCTGTTGGATACATTGAGATGCCAGGGCCAGTAACGCACCTCACCTGGGCTCCCGGCAACTTTGTAAGTACTGCTCCAAATCCATATTAACCCTTTTAGTGTCGTAGGTGGGCAAGTCCTACCAAAAGTTTGAGGTTGGACGATGTAATTGGACTAACATCGACTGACATTTTCCTCGAAATACAAACAAAAATGGATGAAGGCACTAGAATAATTAATGCTCATGAAAAATAAATGTTTACATCAACTTAACCATTGATACCATTGCCATTATCAAATCCAATATCGTCATCATTACCATCATCATCATCATCATCATCATCATCATCATCATCATATCGACAACTTTGATATTTCATTGATTATTATGTTAAACATTAAAAGTTGACTAAGTTGACTATTTTACAACAAAGCGTGACCGTTTGTACTCTCCTATAAAATTTTAAAACTTAGTTTACCCAGGTTTAAGATTTTGGGCCATGCACTTTAAATAGCTACAAGTAAATTACTTGAAGTAATGATAAAAAGCCTGTACCCTATCATATCTGATTCATGACCTTGGATCTTTGACTTATGCCGGAGAAGGACACCTTGCTTGTGTTCTATTAGCAGTGGCAATTGATAGAGGTCACTGTCCCTAGGTCCGGCAGCTACGGACACCTCCTAGTCCTTCAACATCACTTACCCAATGAATAACATGCCATTGGGATTTTATTTCTAATTTATGACCTTTGATCTTTGACCTTTGCAGGAGAAGAACACCTGCTTGTGTTCTGTTAGGATACGAGAGTGATAGAGGTCGCGGCCCCAGAACCTGGCAGCTACGACACCGCCAAGACCTTCAACATCACTTACCTAATAATAATAACTTGCCTTTTGGATTTTATCTCTAATTTATGACCTTTGATCTTTGACCTTTGCAGGAGAAGAACACCCTGCTGGTGTTCTGTGCGAATGGTGAGGTGATGGAGGTCACGGCCCCAGAGCCAGGCAGCTACGACACCTCCAAGACCTTCAACATCACAGGTCTGGAAACCAGGTCCTTCTCGTTTACCAGCATCAAGTCTAGACTCAGGGTAAGAAACGTGTACTGTGGGGCGTTTCACAAAACTTGTCATCAATGGCAGGTTTTTGCTATAAGCTACTGAAATCCTTGCTTCTGATTGGTTAACAACAGATTTGTCACTGATTTTTGTCATTTGTCATTGAATAAAGGTTTTGTAAAATGGGTCCCTGGTCTCTGCAGTGAAAATATGCGACATCGAAATACCAATTTGTTTTCTTCATGTCAATAAATAATATTCTATTTTGGGTGGTAGTATCCCCCTACTCTACAATCAGTATCTACTGATATACGGATTTCATCAGGCTCTAGAGACATGTTCTATTCAGTAGCAGTATTTATATTGAGGCGGAAGGAAAAAAAGAATATTACAACATAAAAGACAAAATTAGTGAAGGAATTAACGATATGATGTTTAAACTATTGCTCATGTTTTTGTTTACACTTTACAAATGATAGAGAGAAGAGGAAGAGGAAAGGAAGAGAATTGAAGAGGAGGAGAAGCAGAAGGAGAAGGAGAGACAGAGACGTATCCGTCGGGAACGTGGACTTGAAGATGAGGAAGAGGAGGAGGAAGAAGGTAAAAACAATCCTATCAGTGTTGTAGTGTAAAAATCAAGTTCAACTGTTTTAATTGCTGATTAACAAATCAACGCCTTATTTTCCTTGCATGAAACATATGCAAAAGTTTACAGGGATAAAGTACTCTATGTAAAATATAACAGTGGAAAAATTATACCCATTTATCTTTTACAATATCTTTTATTTTTATCAATATCTTTTACATAGAAATCTTTTATATAAATCTGTGAGATATACATGCACACTCTGTACAGTATGATTTAAATGAAGTGAAAAGGTGTTCATAATTGTTTGGTCAAGAATATAAATGTACAAGCACAATTTTTTTTATATTTGTAAAGGGTCATGTCGGACGTGGGTAAGACATATTTGGGTGGAAGAAAATATGTAACAAAAAACAAATCAGAAATGGTACGGGGCAGTTATTCTCCTTGAAGTGTCGTAGTCGAGTGGTTTAAGCACTTGACTTGAAATTTGAAGGTTGTGGTTCGATCCCCGACACAGCACTAATGTCCTTTGGCAAAGCATTAATCTACATTTGCCACACTCCACAAGGTAAGATAAATGGGTACCTGGCAGGAATTAATTCCTTGAAATGCTGGAGCACTGTAATGGCAGCTAGGCTAAATCTGGGGTAATAATTAATTTGTGCGCCTCGAAATAGTCTAGATAGATGGCGCTATATAAAAGCCTATTATTAAGATTTCTCATTTGCTCTTCTTTTGTCTTTTCCTTTTGTCAGAGGAGAAAGAGGAGGAGCCACAGCCCTTGTACATCCCTGAGGAGCCCAGTCCTATTCTCTTTGGAATGTACGCTCCAAACGATCCAGACACTTTCTGGGTTTCCATGGTGAGTCAAACTTGTTCATTTATGGTACCGTCAATTTAAAAGGATTGGGTAAATTTGTCTCAGATTCTGAAACAAAATCCTGAATTTAGCTCATGCTCCAATGATAATTATGAACCTTTAGGTCAGTCAGGAACCCCTTGACTTTTACAAGCTGTCTGATTATCAAGATATTGATGATTGAAAAATAGAAATGTTGAAATTGAAAACACTACAGTCTATTGGGGAAAATTAGTATGGTAATACCGGTCTCTTAAAGATTTTTACTTTTTTAGAGGCACTTCATGATCATTTTGAAGCACAATTTTTGTAGGGCTTCAATTTTACACCATATCACAGACACAAATAACACGTAAGGCCGTGCATCTCAGATTTAACATTGTTAAACTATGTCTTTAAAATAAATATGTTTCCATTTGTGCCTGTAGGGAGCCTTTGATGCAGGTTACCTCTATGAATGCAAGTTCTACAGCGAGGAGGAGAAGACGGCTCTGATCAAGGACAGCCGAGAGAACGCCATCAAGGAAGCCAAAAGAGCTATCCCCGTCCCCGGGAGTGATGACATCCCCATCACCTGTATCACCTTCAAGTAAGGAATACCCCTCCCCCTCCCCCTTCCCCCTTTTCATTCTTTATTAGCCCTCTTCTTTATCCTGTAGCCTTCCTCAATCCTCTTCCTCCTTCCTTTCATTTACCTTTCTTCTCTATCTATCCTTATGCCTCTCAATATTAAAAGGAGAATGCTTTGAAGAAAGAAAAAAGTAAATCGAAAGATAGCCTTATAGTATCTTGGCACCAAAATAAAAAATCCATACACAATTATAACAAACAAACAAACAAACAGGGAAACAAACATTCGTTATTCTGACTTTCTTCCTTTAAATTCTTACAGTTCCGAAGGCACCCACGCCCTGATGGGGATGGAGAACGGAGTCATCCGCATCCAATTTGTCGTCCAGGACAACGACCCCAAGAACGCCGAGAAGCGACCCTTCACCTCCTCCCAGGCCGACCTCAGCAAGCTCGGCCCTTACTGGATGCTGAACGTCCACGACAACAACTACGGAAGCATCAGCACCATCGAGACGAGTTTCGATGATAAGTGTGTCGTATCCAGCGGAGGCGACGGGAACCTCTTCATCTTTGAGATGATGAGCGATGAGAAGATCGAGGAGGCCAAGGCGGTGGCCAGGGCCAAGATTCCTTCTGCCAGGGTAAACTCATTTGATATTGCGTGACAACCAGGGGACGGTTTCACAAAAACCAATATCGACTTTGAGTTGGACTTTGAGCCGTCCATGCCACTATTTGCTCTCACCATTATGATCTGTAGATAATATTTTTTCCTTCAATAATGAACTATCAAAAAATGTAAATTCTGTAGATATGTGACCGTGATTTGTACGTCTATTCAGGGATCGATACCAGTAAATGGTGAGAGAAAACTGTGGCATGAATGGCCTGCCATAGTTAAGTCCAACTTAAAGTTAATCTTAGTCTTTGTGAAACACTCTCCTGTTGGTGAATCGGCTATGTGAAACTGTCAACTTGAAACAATGGTTTATACTTAAGATTATATCATATGAAGTCTTTGATTATTCATTTAGTTCACAATTCTAAGCTGCCTCTCAAAGTCATGTTAATATTATGCAATACAAACACTCACTGCAATTAGACTTTCACATATTTAGAATTGTGTGGGATTTGCGTTTAATTTGTTAGTGTGTATTTTGATCACATTTTTTCAATGCAAGAATATATTTTGTCTCCAAAGACCAAACGGCATAAGCTTGTTTCCATCTGCTAAACAAAATACATGAGTGTGAAACTTGGGTAAAGGTCGGTGTTATGAAATGTAACAGGAGGGGGGGGGGGGGGCGGTGTGGAGAACAGGTACAGCAAGTATAGAATCTTATATTCAGTGAATGTGCTAATAATGCATTGTAAAACACTATGAACTGGAAATGTTCCTTATTAGGACCACTCATAGAAGTAGGTATTGTCATCAGTGTGATTATATTTGCGGCTAATATTCCATTATGTCTTTGTTCGCCAACAGAAAGAGGACGAACAACGGACAGTGGCTGATATTGAAAACAAGGAGCATTACAGCATCGAGCTGGAGAAGCAGAAAGCCGAACACGACAAGATGATGAAGATCGCCGAGGAGAAGAAGCTGGAGGCCCGCAAGACCATCGCCAAGCTCCGCAGGCAGTTCAAGAAGCTCCTTGAGAGGAATCATGAACTGCCTTCCCATCTCCAGCTAGAGAGGAAGGTAATGTGACATTTATTTCCCAATTACCAATCTGTCTAATCCTTAAATAGACCAGGGCCCTGTTTCACAAAACTTGTTATCAATAGCAAGTGCTAAACTGCTATGACAAATGTGCTCTAAGCCAATCAAATGCCACCATTTCAGTAGCTTATAACAAATATTGTTACTTGTTATTGATAACATGTTTATGAAACAGAACCCAGTGGTTCCAGGACACCTACCCCCTGGACAACCTCCCTCCGGATAACCACCCCTTAAATAACCAACCTCTAGGTCAACTACCCCCTAGGACAACTACCCTCTAGGATAATTACCTAGTTTTGATTTGTTTAGACAAAGTCACATTATTTTCCTAACAAAAAAGATAACATCGATTTCAGAAGACCACTACTTTATTGCTCTCCAATAGCCATATAAGATCTCCATGAGGCTGTTCACACCGCAATGAGATAGCGCGGTCTATCGTAGCACCCCCTTTTTTCTAGCGCGCGCTAGCCCGCGCTATCTCTCGTGGACCACCCCCAAGAGGTGCTCCAGTATTGGCTCGCCGTGGCTCGCTGTTGGGCGGACCGAAACGACGTTGTACCTTCCAAACCGCGGAGATAGCGCGGTCTGGCGCGCGCTATCTCTGCCGGTGTGAACAGCCTCCATGAATCTTATCTTTACACTCCATTATTTGCGAATATCACATTATCATTATTATGATCGAAATTAATCTCTTGCAGGAATTTGAGATGGATCCGGGCATCAGGCGTGAGCTTGAGAGACAGACGGCCGAGAAGATAGATCTGGTGAGGAAAGAGCTCGCATGGGAGGCGGATAAACATCGCGTTGGGCTGGAAAAACTCAAGCAAAGGTAACTAACTAACTATGAATGCGTATTAAAGCTCCACTGCACTACTTATAGCTAGTTGCGCCCTCTATATTTCAAACAATGCCTCAGCAGTGTCCATTGGTCCCCCCATGGTCCCCTTTTTCTTATGTTAATTTAGAGCTGAATTGATGAGGCAACCACTTGTGAGTGACCATACAGGTAGGTCTAATCCCTCCTGGCCAAACTAGTGCAGATAGGCTTTAAAATGATGGCTTTGAGTGATAATGGTTCCTTTCCAACTACCAGACATATGATCAAACTTTATTTACAGTGTATTATTACCCCAATCATCAGGGTTAATAACGATACTGCACTCACAATGCATTCCCTCCATCTCTTTATTTTTAAAGTCCACCCGTCTTTAAACAGGTTTTTGTTTTATTACTTGATTCAATTTTCCTTCAAAAGGTTCTTTCCTCGATCCAACACTGCCCTCACCCAAGCGATGTATGTGGACCCAATTTTCTGAAATCACATATTTTGCACGCTTTAGCCCACCCGTATGATACAATATGTTTCAAATAGAAACCCAAACTTCATATGAAACCACAGGAATGAAAATTGTTGATCACCGTATTTTCTCCATTGCCATGCAGTACTATTTGTTGTTTAACTCGCCTTGCATGCATTCCATTGCTAAGTAGAGCAGACAGAGTTACGTCAGCGGAAGTCATGTTCATTCAGAGGTCAAATTCATGGAGCGCCACAATAGTTCCCTCCGTTAGACATTGCAGACTATTGGAAGCTCTATCAATTGACCTTTGACACATGCACGTGTCACAACTATCTCTCTAAATATGCTATGATCCATTCCATCTCCATCTCACCCGCAGATTCAAGGATGAACTGGAGTGCGAGCGCATCGTGGTGGTGGCGGTGAGGTCTTCCCATCAGGTGGCCACCTACCGTACGGCGGAGCTCAGCAAGGACTTCCTGCTGCAGAAGGAGGAATGGAGCCGGCGGGCGACCATGGTGTCGGAGAAATCACTGTCCAGGGACCCCACCAGGGAGCAGCTGTTTGCTGGTAGGATAATGGTGGTGGTAGTGGTGATGAAGATGGTGATGGTGATGTTGGTCGTGGTGCAGTTGGGTTTAGGATCTGAGGGTGGAGATGCTCACAATGTTAACAATAGACGTGACTCATTGATGATAAATTTGATGCAGATAAGTGGGGGGGGGGGAAGGATTATAATGCAGATAACTATGATGGTGAGGTTGATAATGATGGTTGGGATGAATGAGGATGATGATGATGATAATGGTGATGATGATGATAGTGTTGAAGATGATGATGAAGCTGAATAGGATGATGATGATGATGATGATGATGAAGATGGTGTTGAGGATGATGATGATGGTGATGATGGTGATGATGATGATGATGATGGTTTTAATGAATAGGATGATGATGAAGATGTTGATGATGATGGTGGTGATGATGATGATGATGATGATGATATTGGATGTGATAATTGCAATGCCGGGTTACAATGATAAAGTTAATGTGAAAAGTCATCTGCTGATAAGAATGTCTTAAGAAAATTCATGTGGCTTTTTATAGGATTACTGCTTATAGCAAGAAGGGCTCTTATCTTGTAACCCTTGGTCAAAATGCCCTTCTGCCTGGGACCCATTTCACAAAGCCTTTTTAAAGACAAATGACAAAAATCAGTTACAAATCTGCTGATAACCAATCAGAAGCAAGTATTTCAGTAGCTTATAACAAAAACTGGCATTTGTCACTGATGACAAGTTTTGTGAAATGGGCCCCTGGTAGTCTTGATTCCAAACCTTCCTTCACTAGCACCCAATCCATTCCACCTCTCTATCATGTTCTTCCATTCATCATATTCTTGATTTCAGATCAGTCCAAGCTCAGTGAAACTGAGATCGATGCTGGCAGGGTCCCAGGCACCCAGACCAAGAAGGCCACCCTACTGACTGGTAGACTTGGGGAGAAGGTCAACAAGGCCTTGCAGAAAGCTGAGAAGGTCAAGCAGAAGAGGACGGCCAGAGCCAAACAGGTGAGTCTGAATCACCCCAAATTGTTCCTGGAAAAAAAAATGTTAACAATTCTTTATATTCATCTATATTGACAACCAACATTCGCAGTTCTTGTTGATTATGGGGAAGTTTTACAGCATTATGAAAAGCGTGTGTTGTCTGTTGGAAGTAGAATAGTGTCAGCTTAGTATGTCATTAATGAACCGATTTGATTCGAAATTGACCTGTTACTTGATGAGGTGTTATTTTCTGTGATATGAAAAGACACAGCTTGACTTGACCTGATGCAACCCAACATGACCTGACCTGGTGAATGACCTAAATTGAGGTAAATGATTTGACCTTTATAAAAGTTAATCAACCAACTACAGTACATTGACCAAATTTAAACAAAAGTTGTTTTGTGATCCATTCTAATGGAGAGAGCTTAAGAATAGCAAGACTCCAGACGATTACAATACATGAAGACTGTACCAATGTAGCTGACCTGACAAAGGACCTTAACTGAGTTAGATTGAAATGAACTAAAGTGTTTTACACTTGTTGTAAACAAAACACATAGAATAATTTTCAATGAATCTTAATCTCTATAATGGAATGAGCTGAACAAGAACAAGCCCCCAGAAGACTATGAAGACCCAGCCGATGTGTCAGCTATCAAGGAGACACAGGACAAAAGGACATTACTTGACCTTAGCTGACCTGACCTGATAAATGACCTTAAATGAGCTAGATTGAAATGACCAAAAGTGTTTTAACCTTTGTTGAAGAAAAAAAAATAGATCATTGTCAAATTTATCTCTCCCACAACCAGTGGAATGAGCTGAACAAGAGCAAGCCCCCAGAAGACTATGAAGACCCCGCCGATGTGTCAGCTATCAAGGAGGCTCAGGACCACATGGGAGACTTCAAGCTCAAGACCGCCAAGGACTACGTCGTCCCTGAACACCTCCGCATGAATGCCCTCAAGAAACGCAATCAGCTTCTCACTCTGGAGGAACTGGTAAGTTGCAACAAAGCCTTTAACTTTACAAAATTCATTTTTAGGGTTTATTATTCATTTTTATGTTAATGCTTGTCTCTATGTTTGATTATGTTTGAGTGCTGTATATTAAAGATACTACATGTATGTCCCTTTTGCAGCCAGCATCATATTCTGTAGAACCTTGCAGGAATTATGAATATATCATGTATGTCCTATCTAGGAAATTTAAACATTAATTAGCAGTGTCCTAGTATTCAAATTATGCAAGGAGACCTGTTTACTTTCTAGACTCCCTGTCAGACACTATTGAGTGACTGACTGACATCTTTTTTTCTTTGCAACATACATAAAATGAGCTGTAACAAGTACATGAGCATTTATCTACATCAATAACCTAATGGCCAAAATTAACCTGATAGAATCTTTGTGCAGCACAAAACGTATGACCATTCGGTACAACGGTCTGAAAATCAGACTATTAGGTGATTGCAATCACTTACTGTACAGTATGTCAGTTCAACAACTAATGGTCGTTATTTTCCCACAAATAGCCATCTTCAAACCCTATCGTTTTGAGGGAAGTTCTAGATAAGTATTGTCCTTCAAATGCCGTTGGAATTTAACCTTTTTTGGACCTCTTTTTATCTCTCTCCCCTCTCTCTCTATCTGTGTCCTCTCTCTCTTTCTTCAGATCCACACGCACAAGATGCAGATCAACCGGCGGGTGATCCGTCTCCGGGACAAGAAGGTGTCCATGATCCAGGAGATCAAGACGATCCTGGAGGAGCTGGAGGACATCCAGTCCAGTCTCCAGCAGGAGCAGACCAAACCAGTCCCGGAGCTCCCCGTGCTCCACCCGTTCGAGGTCCCAGAGAAGTAAGCAGGCCTTTTCACTCTCAGTACCTTAACCCTTAATTTACTTTCCTATTATCCTAACTATATAATCTATCAGCTTTACGTTTGATTGCTCTCCCACTGAGCGATCATGCTTCCTTGCAAATGTTTTGACTAAGCAAATCTGTCCCAGAACTTCTGATGTTCCAAAGTCCTGCTTGAAGTCCTGGAAAAGTAAGTGGGCTTCAATTCTGTCAGATCTCTAACCTTTTACTATCTTTTCTTTAAATCCCTCTATAACCAACCAGATTTTAATATTGAATCTTAAATCTTTGAATTGAATTAGAAAACTTGACTTTAAAATAGGGCCTCTTAGAAGACCACCACTTTTGGTAAAATAAGTATAAATATCAGAAATAGATAAATAGATGTCATGAAGTTTTCCCTGGTTCTACAAAGGTGAGCAATGAAAGCTAAGATAACAGTTGGTGGATAATTTCTTAGTGTAGAGAGAGTGTCTTTGAATTTGAATCCTTCTAATTTAACCATATTCTGGGTCCTGTTTCATAAAACATGTTATCCTTAACAAGTTACAATAACTGTTATAAGCTACTGAAATCATGGCATTTGATTGGCTGTGAGCATATTTGTCATAGAAATTGAGCATATGTTCTGGATAAAAAGTTTTATGAAGCAGGGCCCTGGTTTTTTTGTAGTTGAAAGTATTTCTCTCATCAGGTTCCAGGAATCAAGATGGCTGAACTGAATTCATTTCTACATGATCTATTGTTAAACACTATTTTCTCCACTTTCTATCTTCTTCTTTTTCAAGGAAATTAGACTGCTCTCGAGAATCCCTCCTTGAGTTTAATCGAAAGGTTAAATTTAAGCAAATTTTTCTCAAGTGTCCATCAAAAACAGGGTATTTCTACTCACCCATATGAATGTATATGTACACTGCCCCTTCCCCCTGTACTTATACAAATATATTTATCCCACTCATATCAAATCTATGCAGTATAGTGCATCTTGGTCCCTATTTACCAATGTATTATATGATACCCATAGACATGCATGCACATAAAAACAGAAGTACAGTAGTTATACATGAATAATTAATATTATATACAATGTATGTACAATTTTACACAGACTTTGATAACCTAAGTATATTCACATATTCAGTTAAAAACTAAATTATTCATACCCTTACCAACTTTTGTAATTGTTTAAGCATGTGAAAAAAAATGATTGGTCCTGATTTATGTCTGTTGATAATGTTACATATTAAAGCTAACATCTAAAAGTACAGCAAACGCCCTAATTCAACCAGTTCATTTTTCATTCTTGAGATACAAAGAACACAAAAAGCATCACATTTTGACAAGGGGTATGAATAATTCAGTTGTTAACTGTACTTTTAGAGCCCATGTGCATCTTCATGACAAGTACAGTCAAACCTGCTTTAGTGACCACCTGTCTACAAAGACAACCTGCCTATAAAGACTGCTTTTCTTGTCTCCATTTGGTGATCTTTATAGACAGGTTTCTACATGTAGATCATGAAAATAGAACTTGTTATTGATGAGTAATGTAAGTAGAAGACAATATTTAGTGCCTGCACAATTGTCCCCATTAACATCATTAGTCTATTAATAGACACAAATCCATTGACATGTAGTAGATAGCAGCACCAACTCATAAATATGTATATATACAGTCAAACCTGCTTTAGTGACCACCTGTATAGAAAGACCACATTTTCTGTTTCCCTTTAAAACGTTTTCTCATTGAAACATGTACTATAGGCACCTGTACATAAAGACCACTTTTCTTGTCTCGGGGGCCCTTGGGTGGTCTTTATAGACAGGTTTCACTGTATTTATGTAAAATACCTAATTCTGTTCACATTATGACAACATGTACATGTATAATACACAATTTCCCTCCTTCAATTTCTCCTCATATTGATGAGTGTTAATCACCCATGCCCTTTTATTGCATGCAAAAGGACTACATGGGAACAAAGCTCTTCTCTCTTATCTCATTTGTTTATTTATTTACATATTTTTGTATTTATTCATTTATTTATTTTTATTTTTTGTGAAATGTCATGCAAGCATTTAGTTTTGAAGCCTTTTCAGTATAAATGTTAACACAGGCGACAGATGTTTACATTAGAGATACATACCAAATTTCTTTTAGACTGACATTCAGTCACAAGAGATTTAGATTACCTGTATGGTATAAAATATTCTATAGTTTTTCTTTTATTCAGGTTTGATTTCATTTTTTCCTTCAAACATTCAGTCAGTTCAGTACATCATGATTGATCAATACAGACTGAAACCCATGGTGTCTTGAAATCTAAAGTCATATTGAATTATGTTGATTAATTATAAACAAAATAGGATCACGCTCAATTTCAATGAATTTCAATTGAATTCAGTGAAAGAGCAAAATAACACAATGATCACATGTTGCATGTACACACACATACACCTACCATAATGTATACATGTACATTATAATCCCCATAAGAATACAGTATGATAGGTAAAATTGTTGTGTTATGTGGCGAGTGGATATGTATTTTTGTAGAAACATGCATTGTATTTTCAATTTAGACATGTCTTTGACTACATCAGACTATTTACAAAATAGATTTCAGTCTGTAGATAGTAGTAATAGTGATAGCTTACAAATTACTCAACTTTTTAAAAATATTATCTTAAGTCAAACTTACATTTAAAATTTGATCCCAATCTTTGGGTTTGTTCCTTTCTGTTTAGTAATCATAGTAATTTAATAGCTTAGACTCTTCTCAACTTAAAAAACAAACACTTCATTAGTAAACTAATATTGAACATTTGATCCCAATCTTTGAGTTTGTGCCTTCTTGGCTGGCTTGCACACAACAATATGCTAATTACAGCAAACTTTATTCCTGTACACCATCAGAAGGATAATGAAAAGAAATGTAGGCCTGCATGTCATAACCCTTTCACATCACCTTGGATATTTCAGGAAGTATGAGTATACCCGGGAGTCCTTGATGAAGTTCAGAGAGGAGATGAAGGCTAAGGAGCTTGCCAAGATCACCGGGGGAGAGGGAGGAGGATTTGGAGGGGGCTTCGGAGGCATGGGAGGGGGCAACGCCGCACCCCAGGTAAGAACTTTCTTCTATTTATCCTGCATTAATCCTTTTAATTTATTTTTAAATTTTGTTATTGTAGACATTCCTTCATACAAAAATACAAATACAAATACAAAATAAAAGATTTTCCCTTTGGCTTTGTCCAAAGCGAGAAATTTAACAGATATAATTTTGGGTAGATGGAGACGTTTTGTATATCGAATGTATGCATTGACACATGTATGATACAAAATATTTACTATGGATTTGGCTCTTTTGATATCTATGCTAGAGAGACCGAAAGGTAATACAAAGTTTTGGGAAATTTTGAAAATTGGGTGGATAGTGATTCTTTACAATTTGGATATATTTGGATGCCTCTGTGGATGTATTATAAGCACTAGAAACTTTAGTCCCTACTGCTTTCGAGAAAAATTGAACATACAAATTTACCGGTGCTCCCAGTAAATTTTGATAAATTTCAAATAGCGCCTACGGCGTAAAATGATAGCTGCGACCATGAAAATTTCAGAATATGTAGTTGTGATATATAATTTCCAAACGGTAATAGCTAATCGGTTGATTTTAGTCAAGAAAAATTGTTTTATAGCTTAATTAATATATTGACCTTGAGAGGGAGCTATACAACATAAAGAGTTTATTATTTACAATTTCATAACTTTAGACTCGATTTCAACCGCGACAATGATCACTGAATATTGTAGGATCGCATATGCCTCCAATATATTCATTTGAGCCAAAATCATGACCCCATACCAAAACTTTGTATTACCTTTAACATTAAGTATGGGGTATATATTTTCTTTACAAAGTCCCTGAGGCTTGACATGAGCATGTGTTATGCACAGTTTGCAAAAATTCTGTCTCAACTTGTATACACTTCTTCATATACATGTACATCAAATGTAAGATGCGATAACATATTACAAATTTACATTGTCACTTATTAGACAATGCAATATCTGAAACGTGTTAAAATATATATTATATCACTATGAACATGACTGACAAAGAAAGCGGACAAAATATACAGTTCCTCAGGTAGATAAAGGAACATCCCTTTACTGCTATTATGTAAAAAGGTGAATATGCATGAGACACCTGTTCTACACAGTTTTACATAATAGCAGTGAAGGGATATTCCTTTGTCCACCTGAGGAACTGTATATTTTGTCCGCTTTCTTTGTCAGTCATGTTCATAGTGTATGTACCTGTATCTTTCTTGTAACCTTACAGAAAGCCGATGCAAAGGGCCCCAGCCCTGCCATGCTGCGCAAGTCGGCCATGTCCTACCGCAGTGGGACCAACCTGGTCACTCCAATCCCGTCCGACCCCACCCTACTCTCTCCTCTGGAGTACCAGCTGAAGGAGGTCCATATGATCGACATGCTCTATAGGCAAGACCAGCTCCTGGGACGCATCGAGGAACTGGTCGTCAACTTTGACGCCGAGCTCCGTCTCCTCCGCCACGAGAAGTTCAACCAGGACCTGGACCTCAAGAATGCTGATCTGAGGTAATTTGTCTTGGTAATCCAGGGGGTGTTTCACAAAGACAAAGATCGACTTAAAGTTGGATTCAACTCTGGCAGGCTGTTCATGCCACTGTTTGCTCTCACTATTTACTGGCATTGGTCTCTCAAGGGATGTTCAAAACATGGTCACAAATCTACAGAATCTACATTTTTTTGTAATTCATTATTGAAGGAAAAAATGTTATTTGAAGATCATTATGGTGAGAGAAAACAGTGGCATGAACAGCCTGCCATAGTTAAGTCCAACTTAATGTCGATCTTAGACTTGTGAAACACTCCCCAGATCGTTGTCATGAGATACATCTTTGTTCAAGATGCAAGACTCATTCATTTTGCTAAATGTACATAAGAGTCCTTTTCTAGCAGGGTTTACTGTGTCATGTGTGGAAGAACCTTATTTTTGTGACAGTATTCAAATATGAGATGGAATCTATAACCTTATCATTGCACTGCCTTATCATTGTACTGCCTTTCATTTCAATTAAAGTGACTCAGGAACATTGTCTCAGATTCTGAAACAAAATCCTGGATTTAGCTCATGCTGCAATCATAATTATAAACCTTTAGGTCAGTCAGGAATCCCATGACTTGTACAAGCAGATCGCCTGTCTGATTATCAAGATATTTATGATTGGAAATCAAAATTTAATTTTTGTTTTCCTAACAGTTCTTATAACACTACAGTCTATTGGGGAAAATGAGTATAGTAAAACCGGTCGCTCAAAGATTGTTACTTTTTTAAGGCACTTCATGATCATTTTGAAGCGCAATTTTTCTTAGGGCTTCAATATTACACCACATCACAGACACTAATAATAAGTATTATTTCTGATGCATCTCAGATTTAACATTGTTAAACAATGCCTTTAAATCATGCTTTTGTTGTGGTTGTGTCCTAGACGTGTGACTCTGTTTGAAGAGCTGCAGCTGCTGAAGGAGTTTGAGAAGCGTGAGAATGTGCTCGCAGCCAAGGTCGATATCAAGATCAAGGAACGTTCAGACATGCAGGCCAAGGTACGTACAACCTCGATCATTCCACAAGTCATTGAATAAGATATGGTTCACAATGGTGATAAGAATTAATAGTCTTTGAAATGTGCCTCATATTACCTGTTATGATACTGCATACAAATTTTCTTATTTTAATGTCATGCTTTTTATGTCTTTTTATACATTATTTTAAAGCCCCTCTCCACAAGTTTAGCATGGAGTGATTAGACCTCCCTGCAAGGTCACTGGCAGGTGGTTATCTCATGTAAAATCTCACAATGAATTTCCATGTCATTATTGGACAAAAAACAAAATTGAATTGAAGTCAATCAGTCAATAATTTACATCCATGTACAAATATGGAGAAAACAAAGACCTAACTTACTGTGCAGTACAAAGCACCATCTTTAAATGATCTTAAACTAACATAATTTGCTTCTGTACATTCCTCTGTAGGTTGTTGAATGTCAGATGAAGCTCGACGGCAAGCGCAAGGACATTGAGAAGCAGAACGAGAGAGAGAAGGCCCTCTACGCCACCTTCCAGTCGTCTCTCGGCGAGAACAACAAGTTCCAAGAGTTCCTCACCAAGGTCTTCAAGAAGAAGATTAAGAGAGCCAAGAAGAAGGCGAAGACGGAAGGAGGTATGTTCAACATGCTCCTGTTATTGTTAACCTTTTGCTTACGGGAACCTGGGGGCATTTCACATACTTTTCATCAGTGACAAATGACAGTTTTTGTTACAAGCTACTGAAATCCTTGCTTCTGATTGGTTATTAGCAGATTTGTCACTGATTTTTGTTATCTGTCATTGAAAAAAAGGTTTTGTGAAACCGGCCCCTGATGGTCCCTGTGTTAAGCCTATGGGACCTATACAATTCAGTAGTCAACGGGTTAAGATCTTGCTTGATTGGATCTTTTTGGAGTGTACAGTACATGAATGTTATAGGTATTGGAAGAAAGGAAAGGAGAGATGAGATGAAGAAGTGTTTGAATGTAGAATTGGTTAGAGAGAGAGAGACAGAGATATATACAGAAAGAGAGAGAGAGATAGAGAGAGAGAGAGAGAGAGAGAGAGATAGGGAAAGAGAGAGATTACAGACCTGTAAATACACTTTGATAATGTTAGAAAATAGAAAGCTTTTAAGCTAAAGAAATTAAGGACCAGGAAAAAGAAAGAGATTGTGTATGCTTTTATTTTATGTTTTTGTTTGTTTTGGCAAATGTATCATGAAATCTATACAAATTTGGGATAATTTCTAAAAATTCTCATTTTATACATGTACATGTTTTCTTTTTATCCCTGCAGAGTCTGATGAAGAGAGCGACGAGAGCTCGGATGACGAGTCAGACTGGTCAAGCGATGATGACGAGTCAGGCGAAGAGCAGCTGGATGATTCTGTCTGCCCTCCAGGATGTGATCAGGTGAGATATTAAAGAGTTCAGCAATGATGATGATGATAAAGATGTTAGTGATGATGATGATTGACAATTTCATGCTTGATTCTGTTCATAATGGAGTAGCTAATCATGACAATGACAGAGATAACAGTGAAAATCATCAAAAACATACTAGACAAAAGAGACAAATCCTCTAGAAATACAAGACATTATTAACAACAATTCATAAACTGCAAACTTTTCTCCCTTTTCCATCATCAGGCACTGTTTGACAACACCTGTGCCCTGCGTGAGAAGCGCCTGGACATTGAGGAGCTGATGGCCGAGGAGAAGAAGACGGCTGAATCTCTCAAGAAGGAGACAGACGCCCTCATCAAGAAACAGAAGATCATCGAGAACGGTCTCAAGACGGCTGAAGCAGACCTTGAACAGTTCCAGGTGAGTTTTGGAAGTCCTGCAAAATCAGAAACTTTTAAGAATTGTTGATGAAGGCCATTTTCATTGCCCCCCAAAAATGTTTTTTTTGCAAATGGCAAACTTTTATTGCTGTAAATCTAACTTAAGATAATTGCCATTATTATTGTCATTTGATCACTTTTATTTGAATCTAATTCTAGATTGCTTGGACTGTTTTAATCATTCTTGTATAATTGCTTTTATCATGTCTATACATTGTAAACTGTTGTAACTATTTCAATTCAGTCTTTGTACTGCGAGAATGGATAATATTCAATAAAATCAATCAATCAATTAATCACTCATTTTGTAGAAGGAAAATGGCAGCAAGTTTTTTTGTGGCAACTAATACCGCATTATATCTGAACGAGCCTTTAGTCAAACCCATTTGAACTTCATCCATCTCTATCAAAGAGGGCCTTGAGATTGACCTGTCATTTGTGATCTATTCATGACTGATGTTACACTTCCATTCCTCTCTTTTCAATCTGTAGCTTGAGAAACAGCAGAAGCTGAATGAGCTGGATGTGATCGTGACCCTGCGGCTTCATCAGGTGGAGCATGTGGTCAATGGCGCAGTGCCCCAGGACCTGAGCCAGTGCCTGGTCTTCACCAACCAGGCCATCAGGAGGCTACAGCAGAGGATCAGGGAACTCAAGGAGGAGAAGACTGCACAGAGACGACATTACAAGTGAGTTGGCCAAAGACAGAGTGGGGGAAAGATTGAATGAGAGAGAAGGATGGAAAGATTGATAGATGGATAGACAGATAGATTGATAGAAACCTAATCAGGAAGCTACAGCAGAGGATCAGGGAACTGAAGGAAGAGAAGACTGTCCAGAGACAACATTACAAGTAAATTGATCATGGATTGGGTTTACCATGCATGATATTTATCTATGTTTGGAATTGCTTGTTTTCTGTCAACTCAAAATTATTTTATTGAATTTGTCTTTTTGTATGAATGTATATATTTATACAGTCAAACCTGCTTTATTGACCACCTGTCTACAAAGACCACATTTTTTGTTTCCCTTGAAAATGGTTTCTCATTGAAACACGCACTATAGGCACCTGTCTACAAAGACCACCTGCTTATAAAGACCATTTTCTTGTCTCCCTAAATTTTCACATCATATCTATCAGTGAAGCAATTTTTCTCTTGAAAATTCAGTAATAATAATAATAATGATAGGCATTTGGATAGCGCCGTCTATCTAGACAATGCTATTCCGAGGCGCACAAGAAAAATAGAAAGAATGAGAAAGTTTGGATGAGAGAGTTTGCATGAGTGTCATAGTGCCAAGTACAGGTATTGTTGAAAAAGATAAGATTTCAGCTTGGATTTAAAGGTCTCTAAGGAAATTATAATTCTCAAATTAAATGGTAAATTATTCCAAAGACTGCTCTCCGAAAGCATGGTGGCCCACAATTTGTCAAGTATTCGTATGCTGGGTATTGTGTTTTTCATTTCACTTATACACTTTGTTTTTTCTTCACGCAGGGAACACCGGCAGCAGCACGTCCAACTGATCAAGGACCGCAAGCTGATGGAGTCCCGCATCAACGAGCTGGAGGAGAAGAGCAACGAGATGATGAGGCTCAAGTTTGGCCGCATCGTCGACCTGGACAAGATGGAGACGGTGGGCGTCAACCGCAACGTGGAGGAACTCAAGGAGAAGTTGAGGATCAACGAGGGGGGCAACGCCCAGGAGATACAGAAGTGGGAGGTAAGTTGCATGGCACTTAAAGGAGGAGGAGGAGGAGGGTGATGACGATGTTGATGGTGCTGGTGATGTCGATGATGGTGATGATGGTGTTGATAACGATGATAATTTTCATTCTGTTGATGATAATATTTTTGATAGTTAGATCGATCAACGATTCTGAAAATACTTTTAATCTTAATGTTAGAGCTGGTAGTAGGGCAATTCTGATTTCCTGTGAATAGAACACATTTTTGAGAAGGACTTAAACAACGGTCCATGTATCAACACATCTACACATGAACAGGAACAACAGAAAGCACAAATTACCCTAACCCCGCTTCCTACCCTCCACAGAAAAAGATCTTAGCCAAGAAGAAGCGAATCACGGAGCTGACGCGGGACAACACGGAGCGGCTCCAGCAGCTCACGTACCTGGTAGGCGAGAATAAAGACCTGGAGAAGGCGCTTGATTCCCGGCAGACAAGTCTTGTAAGTACACCTCTCTTTTCATTTTCCGTCCCATTTACTAGCTACTCCCTTCCATCTTGATTATCAGTGTATTTCGAATGGAAGATTGCATGTAATTTGTCAATTTCCCCCGTTTATATGCACTATGCATTGATCTTTGAAGGAAAAGTATAGGGATTAATGTCTGCTAATTCACTGAAGTTAACTTATTTACCCTCATATTCAATCATACTGCCCCCATTTAGATGGCATAAATGTAATATGTGTGGAAAATATTTAAAGGATCTGTGCTTACTAACAAACTATAGTCAAATCCCATTCCAGTATCTTTTTGTCAAAATATACAGGCGAGATTGGATGATACATGTAGTTGTAAGCAACTACGACCCCCCCCCCCCCCAAAAAAAAAGAAACTCACAAACAATATTGTCTCTTGCCTTTTCTTTCCATTTAAAATGATTTTCAAGTTTTCATAGCTATTTTTTTGTTGGTGGGGTGTACTATGTCTTAACAGGTGATATATTATGTACATTCAATTTACGATTGATACATGCAATTAGTAACAATTACCATCTTATCAATTACATCCCATTGTAATATGACAGCCAGGCTCTTTAATAGTAATACCCTTTGACGAATGTGCCAGTCATCTGAAATATTGAAAAAATAACCTATATCTCTTTCTGTAATCAGAATAAATTTGACTTAGATGTGCCTAGTGTTGAGGTAAGATAATTCTAGATGGATATAAAAAGCTTATTGCTTTTAATATGTGTCTATCAGACAATTTAGTCAATGTTACAATGCCTTTAGCTGTGTTGCTTTCCTTGTTAGGAACAAGTTCAGTTTTGTTTATGTTGCTTTAAATTCAATGGTTCAATAAACGTTACATTGATTGTATGTTGGCATATTGTTATAAGGTTATCTGTGCTGCCAAATTTCAGAATTTGATTTGCTTTTTTGTTGTTTTTGTTGATTTGATAGCAGAATTCAATGTAAAGTCAAACCTGTCTTAGTAGCGACCTCTATATAAAGGCAGCCTGTGTATCAGTGTCACCGGTATTGCCTTCCTTTAAGAGGAAACATGTGATGAAAAACCTGTATATATATAGGCCACCTGTCTACAGTGGTCACTTCTTGTGTTTCCATTGGGTGGCCTTAATAAACAGGTTTGACTGTAGTTTTAAAATGTTCCATGTGACATGAGACATGAGACATCTAGAAATGAAGATAAGTGATTTTTTAAAGCAAATTACAGCCTTTAAACAAAATTATTTGTTAGCATGGTTTTGTGTTTAGCATCTTCATGCAGCTTTGATTGTAAAAGTATTTTATGTTTAGTTTTTTATCTAAGTAGTGTTTTTTTTAGATTAAAGCAAAATATAAAACTAGTATATGATACAAGAAGACAAAGAAGACAAAAAAAGAGGAGGAGGAGGAGGAAGCAATTCAAGAAGAAAAATAAAATTATAGGATGGAGAGAGAGAGAGAGAGAGAGGAATTACTTGGTAGATGTAAAGGCAAGCAGAATACTTGTACATGTACTTGTGTATGAATTGCAATTACGCTTTCATCTTTGTTTACAAACTTCGTCTATGTATTTAGTGCTAGCTGAGCCCATTGCTGCTCTACATTTGTTGTGATGGTAACTGCACACCATGTAAACGTATAAAAAGAACATAATTCTGTTTAGTAATTCATGTATATAATTTGCAGAGAGATTTTATACTCGGTATAAACATGTTCATTGTTATTTTTATAAGTAGTCATTTCTTGTAACCGAAATTGGTGGTATTTACATGTACTACTGCTGCTGTGGATGTGCTTGCAAAATTCAAATGTTTGCAAGAAAACATGTGTTTCACTAGCTAAAGCTTGATGGATATGTAGTAGTGGGGGAAGAAGAAAAAGGAGGAGGGGGGGGGGGAGAAATTGGTGGCATTGAAAATTTGTATTCTGACAGAATTTTAAAAAATAAAATATATTTTTTAAACTTAAAGTCCAAGAGATAAGAGAATATATATATATACTACATGTACATACTTTTTTGGAAATAAATGATATTGCCCGTCCTTTTTTCAAGTTTAATGATAATTTTATCAAGTTACATATCAGCTGTAATAAGCTATAATTGTTTGATCTTTTTTATTGTAGCATGCATGATAACATGTTTGAATTTTTATTTGACTTATTTCATTGTTCTTTTTATTTTCAATAACATTGTTTATCAATGATTTAATCATGCTCGTCAGACTGGGCAAAAATCGGTAAATAGTGATTTAGTTTTTTAATTTAATTTTATTGCATACTTAACACTTAACAATTTTTATATGATAATTTCTTTTGATATTCCCTATTCCCCTCTCTAGAATATCAGACACTTTTTAATGATGTATTAATTGAAACTAAATCCCATTTTCTTTCTGATATACTTTGCTATTTTTATGTCTTTCTTTTTATTTTCTTTCTTGTGTTATCTCCCACTTAACTTTGCACCTTTGTGTGGTATATTGTAGAAACTTTCACCAAATAGAAATTTAACAAAACGTTAGCGGGAATGGCCATTTTTACAGCAAAAAACTCTTGCTAATTGCAAGAATTTAGTGGAGTGTCACTAGGGATGCAATTGCTTCTCGGCATGAACTTTTGTAAATCTGGACCGCTTACAAAAGTTGCAAGCAAGTCATGCTCTCAAAGGTTCTGATTTTACAGTTTATTGCATAAGAAGGAACTTCAACTTGTAAACTTGAAGTTGCTTGAATTTGAAAGGAAAAACTTCTTGTTATACCTGAAGTTTCCATGTTTGGCAAAGATTTTGTTCTTCTCCATATTCAAGTGTGATAAAGCTTCTGTTAAAACCCAAAACTCTTGTGATCTGAACTTTCACGAATGGCCATTTACAATTAAGCTTTCACAAACTGTGATTCAATTATTTTGTGGTTATAAGAAACTTCACAAAACTGAACCACTCGCAAACATTCTATGCAAACGAAAGATTCTGTTTTTTTAATTTTGTTTGTAAAGTAAGAATCTGAAATTGAAAGGAGACACTTCTTGCAATACAGATGCTTGGCAAGGATGTGTCTTAAAGTGTCATAGAGTTCACAAGCCCTTTTCGTTTGGAGACTGCTACAATCTAAACTTTATACCTCACACCTTCTCAGAAGGAAGACAGGATTATCAATTCATGATTCGAAATGACGCCAAGAAAAATCCTGGCATGAAATCAATTTTTTAAGAAAGATTCAAAAGGTGAAAATTAAATGAATCAAAAGAATACACTCCTTGTAATACTTCAGTGATGTTTGGCAAGGATATATATGTCTCTTTTCCGTATCATAAGTGTTGTAAAGTTCACAAGCCCTTTCAGTTCGAGACTGCTCTAACCTAAACTTGATACCTCACGCCTTTGAAGGAAGACAGGATTATCAATTCATGATTCAAAATGACGGCAAGAAACATCCCAACATAAAAGAAAGGAAAAAAATCCCTGCTATTTTTAGTCGCCTTGGGTAATATCCATTGACGCTGGGTGTATTTCACTGGTATGAGCAAGTAATCGGGGCTATATCAAGGAATATGTTTTAGGCGGGATTTGTCGTTCAACTTTGGGGTCGACGTCAATAAAGTTTGGGTGGTTTTCTTACTGAAGGTAGTATGTAGTATGACCTTGAAGCTTTGTTGTAACCGTGGGGAAGATTGTAAACATTTCTAAAAATAGGAAGTCTTCAATAATCTGGAATTAAGGAAGGAGACAGGAGTGTTAACATGAGTGATGGGTGTCAAACATTAATAACTAGGTGGTTGATATGAAGGATATAGTTTTGGGATATGCGTCCCGTAAATAGAAACTCATTCATAAAGTGATACCTAGGTATGAGACAATTTGTTTAAGACTGCTGAGGGCGTCATAATATGTTAAGAACTATCATGGGTATCGTGATACGCTTACAGTACATGCACCTTTAGTATACCCTTGTGAAACGGGGGTACTCTAAAAATGATACATTTTAGGGAAATTGGGGACAATTTCAAAAATAGGAACTTGTTTGTTAACTGGTATTTGAGTCTATGAAATGTACATGTACTCCCATTTTAAGGGAAATTAGGGACAATTTCATGAAAAGGAACTTGTTTGTTAACTGGTATTTGAGTCTATGAAATGTACATGTACTCCCATTTTAAGGGAAATTAGGGACAATTTCATGAAAAGGAACTCGTTTGTTAACTGGTATTTGAGTCTATGAAATGTATGTACCGGTACTCCATACATGTATATAGAGATGTTTGATTTAGGGGAAATTGTGGATGTGTCCATAAATAGGAACCCATTCATCGACTGGTATTTGGGTGTATGAGACGAGGACGCTTATGAGTATTAATTAGTGGGTGTCGTATACAGCCCCGAAAGATGATACATAGTATATGTGTAGGGAATATTAGGGATGTGTCCATGTAGGAACTCAGTCATAAACTCGTAGTTGGCCGGGTACGAGACGGGTATGCTTACAAGTTTCATGGACGTTCCATTGAGGGTACATTTAGGGCAAATTGTGTCCTTTCTCAGCACACCACTCTCCCCTCTCCCCCCTTGTTTTGTTGCTTCCTTTTTCCTTTCTCTTTACTGTTTTACCATTTACCAATTTGTTTTTAAATTCTTTTTTAGTTTAGAGAGAATTAATAAAGACATTGTCCTTTCTTACTTACAAACTAAGTTTTCTTGACAGAGTTGTCATACTACCACAGTTCAGTTCTTTAAATTGCTAACAATTTTTGTAATGGACATCAGCAAAAAGGATTGTTTCTTATTTCATTTGAAGTATTCCTTACATTGTATGCTGTTTGATTCAGTTTTTTTTCCCTCCTTTTTTACTCTGAAGAGTGCTCGACAAAGATTTCATCAGTTTGGTGAACAATCCAATTAAATTTGTATGATATATATATATATATATATATATATATATAAGAAAAGTCATTTGACATGACCATCATGTGAATTATTTTATTTCTTCTTTACAATTTAAGTTTTCCTTTTTTTTATAAATCTGTAGAGTCAGTTGTCATGACTTCATGTGAATTATTATATTTTTTATTTACAATTTAAGTTTTCCATTTTCTATCATGAAGAGTTCTTGACAAAGTTTGCATACATTTTGGTGACATAGCTATACATCTACCTGTACCTGTAGGTACATGTATGTACATTTTTTTTAAATATGCAGAGAAGTAAATCCAATATAATTTCTTTATAATATATTTTTAAAAAAGTTATTTGACATGACTTCAAGTTCATGTGAATTATTATTTTTTTTCTTCGCAATTACTAATGCTAATTTTGTTAATGACAATTTTCTCTTTCTTCTATCCCACAATTTTACAGGGCGGTGAGTTTCAGGGTAGCCGGAAAGCCGACGTGGTGGAGAGGAAACGCTTGATCCAACTTGTACAGGTTTGTCATACATTCTCACTGCTTATACTGTCAAGATTGTTTGCAATGGTAACCTTTATAGAAAGACCACATTTGTGTATGTTTTTAAATTACTGATTAAAATCTGTCATTAACTCAGTCCATCCTGCTTTAGTGAATAGAAAAACCACTCTTTTCTGCCTTTTATTGCATTTCTAAGAGAAAACTATTGTTTTTGTACCGGCAACTTGTTTTCAGTATATTATAGTGACAACCCATAAAGAGATTAGAAAGACCCCATTTTTGTTTGGTTCCCATTTTAGCTACACATACCTAGCTGTAGCATTTTCTGCAGTAAGGTAAACTAAATGGAGAGAAAAAATACCCTGTCAAGACAGGATGTTTCTGCTTTGAGGTGTTATGTACAAGTTAGGCGTTAGAATTACTACTTTGTTCAACTTGACAGACACTCTTCAGTCTAGCAACTTTGCTTGTATAAAGTCTCTCTTGTTTCATTTGGCAACGACATTGTTCCCAAATAACTAAAGAAAAGGGACATGACAGGCAAGATTTGATATTTCCAGGCTAAAACGCGTCTTTCCTGACACACTCACACAAAAAGAAAACTTTGCAGTGCATGTATAAACTACTTTAGGGAAACACTAAATTTGGTTCTGGCTTAGGCCTGAAGCTCACATTTCAACGAACAGATGGGACTAAGCGGGGTGGAATCTCTGCAAATCCACCCATTATCCCGGTCGGATCAGAGAGAGATAAAGGAAACAATGTCGGGCTGGAGATTTGCGGTGCGCGCCGTGTTGCATTGAGTGATGCGTTGATTGCGTACTCAATTTCCCTCTCTTCCTCCCGATTGTAATTGTACAAACTCCGAAAGAAAACTGAAAACCCTCTTGACTCCCTTGTCTCTGTATCATTTTGTTGTGCTTGTCTTGTCGTATTGAGTGATGCAATATTTGCTTACTCAATTTCCGATAGTGATATTGTATGTACCCTGTACAGTTACTTCTCGAGAAAAGTTTAAAAAGGAGAAAAAGGTTATAATTGTACATATTCCATTCAGAGATTTTTTTTGTTTTTGTTTTTGTTTGGGGGGGGGGGGATGGTCCCTTCCCCCTGATTGTACTATTTTTACATAATCCTTTAGCAGAAAAAAAGAACAAACAATTACCCCCCCCCCCCCCCCCTCCCCTGTCACTCGGACTCTCTGAATTGAAAGAAATCATCTTAATTAAATCAAGTCAGAAATGGGTTCATGTACATGTACTGTAGGTGTGCACAAGCTTTTGGCCCCCATCTCCCTCTCTTCCTCCTGGCTCATAATTTAATATGACATTATTATAAAAGAGGGAATTAATGACATAATACCTCCCCCCCCCCCCCCCCATCACTCTCTCCACCTCTCTCTCTCTTAAACTTACCAGAAGTGAGTGACTAGATTGTAGACAATGATCATTGTGATTTGGGGCATACTCTTGAGACTTCATTTCCTTCTCTTTCTCTTCTGACTTTAGACTTTAGACTTAATCGCCCTCCGACTTACATGTACTGTACATTGTATTTGTATGTCAAGATTAAGCCCCTGCCCCTGCCCTCACCCCCTCCCCCCCCCTCACCCCCTTCCCCCTCCTGGGGGTGTTTCACAAAGATCCTAAGTCGAACTTAACTCTAAGTTGGACTTAAATATTATGGAGAGCCATTTGTAGCCTTAAAATAAAAATGTGTTCAAATCAACATTTCAAGTATTTTAGACTTTTCATAAGTTACACATCAAGAACATGAATCTTAGAGATAAGTTCAACTTAGGATGTTTGTGAAACACCCCCCCCCCCTCGTGGACTGATGATCAACTTGATTTCACCTCACCTGAGTCAGAAGGGCATGGTTCTGCGTGGGCGTTATCTTGAGGTTCGATCTCCCTCTTTTCCTTCCACCTTTTATTGTCCTACTATTACTATTAGATGAGTTAAGGGGGAGACTTTTCAAGAAGTTGCACAATAAAGTTGCATAAAAAAGAGGGTCAGGATGAGAAGGGACTGAAGAAGGAAGTAGGATTTCTAAAAAAAGGATAAAGATGATAACTTCAAAGAAAAAAGAGAAGGGAAAGATATAAATGTAGGAAGAGTTGAAATAGAATTAGTTGGAGATGAGGGAGATCATAGAGGAGAGAAGGGCCAAAACAATAAATAATTGAAAATTGGATAAAGAAAACATTACAATTATAATGGCAGGGAAGGTCTGTTTTGTAAACAAATGTGCAACAAAATGAGTACAAGCAAAGCCATTTATACTGATAGAATCATATTGCTTCTTCGACGAAAATGGCATCCTTTAAAATCAGAGCCAAATTTCTTGAGGTGCCTTCTTTCACCGACTCCCAAAATAGACCTGAAAGGCCAGAAATACAAGCAGAATTCCCAAATCAGTCACATCGAGACTCTCCGCTGAATGTTCCTCTTATCGTCGCGTAATCTCAACATGAATTTGCAGAATGGTTCAAGGGAAAGGAGGCTAAACTTCTTTTTCATGTTTTTATAAATTGGCTGTGATATATTTTTAGAAAGAGATGATACATTAATACTCAGACCACCAACTAAGTTGAATCACAAGGATATCATTAGAGCATGTTGATGTCTAGACCCCCCCCTCCTTTTCGCTGAAGAGGGCTTGATGAATAAGCTGCTTGCCTAAAAATTGGCAACATTGCTGAAGAAATGTGTGCGTGCATGAAATGTTGGCGAGCTTCTCAAGCACATTGTGATTTTGATTCTCTTAATTAGCATGCTGTTAGATATTTGAACCGCAATTCAAAGCACAACTGTATCTCTTCACTTTGTTTTACTACAATACTGCAGTAATCGCCATTGACATTTTATAAGAATTTCATTGTAGCAAAAGTGTCTGTTATAACAATAAACAAGTTTTTTAAAAAGTCATAAAGAAATTCTATATCTTGTATTTTAAGGAAGTTTTTAATACCAATTTCTTTCAAGTATCTAGTTAACTGTATTCTGTCTTGGGTAAAGTCTTAATGAAATTTAGATTGAACAAGGTTTTAACAAAATTTGCCACCATTTCTTTTTTTTCTTCCATCCTCTGCAGCTCCAAGCCCAGGAGATCGAGGCCCTCAAGGAGGAGATCGGTCTGCTCTCGAGGAAAGGGGGTCACATCCTACCCCCAACCCAACCCCCTGCTCCGCATACCCCCCACGGCGTCAGGTCGGCAGTCAACGGTCACAACTAGGCGATGCTGTCTGCCTGCTGTGAAATCAGTAACTTTTGTTGTGACCTGAAACTTGTGTGAATTGTTAATCTTGCGCCTACAGGAACCGGGCCCTGTTTCACAAAGCTTTGTTTATCAATAACAACCGCCACATATCTATGAAAAATCTGGTCCCAGCCAATCAAATGCAAGGACTTCAGTAGCTTATAACAATTATGGTATATTGTTATTGATAACAAGTTTTATGAAACCGGGCCCTGGTTGTCCCTGTATTGAAGTATGTGGGAATGAAGAAATTCAGTAGTCGATGGATTTTTCATGACCAGAAAACATGGAAATCTTGGAACGTATTCTGAAAACTAATGTTATCTTTATGTCAGTGAAAATAAAAAGCTCTAAATGCATGGGACTAACAAGTACCATTGGTGCTTGCGCGGATATCTTGTGTAATTTTACCCGAGGTCAGCCAGCTTTGTGCAGACATAAACAATGGCATGTCTTAATTTGATTTGTTATTGACAATCATAAACATGGTTTTGCTAACATGAAAGGAACATCGTTTTCAGAATACCACCCAAGGTGTTGAAGTCACTCGTTCCCAACGTTTAACTTTTGCTGAGAGGGTCCGCTTGTGAAATGCTCAGAAGTTTCAAGAATACAATAGTTTCTGGTTGCTTTCTGGTTTCATAGGAGGTGGTGCATGTACAGTCAAACCTGTCTATAGTGACCGCCCAAGGGAAACACAAATAGTGTTTTTAGTAGAAAGGTGTTCACTTAAGCAGGTTTGACTGTACATGTATGATGAAATATTGTAATAGGAAGAAGTACTTCTGTGTAGGGTGCTTTGCTTCTTTAAGAAGGGGCCAATATCACAGGTTTGGCTGTACATTGAATTGGCTGTACATTGTTCAGACAAATATTCCATTATGTATGTCTGTGTAAAAAGAATGATGTTGCATATTTCAAAACACTGAATTCTTCTTTTAGTCACGATAGGATGGTTGACACATAGTTTGCAGATACCAGGTTCCATTGTGATGTAGTCTTTATGGTGCATTTTTGTTCAAAAATTCAAAAATTTCAGGCAACTATGCCCCCCCCCCAACAAAAATCCACAGCACACTACATTAATGAATATATCTATATATATTTTGTTTTGTATATATGAATAATATATTGCATAAGGCATTTGTAGTTCTAATGAACATTTATATACTCTGTGCTCTTCCAGAACTATCCCAAAGTGATCTGTCACAAATTTTGGGTTTAAGATCTTTCAGGCATTTTCATATCGTCTGTTAAAAGCCAAAAGGGCCTTAACCCTGTGTTAAAGCAAATAAGTTAACACCCTTCTGGCTCCAAACAGACTACATGTATATGATCAGAGACTGGCAGATTTGGGAACTGTACCCACACAAAAAACTGACAGTGAACTGATGTGGCCCCCAAATGCCATAGATTTTGTCAATGAAGGGTCGGTTTCATGTACAAGAAATTTCACTTCACATGCACACAAAATACTTTAAGAAACAGACCAACCTAACAAGTAGTATTGTGTTGACAACGTATTCATAGATTTTAATTTATTACGATAGTCACATTTATAATAAAAGTGTATAAAGTTATGCAATTTAAGTGTACATACAATATTGCAAAGATTAGACAAGAATTTATAATCACTTACACCTTTGATATTGTACTTGAATTATACATATGCAAGGAAGAAAAATTAGAATTTATCACCTGTTCTTTCACATACTCTACCTATTTACCGCCTTCACATGTTCTCTATTTTCAGAAACTTTAAAAGCATTTATAGAATTGTTGATATTTATCTACCATATTGTACAAACTCCGTCCATACAAGAAAATTAAATTCTATGCTAAATAAATGTTCTTTCATTTCAGAAAAAAAGGATCTTGTCTGGTTATTTTCTCATCTGTTTGTTCATCTACTTTAGAATGAGTTGTGCAAAAGTGTTTATCTAGTGAAAACAAAAACATAACGTGATTATATCAAAGGCAACATTGATATAAAATAAAATAACTTCTTTACTTGTAACATCCTTTTTTCCTCTGTAAATTTTATTCAAATCTAGGGGGAAATTAGTTGGCATAGCTGAGCTTCAAACAGAGCCATTAATCAGGAGAGTTTGGGCAACTCGGTTTGAGTTGGGCACAATATGGTGAATACTGCTTAGTTGGGAAGCACAAAACAAAAGAACACACGCCTTGTTGTGACCAAGTGATACAAAGTTGGCCAAACTCTGTGTCTAGATGGCTCTGGCTCTGACTTTGGATATTGAACAGCTCCATCTGTTGCACAAATGCAGCAGAAACGAATACATGTCCAATAGATCCATGAGTGTGGGAAAAGTGTTTAGACCTTGACCATTTGTAATGCTTAACACATCATGCAACCTTTTACACACAACTACAGTAATCGCCTTTTAATCGTAAAAGTATTTCCTACAACATGATTATTCACTGAACTTGTACTTCAAGTCCCCCATTGTTACATAACATATACAATATAATTTGTGATAGCTCCACATATAATTAATTAAGTTAAAAAAATACAGTGTAAAGTAAAACATTCATATATATCACCACATAACTTTACTACATTATGAATCACTATACAAATCATTGTTTAATACATATACTTTACATGTACATATCTGTAAACAGTGTAACAGTCAATTCCAAGCATTACGGAATGACATTTTAAGAGAATTTTAAACTTTGAGAAAAGTTCTCATTAAAATATCTACATTCTCTTGAAATGTCATTCCATAACCCCTGGAAATGTCCTGATAGTCCCATACTTGGACAAGTATTGAAACAAACAAAATGTAACCATTACATTACAATTGATACAATTAATACTCAATGGTAATGATTCAATACACATGCAAAGTGATAGAGTACTGAAGTTGGGCTATTAAAAAAAAAGTGGTTGTATTGCCCTTTGCGACCACCGTTTTTTTAGAAGAAGAAAAAATGTTAAATTAATCCCAAAATATGTATTAAAGCATTCAAAACTGAAAAATATCAGCCCAAAGAGAGAGAAAAAGCACACACAAAAAAAGAAAATTGACCGACCAACCCAGGTGCTACTGGCACCCAAAGGGCAATGCAACATCTTTTTTTAAAGGCCTTATGGAAGAATCGCGAGTCATAAATGCATAAATTTATTTATAATGCAGACAGAAATACTTTAATATATTTTGAACATCCATAGGTACATTGTAGCATCAACATAATATAATAAAATGCATCTTTTTGCAATAAAAATTTAAAAAACCTGTACACTGTAAGTATTATAGTAAAGGTGATTATGCTCTTGAATAAATAGAAAAGCCCCTCACATGCAAACATGTACAATAATTATTCATAATTGACAAAACATTTAGAATCATCTTTCCAATAGTCGACTTGGAATAAAAGCATGAACAGATCGATACACCCCGCTTTCTCTCTCTCTCAACATTACTATATACATAATACGATATATATTTTTCTGTTAGAAAGATTTTATACAGGTAACCTAATAAAAAAGGATTAAAAAAAGTGATCGTACTTAGATCTGCTATTTCTTCAAACCAATGAATGATTGATTTCACTTTCAATAGGCACATTAGTACAATTGTTGAGTACCATTGAGCTCTAAGTTTCTATAGAAGTCTCTTATAAACCTATACCTTTTACAATGATATTGCTCAATATATATGGTTGATTCAAGAGACAAATCTAAAAATCTAGAATTCTACAAACTTAGAATCAAGAGAATGAACAGTGTATAACTTGCCCTAATTATTTGCTTGAAACTTGTTTTAATTCAGCAATTAAGAAGAAAAAAAACTCCACCCTAACAACTTGTTTTTATATATAATAATAATATTAACAGTAATACAAATTTAAAAAAAGTAGAATAAAAAATAAAATAAAAACATACAAATTAATGAATAAATAATATTTAAAAAATGAACACAAAACTACATTTTGTTCTTTAAATTCAGGCATGCTACATGACATAAACAAAGTTATAACATTGACTACATACATGTACATGTACACATGCCTCATTCAAATTGCACAAAACTGACTCCAATAATCTTGTGTATATACCTACATATACCTCGAGCAATATTACTATCAATACTACATATCGCTACACAGAAAAACTATTCACAAATTTAAAACAAGATCTATAGTAAATATTGGCAATATAAATGGTTAACAAAAAATAATGGCATTGGCATATCTATAACTGACCATTTGCTTTTTTTTAATTTTCAATTTTTTAATTTTTTTTAAAATCAAGGTTTCCACTAGATCGTTTTACTAAAACCTTCAAGTTTTAAAGATGATTTACCTTTATTTTTCATTTAAAAAGACAGAACAAAAGAAAATTCAGATACTTTCACATCAATAGCACATTATAAAACAATAGGCATCTGAAACAAAATGTTCATCGCAGCTAAAATGTGCTGGCAAGACATACAAAGATAAAATGCAGAGAACATGTCCAAAACGGGCCTAAGCATACGTGTACGGCTATAACATTTTCAACCGGCACAGGTACATGTACTGTAATAAAAGCAAGTTTATATTTTCTGGGTATTACAGAGTACACTGTATAAAGTGGATCAGGAATTAAAATACACTGTGTACAGGCAAGCAGATCGAAATGTCAATGTACATAACAAATGTTGGAATGGTTTAGATTTTTAAAATCGGAATGTTTGTATATTTGTGCTGCATCGCCAATGGTTGGCAGAGGTACATGTAGATCGAGCAATAAAAGTCTCTTGTGTTTGCGAAACAGACTGAAGTTCTCCTCACGCTTCCGTTTCGAGTAGGTTACACGCATGTCGATACTGTAGTCCTGTTGTCCGTAGTCGTATTATACCCGATTGGCCCCGAGTCGGCCACGGGAAAGACACGTAGACTCGTCATGCTCCACCCCCTTTAACAGACACCCCAGAGGATTGACACTGTTAGATGAGGAGTGCATCACAGGTACCCATCATCGCGATTCAAAGAATTCTTATTATAATCTGAACAGAATCGGGGCTGCATCACTTTATCTATCCAGGCCACAATGAGGCTTTGGAAGATAAGCTTAAGCTAGAAGACTCCAAGATCCTATTTATCAACTGTCTCAAAGGGTTCTATCATACTGGAACTGCATCCCTTCTCTCCATCTTCGGGCGTGGCTCTGGAAGCTGGAGTTAGAAGACCCGGATCTTGTTTCGAGGGGTCTGGTCGAGATCATCATCGAGGAGAAGTACACCCTGTCAAAGAAAACAAAAGAAAAGGAAAAAATATAAAAATATAAATATGACCAGACACCACAAAACCGTCAAAGAGTTGTAAGGTGTGATTTTCAGTTGAGGTTTAAAGAATGTTGATGTAGAGAAAATGGTGGTAAAAGTCTGTTATTAATTCATGTACTCTGACCCTCGAGGTATTGTGCAAACATTTCTGTGAAGAGATCATCACATTGTCTTAAAACTGGGCAAGCAAATTGAGCACATACTGTTTTTATTTTGACCAAAATCAATGCAACAGCTTACTGTATCTAAAAAAAAAAAAAAGGGACAAGTAGCCAAGGTTGTAAAGAATGACAATCCCTTAACGAACTCAAGATTAGAAAAAACAGATCAATTAAATACAGGCTCTTTTAGTTGGTTGTTGCTTCCAAAATTTGAAATTACAGAGTAGAAAATATACTTTCTCATAAACACCTTTAACCCTATATAGCCCGGGGGGGGGGGGGGGCTTCTAAGGCCCCCCCCCCCCCTATGAACTCAGCCGTGAAACGACCTATCGCTGCAAAAATTTGCATGCATGTCAAGTGAAGTGTATAGAATATTATATCCTGCATCAAAAATTTGTTGGCTTTTGATTGGTTGAGAGCTCGTCACATGACCAGAAATATTTGACCTATTTTTAGAAAGTACTATATGAGAGTACTATTTTGGTTTACTATTTGGGAGTTGAAAAAAAAATGTGATTTTTTTTTTGTTGTTATATAACCATGCCTTCTATTCGAGGTACTGGTTAAACTATGGGCCTCTGTGACTCCAAAAGTACCATTTGCTTCGGGCTGCGCCCCTCAGCAAATAGTACTATTGGAGTCACCTCTTGCGCATAGTTTTAACCAGAACCTCTCAAGGTAGTGTATTTTTGTATACTATGGTAATTTCAATTTTTTTGAAATATTCACTCATTTGCATATTTATGGTAATTTATGCAAATATGGTAATAACATTCACATTTTTATCCATAAATCATATATTCTTCATATTTAAAGGTATTATGTCCCTTTTGCAGCCAACCTCAAATGCTGTAGAACTTTGCAGGAATTATGAATATGTCATGTATGTCCTATCTGTGAAATTTAAACGTTAGCAGTGTCCTCATATTCAAATTATGCAAGGAAACCCGTTTACTTGCTATAGTCCAGGCTAGAGAGCAAGGAACCTTGTTTTGTTATATATACAATGTTTTTTTGATGGTTTCTTAACAAATCGAGGGTGCTGATTCCAAATCTGATGAGTGCCAGACGCGAAACCTTGAGCATTTCTCGTAAACGGCGAAAATTCAAAATGGCCGCCAAAATGGCCGCCAAATCATGAAAACGCTTATTCTTTGGCCATTTAACAGGTTATTTGATGTTATCTTGTCAATTCGAGGGTGCTGAATCCAAATCCGATGAGTGCCAGATGCGAAACCTAATGCATTTCTCGTAAATAGCGAAAAATTCAAAATGGCCGCCAAATCATGAAAAGGCTTATTCTTTTCAAATGTTTGGCCATTTAACAGGTTATTTTATGTTTTCTTGTCAATTTGAGGGTGCTGAATCCAAATCCGATGAGTGCCAGACGCGAAACCTTATGCATTTCA